ACAGACACCGCGAAGACGAACGCAGAGGCCGGGACTACTGCTAGAAACGAGCTGAACTAGTTCAGCTCGGACGCAATCAACTTCGTGCAGCGCAGACAAGCCGTCATTCGGTTTGTCCAAGACGCTATTGCAGCTTCTGTCGACCGACAGAAGCTGAACGTAGACAATGTTGGTAGGGGCAACACAAATGAATTCAAAAAGGGTTCATTGGTTTTGTTAGCTACTCAAAACCTGCCTAAACATGCGGTTTCCGACTTCGGGGCGAGCAAGCTCGCTCCGCGCTTCATCGGGCCGTTCACTGTGTTGGCACGGCATGGCAACGCCTACACGCTAGATATTCCATCTAGCATGTGCCTCCATCCGACCTTTTACGTCGGGCGGCTGAAGCCATACCGGCAGCACGAGCCACCTAGCTCGGCTGGCCCGAAGCGGAAGCCCCAGCGGGAGCGAACCTCTGCCCCAGCGCGTGAACGCGCTGGGCCAAGCGTGCTGCGCGACCTCCCACGTCGACAGAGATGTCCGACGCGGTCTGCGAGGCCTGAGCAACTTGGGCTATCAGGTCGCCATCTCCTGCTTCAGAGCGGCGAACTCACGGCTCTGAAGCTGCTCCACAGCAGCGACCCGCTCCTCGAGCGTCGGGCCAAGGTCAACCCCAGGTTGACCATACCCGGAGCGTGTTCCCACCAGGTCAACCCCAGGTTGACCATACCCGGAGCGTGTTCCCACCACCGCCGCCTCCGATCCGCGACGCCCGCGGCTCAACACGCTGGATTGTTGAGCGTATTGTGAACCATAGTATCCCGAAAACGAACCGGCAGCCGGTTCGTTATCGTATTCGTTGGAGAGGGTTTCCGCCCCACCACGATACATGGGAGCCACGGAACGTCCTGCTGCAGGACGTTCCGGAAATGGTGAGGGAGTACGAAGCTCACCACGCACTGCCGCCGCGAAGGTAGTGCGAGCGCTGTGGTCACCTACAGCGCCCGAGGCCCCACGATCGTCGCGTTCGTCACGTGCCAAGAACTTGGCACGGAGATCCTTGAGACTCTCAGGTACACGAATCGTCGTGTACCCGTTTAGGTCGCGATCGCGGTCGCTCAAGCGCGCCGCGCCCGGAAGGCACAACGTGCACTGTTGGCCTTCGGGTACAGCGCATGGAATACCAGCGTCCACAGAAGATCTGTGGAGCTGCTCCAACCTCCCGCGCGTCGAGAATGTCTCGAAGCGTTCACGGGCGTGCTTAACCCGCTCACGGTAAGCAGCCGGCTTCTTGTTGAAGTTCTCAACAAAAGCATTCCAACTTTGACAAAGTGCCTGCCACTCAGGCACTTTGCTGCGAGAAAAGGTCTTCTTGCTGGAGAAGTATCGGAGCTCGTGAAAGAGTCCGATATAGTAATCGCGCCTTTGATTCGTTAACGGATCAAAGTGCTGCTCCTCCGCCACAACATCATCGTGGATCCCGCTGCATACGTACAGCGGAATTTCAATTGGAGGCACGGTGTTACCCACACGGTCTGCGATCTCTGACGCAAACGCCATCCACGGATCGCGCGCTGCCTGAGCAGCGCGTGGAGAACTTGAAGACGCCACCTCACGCGGGGAGCTTAAAGCCCCAGCAGCAGAGAGCGGAGTGTCGCTCTCGCCGCGCGAACGCTTCGAGCTCGAAGCGTCCGAGTCGTCTCACTCACGAGGGCGTCTCGACCCGGCATGCGGGTCGAGACTATCACTGTCGATAGACTCCTTGCGCTTGCTAGAAGCGGCCGCGCCCTCTTCCATCTCCACGTCGTCGTCTTCGTAGTCAACGCCGTCGTTGACTACAGAGGAACCTTCGAGGACAATCTCCGACTGGGTTGTCCCCGACGCGGCCTTTGCAGCGAGCGCATCTCGCTTTGCCTGCTGGCGCTCATGGTACTGAGCAACAGAAGGGTTACCCTCTGATGCGGCGGCGGTCTTCTTCTGCGGCGAGCTCATTGCGGAATGAGCTCAAGTTTTCTTTCTTCCAACGTAAAGAATTGACGAATAGTCAATTTCCTGATTGACGTGCCGTGACTCGGCGCGTCTAACCTTGAGGGGGGGATGGTGTAACAGGGTTACACGCACAAGAGGCTACAGTCACTTGTAACTCTAACAGACACGACGTCTGTTAGAGGTTCGAAAGACTTTCTCGACCTTGGTGTAGACACACCAAAGGCTACATACATTTACGACCACCACGACGGGTGGTCCATAGAGACTTAGGATTCCTATTGGCTGAGAGCAGCATCTCTTAGCCAATGAGCGACATGCATAGCATTGGAATTCTGCCAACCAGCCGTTGGCAGATTCCTATCTTAGAATATTACATTTAGAGGAAGTCAGAAACATAAAACAAAAATAGCAGTTCTCATTTTAACCCAAAAACATTATTTGGATCGTTTATTTAGATTAATCTATACTCGGAGGCCCGAGTATAATTAACTCTAAGTTAAACTAAGCTACGCTTCCTCACGTACACGCGCACACGTGTAAGCTAAAGTAGTGAGCCAAAGTAGGCCCATTACACGACTGCCCCGGGAACACCTTCAACACCAGGAACTCCTGCATCTACAAAGAGACGTCGCACAAACCCGTAGTCCGTAAGCTGCATATATGCAGGAAGCAGTTAATGAATGTGCGTCCGTCTAGCGTGGAGTAATCAGTGTGCCTGCAGAGTATGTTGAAGATCAGCGTTGGAATAATGTTGTTGCACACTTTCTCCTGGCTCTTGCCTAGGCCCCATCCCAACTTGCATTATACGCAGCATCTTTTCACGCAAAATCATGTGTGCTAATTGATTGCGTGAGTTGACCATCGAATTCACTTGACTTTTGTATTGTGCATAGAATCTATGCAGACCAATCACGAGCTTGCTCTAAGTTTGGGGGTGGCACCCCAACTTTTCACTTGTGCTTTAGTATGGGAAGTTTGATTTCAGAATTTTGGAAATTCGGAGTAGCTATGACTTCCGTTTCTGTTCGGCGGGTTTGGGTGAGTGCCCTGTCCATCTCTCCTGTAAGCTGCATTATTCAGGCTGGGGAAACGACTGGGCCGTTGCTAAACTGTCGGTATGCACGATTAGCACGCTATTGTCACCGGCAGGATAACCCCTTTGAGCCCCTAGTCTAATTACGCTGCATATGCAGTTTAGATGTTCTTTCGGCCTCCCGGTCTGGAGGGGTTAAGCTGGCCATTTTGGTCTTCGTAGGATTAATGAGTCCTTCGTAGGACTAGATCAGGCCAGTACGCCTGAAAGCAGCTGTGGCAAATGCATAGTTTGGCTGCACTCGTACAGGCGGAGGCTCAGGCAGCACCGCAACCAGGTCACCGTGCTCAGCGTGGAGCTACGCACGTGCAGGTATAGCGGTACTGAACGCGCTCACTTGTCGGCCTACGTTTGCAAGTCATTCGCTCAGTTTACATTCAGTTTTTATTTATGTATGGTTTTACTGGCCCTGGTGCTAACTTTTATGAGGTCTTACGTAGGATACGTAGGACCTCAAATCCGAGGCGTTTTGCCCAAAAAAGGCACAATACAATTTGCTTGAAACATTTATTATCAATTATTTTAATAATTTCAGTTCAAATAAATATGAAGTTATATCTAATGCCATTGATTTTTATAATTGTTATTGTAAAATTATTAAAATATTTTATATTGTGGCTTTCACGTATTTTGGCGGGTGAGCTGTCAATTCAGGTGGAATTAGAGTCATAAAAGGGCGATCAACGCTTCTTTAGTGCTAATTCTGCCGAAGATTATGATCGCTTCGCGAACAGCATTTGAGAGCCGATCGACGCAGATACGAGCAGAATGACATGTATTGGCGGGTAGGAAACCGCCAATCGCTCTGTTTCCGCCTAACGCAGGCTGGGCCAGCTTATTCCGCCTTAACTCGGCCTCACCATCGCCGCTCCTAATTCGGCCACGGAGGGGCAACCCGGAATAAAATTGGAAATAGCTAACTCGGGGCATAATTAAGGTTGATAAGGAATTAGAGCTATGCCAGAATTATCACGGCAGAATAAGTGAAAGGCACAATAACTATATATTATATTAATATTGCCGCTTGCAAATACTTTGCTCTCTAAAATAAACCTCTTAAATAGACCACGCCTGTCTCTTAATATGAGTGGACACGAGATAGGAGAGGGCTGCTTCACTTTTGTGCTTTGGATGAGGTCGGATTTCGGCCCGGAAACTTGATTTGGCCCATCTAGAAAGGCATTTTTGCGTTTCCAAGCCGCAGCTAAGCGTTTTGGTCGGGAAATAGAGCCCCAAGCTTGCATCTTAGACCTGTAGTGGGGAGATATATAAATCTGGTCTAGGTCTTCATTAAGAGCTGGCTAGATTAAAATTAAGATTATTAACGAGATAATAAGCATGCGTTGACCAAAATATCTGCAAACGGCAGTGCGTCATAATAATATTTTTGAATTATTATATTTCAGTTCAAAATAAATACTGTGCTTTGCATCCAGTTTGCCCTCCTATTTAGTGCACTACTTAGTGTTCGTACTTCGCGGTAAATCATAGTAGCCTTGAACGAGAGTTGCTCAAGTTGTCTTCCGAGCCCGATTTGGCTCGGAAATGGCACTTTCTAAAGGTGCCAAAAGGACGCTAATCCGTGCTGGATGTGCTACATCATTCAGGAGATGGCGTTTGTGCTCTACTTAGTGCTCATTGACCACCCATGACTTACAACAATTCGTACTTGAGTACGATTTATAGATAAGTCGTGCCGTACGAGTTACAGTCCAGTGCCAAAAAGTATGCAAAGTACTCTAAATTTAAATAGTTTTAGATCTGGAATACGTACAGAAACAAATACAAACATTACAAAGAACTATTGTGCCTTTCACTTATTGAGCAGTGATAATTCTGGCATAATTATAATCCCTTCTCGGCCTTAATTTAATTATGCCCTGAGTCATCATTTAAAAGGGCTTTCAAGGTCAACGCCTTCAGAACACCAACAACAACGTTAGCACTCAAGCCTTAAACTACTGCCAGACTTTCCTCCAATCGACTTACCATTGTGATCCAGTGACAGTGTTAGCACGTACATGATCCACACAATGCAGTGGCTCAGAATGACCCGTGAGTGCGTTTCGCACACGAACGCGAGCTGGTACAGCGGTGAAAACCCAAACTTCCTCTGGAGCAGCAGATTCACCCCAATAAACGAGGCAAACTCTACCGCCGCGTACAGCATGATGTTCAGCTCTGTGCTCGCGAATTTCTCCGGGGTTAGTGTGCGCGTGTTTGGATAGTATTGGGCGGTGGGGAGATGGTACAGCACAGCGAGGTAGATTCCGTAGTGCAAGGGGATAACGGATTCGATGAACTCGGCCAGAACGACGTACTCGGAGTGGAAAAGAGCCTGAAGGGAGTCCTGAACGTCAGCTATAACCACGTCGAGGTGGTAGGTCTCCGCCCTGGAAGTCGTGCGTGTAGCTACACTACTGGCCGTAGAGCGTGGGAGGGTGCCCGATGCTGCTGTAGCCTTGGCCGAAACTTTGTGAGCTAGCACCGGTTTGTCAAAAGAAGATCCAATACTGTTGCGTGGAGGAGTCGAAGGGAGCTGAATGCAGTCTTGAAAATGGAGCGCTGGCCTTGGTTTACCAGGCGACATCGTTCGACTCGACTCGCGCTTCTCACTGCAATGGATGTTGGCACTTTGTCCACGAGAACAACTTTTAGACATTTTTAAATCAGCGGACAGGTTCTTCCCCCCAAACTCCGTTGCCACCGAAAATCGCCGGCGTGCCATTTCCAGTTCCTCCATAAACGCCTTGCTTTCATCCGATAAAGGCAAAGGGAATGGCGCGCGAATGCGGATCGGAACTCGAGAAGCTTCAGCTGCCCGTGGGCTCTGGAAGGCTTCGCGTAGCAAAGCTCTGAGGTTGCGGATGTAGTTGAGTGTGGCCGGGAGTTTAGAATTCGCCGATAGCAATCTTTGACGCGCTTGGGTGACGTCCGACTGGTAGTAGATCGACCTCAACGCCATTAGCACGAAAAAGGCGTCGGAAGCGATTAGTAGTCCCGATGTGATCGGTGATACTGCCGTCTGCACGCAGATCGCCACGTAGAGAACATTGCACACGTCGACCGACAGCAGAACAGTAAGTCCCACGTATTCGTGTAGATGTGCCGACATTTTTGCGACAAATTGCTTGATGCAGAACTTGATTATCGGAAGTACGAAGATGAAGGCGGTCTGTCCGATACTGGAAAGTTGATTGAAGATCGCTCCGAAAGTCGGGTACGCGATGCCCAAAATTCCTTCCGCCGCGACGACGAACAACTGCAATGAGAGCTGCCGTCGCAGATTCGGAGACCGGGACAGCACGCGCGGACCGATGGTCAACGTGAGGAGAACCATGTAGATGCTGATGAATGGGGCAATGCTCAACACGAATCCGAACGGGATCGGGAACTTCCACAAAGCTGCAACTAGCATCACCAAAGACACGTAACACGTGCTAGTGCCGACTATTATAAGTACACTCCCCACAGTCGATACAGCTCCCGGTGCGATGACTTCCTTCACTTGGTAGAGGCCTCCAAAGGCGATGGGCACTGCCGTCGCATACAGTCGGATCCAAAACGGGTAGTTGGCTTTCCAGCCGAGATCAGGCGGCTTCAGCGGAATCAACTCGATCAGAATTGCGATCACAAAGGGAGGCAGCAGGGCGACGAAACAAACCATGAAGGCGCGTATCGGCGACGTCCGCTGGTAATATTCCTGGAAGGCAAGCAGTCTCTCGACCGAGTACCGACCTCGATGCCCCACCTGGATGCTGTTCCAATAGCCTCGCGCCGCTAGGAATACGCGTTCGAAGACGCCAAGCGCGACAAGTAAGGGCGGTTGGGTGTCAGGCACGACGGGGTGGACACGTACGTCTACCGCCATCTCTTGGCTCGATGAGTCAACCAGGTAGCCTCTGCGGTCCGAATGCCGCTAACGTGCTTGGCCCGTGGCGGCAATGCTGACAACCTCTCCGTTCCTGGTATTCTTGGCCGTGAGAACAAACACATTACTTCACAGAAGTATCTAAAAATGGCCTACGTGGGCAATCTGCGAACAATGTTTTTGATGCTATCCCGCTTGCTTACTACTAAAGGTTGACTGCTATCGTAAAAACGACTTGGCCCGCCCAAAAATACGTCAGGTGCGGCAGGTTGCAGTTGCTTCAGCAAGTTCCAACCCCTTTCGCCGTGGCATAGCTCACTTCATCACAAGACATCGCTATCATAGTATTCTCCATCCTACACTGTCACCACGTTCAACTCAGCTATCAGTCATTACAGAACCTCCACAGCTATGGCTAACGCCACAGTGGCAACAGGACAAAAGGCTCGTCAATCAGAGAATTCAGGACCGTCGCCACGTTGTTGCAACAACAAAAATCATTATTGCCAAGTCATTCGAAAGGAGCTTCAAGGTCAACGCCTACATGAAATCAGCAACAGCCTGTTAGATAGGTATCGTATCCCAGAGCAGAATCCAAACAACTTACCATTGTGATCCAGCGTAATCGGCAGAATGTACGTGATCCAAACAAAGAGGTAGCTTAGAATCGTGCGTGAGTGAATCTCACACACAAAGGCAAGCTGGTACAGCGGCGAGAACCCAAACTTCCTCTGAAGCAGCAGGTTCACCCCAATGAACGAGAAAAACTCCACCGCCGCGTACAGCATAATATTCAGCTCCGTGTTGGCGAACTTCTCTGGAGTTAGCGAGCGTGTGTGAGGGTAATACGCAGCAGTCGGGAGGTGGTAGAGGAAGGCGAGGTAGATTCCGTACAACACGGGGATGACGCACTCAATGAACTCGGCCAGTACGACGTATTCGGAGTGGAAAAGAGCCTGGAGGGAGTCCTGGACGTTGGAAGTGACCACTTCGAGGTGGTAGGGCCCCACTGTGCCCGACATGCGGCTGCGTTTAGATTGGGGAAAGCTGTTGACTGTCGGTGCCGCGCTGGGTTCTTGGTGTGCTAGTATCGGTCTGTCAAAAGCTGTGCCTGAAGCCGTTAGTTGCGTCGAATGGGTCACCATGTAGTCGTGCGAACTATTCACCAAGATGGCTTTAGGCGATGACAGTATATCACTCGGTTCCCTCCACTCATTGTAGTGACTCCTGGCATGGAAGCTCCCAGTCGTAATAGATTCTAGGCGCATATCCTTACCAAACTCCGTTTCAACCGAGCATCTTCGGCGCACGTGCTCCAGCTCCTCCATGAATGCCTTGCTTTCATCCGATAGAGGCAGAGGAAATGGCGCTCGAATTCGGATCGGTACTCGCTCAGATGCGCGTGGGCTCTGGAAAGCTTCACGCAGCAGGGCTCGGAGATTGCGGATGTAATTAAGCGTTGGCGGGAGGTTCGAGTTCATGGAGATTAATCTCTGTCGCGCCTGCGATACCTCCGATTGGTGGTAGATCGACCTCAACCCCATTACCACGAAAAAGGCGTCCGAAGCGATTTGTAAGCCTGAAGTTAGTGGGGAGACTGCTGTCTGCACGCAGATAGCCACGTAGAGAACGTTGCACACGTCCACCGAGAGCACAACCGTTGGCCCAACATATTCGTGCAGATGTGCTGACGTATTGGCAATGAACTGCTTGATACTGAACTTGATCATGGGTAGCACAAAGATGAAGACGGTCTGCCCGATGATTGATAGTTGGTTGAAGATGGCTCCAAATGTCGGGTACGCGATCGCCAACGTCCCTTGTGCAGCGATCACCAACATCTGCGTAAAGATCTGGCGATGTAGCATCGGCGAGCTGGCCAACACGCGCGGGCCGACGCTCAGCAAGAAGAGGATCATGTACGATCCGATGAATGGCCCAACAACGGTCATGACGTACCCGAACGGGACCGGGAACTCCCATAAGACTGCGAGTATCATCGTAAGCACCACGTTCACTGTGCAGGATCTGACGGCTGTGACGACGACTCCAGTCATTGAGATGGTCCCTGGTTCAATGATTTCTCTCACTTGGTACACGCCTCCAGTCGAAATGGGCAACGAGGACACGAACAGGCTAATCCAGTACATGTAGTTGGCTTTCCAGCCTTCATGAGGCGGCCTCAACGGGATAAACTCGGCCAGAATCGCCACTACAAACGGAGGCAGCACAGCGAGGAAACAAACCATGAAGGCGCGGCCTGGAGACGTCCGCTGGTAATACTCCTGGAAGGCAAGCAGCCGCTCGGCCGAGTACCGTCCCCGATGCCCCACCTGAATACTGTTCCAATACCTTCGCACAGCCAGGAAGACTCGTTCGAAGACGCCAAGCGTGACGAGCAGGCGCGACCGGTCCACAGGGACGGCTGGGTGGACCCGTGCGTCTATCGCCATTTGTCCGAGCTGCAAAGTGAATCGTAACAAGTGCAGCGGAATGAATTTTGACGAGTTCGCCTGTGCCGGTATTCTCGTATTCTGGGCTGGTGAGGTAAGCGGAGCCAGATTTAGGCGAGTTTGCGCTCTGTTCTCGAAGCTAAAAGTGGTGGAAGCACACTTACCAGGTTGTTGGTGACTTTACGGAGAATTAATGACGAAGTTATGCAAACTCCTGCTTCTTGAAGGGGTGTTCCAGGTTAACACCTAAGGGGCCAGTGAGAAATGCACAAGAATTCAGCCACCAGAACGGAATGATAGGAAGAAAGCACGATCTATCTCTGCATCTACACACCATTGTGAACCAACGTGAACTGCAGAATACACAACACCCAGATCAACAGTTGACTCTGCAACGCGCGCGCTTGCGTCTCCAGCACGAACGCTAACTGGTACAGCGGCGAAAACCCAAACTTTCGCTTCAGCAGTAGACTCACCCCAACAAAGGATGCAAACTCGACCAATGCAAACAGGAGCAGGTTTCTGAGAGTGCCACTCAACTTGTCTGCCGTTAGAGCCTTCATGTGCGGGTAGTAAGCAGCCGTCGGGAGGTGCCGGAGAACTGTGAGGTAGACCGCGTACAGCATGGGCAGCGCACACTCTACGTACTCGGCCATCGTGACGTACTCCGAGTGGAAGAGGGCTTGCAGCGCGTCTTGAACCTCTTGTGCCGCAGTTTTCGTCTGCAACGGTGGAAACACGAGTGACGCAAGGACGCACTGGGTGGTTATCGCGACGATCGACAGACTGCGGGCGGCTACTTTGACCCGTGGAGAGTGCAGCACAGGAGCCGACATCGTCTTCAAGTTGAACGTCACCCCGCGAGGCAACTGTGGAGCTCGCCGTTGTAGTGCCTCGGCTCTAGTGAGGTAATGGTAGCGGATGTCGGTCAAACTCAGACCTCGCCGAGGAGAAGACGCGGTGACAGCGTATCTCGTCGCGTGGGGAGCAATGCTCGGCGTAGGACAGCAAAGCTCAGTCATCAGCTCTTTGCTGTGTGCTGCAAGAGGCAGAGGGAATGGGGCGCACACACGAACAGGCTCGCTTGTGGGGTCAACAATGTCGACGTTGTGGAACACTTGGCGCACCAGCACGGGCAGAGACTCGAGATAGTTCTTCCGGTTCGTCAGGATCTTGCTCAAGAAGGCGTTCTCCGGCCATACACTGACCGAGTTCATCTGACAGTAGATGGTACGAAGCGCGATCACGATGAAAAAGACGTCGGAGCCGATCATGAACACGGTCGTGAGCGATGATATAGCTGTCTGCATGCAGATGACGCTGTACAGGACGTTGCAGACGTACGGAGAAGATGATGGTCGGCCCGATGTACTCCTGCAAATGTCCGCACACCTTCGCAATGTACTGCTTGCTGACCAGCTTGATGATGGGAAGTACGGCGACGAACGCAGTCTGCTGTATCGCCGAGAGTTGATGGAATATGGCAAAGAACGGAGGGTACCAACCCGCCAACATGCCTTGGGCTGCCAGAACCGACAACGGCGGGATGATCTGCTGGCGCAAAGACTTCGACAACATCTTCGGCCCAACCACAACACAAACGCTCGCCATGAAGAAACACACGAACGGACCCACCATCAACGCGTAGCCGAACGGCACCGGGAACGTCCACAACGCCGCCAGACCAAGCGCACACGACACATAACCCACCGCCGTCCCCAACCCAATAGCAACCGTGGCTCGGTACGAAATGATCCCCGGCGGGATCACCTGCTTCACCTGCAGCACGCCGCCCACCGCCATGGGGAAGCTCGACAGGAACAGCCGGACCCAGAACGCGTAGTTGGCGCGCCACCCCTCACCAGGGGAACGCAACGGGATGCACTCGATCAGAATCACGGCCGCGAACGCCGGCAACGGCGTGACGAGGCACACGAACAGGACCCGAAGCAGTGACGCTTGCTCGTAATAGTCGCGGAGAGCCAGCATCCGCTCGACGGAGTATCGCTCACGGTGGCCGATCTGCGTCCGACTCCAGTAGCGCTTTGCAGCGCGAAATACTCTGGAGATGGAGCTGAAGATAACGTGGCGACGTGACGGCTGGTACGTTGTCGTGGGGTGCACTTTGACACCCATAGGTACAGCACCTTGCTCTTCGAGGCAGCAAGATGGGACCTACGTGGGTATTTCCATCCCGGTTCGACGAGCGACATCTTCATCTTAGCCAAGCTGGACCCTATCAATAGGCATCTGCTTCGCAGGTAGTCAGACAAGTGTCCTGGGAGAAATGTCATCCAGGAATCGTCCATCGAAGATTCGTCACCTCTGTATCGCTAATATACCAGGTTGATCACCGCTGCCCAGTCTGCATCGCACTCGTCAACTCACTATGAAGTACGTGCTGATGTAGGCGGTATACATTTGGTGCGGGAGGCTGCAATATCGCCTAAAAGTTATGCATATTCCATCTTCCCAAAGGGATTCTCCAGATTGACTCCTGAACACCACAACCATCCACAAATCCGGTTAGCCATAGCATTGGATTCCTACAATAAAATGCATCCCACCAGCGCCCTCACCATTATGCACCAACGTGAACTGCAGAATACACAACACCCAGATCAACAGTTGGCTCTGCAACGCGCGCGCTTGTGTCTCCAGCACGAACGCCAACTGGTACAGTGGCGAGAAGCCGAACTTGCGCCTCAGCAGTACAATCACCCCAACAAACGAGGCGAACTCAACGAGTGCGTACAGCAGCAGATTTACAAGCGTGTCGCTCAACTTGTCCGCCGTCAGCGCCTTCATGTGCGGGTAGTAAGCTGCAGTAGGGAGATGGTAGAGGACGGCGAGGTACAGAGCATAAAGCAGCGGCAAAACGCACTCGACGTATTCTCCCATCAGCACGTACTCCGAGTGGAAGAGAGCTTGGAGGGCGTCTTGAACCTCTTGTGCAGCAGTATCCGTCTGCATGGGGCGAAGGCTCGGGGAGGGTTCAACTTTGTTCTTTGTGATCGCGAAGACTGGCACGCTCCGTGACGCTACTTTGACCTCGGCCTTAACCACAGACGACGATTTTGTCTTGAGAGTGTCTTGGCTTACTGCTCCTCGTTGTGTTGCCTCTACCTCACGTGTGTCGCCCCTCGAATCTCCAATAAGGGAATTGTAACAAAGATCGGGAAGGCTTGAAGCGCGCCGAAGAGGTAGAGCGCCACCACCAGCAGCGAATGCCTGCGGCTTTCTGGGTGTGGCACAACAAAGCTCGGCGATCAGCTCCTTGCTATCACCCGCAAGAGGCAACGGGAAAGGTGCGCACACACGAACGGGCTGGCTTGGACCGTCGAGACTGTCAACGTTCTCGAACGTTTTGCGCACTAGCACGGGCAGAGACTGCAGGTAGCTCTGGCGCCTTGTTTGCATCGAGCTCGATAGCGCGTCTTCAGGCCATACACTAGCAGGGTTGATCCGGTAGATGCTGCGCAGCACCATCAGGATGAAGAACACATCGGAGCCGATTAAAAAGACGCTCGTGAGGGACGAGACCGCGGTCTGCATGCAGATGACGCTGTAGAGAATATTGCAGACGTCGACGGAGAAGATGATGGTCGGACCGATGCACTCCTTCAGATGCGCAGAAACTTTGGCGATGTACTGCTTGCTCAACACCTTGATGACCGGCAGAACAGTAACAAACGTAGTCTGCTGAAACCCTGAGAGCTGGCGAAAGACAGCGTAGAACGGAGGATAACAGCCCGCCAGCATGCCTTGAGCTGCCAGAACCGACAACGGCGGGATGATCTGCTGGCGCAAAGACTTCGACAACATCTTCGGCCCAACCACAACACAAACGCTCGCCATGAAGAAACACACGAACGGACCCACCATCAACGCGTAGCCGAACGGCACCGGGAACGTCCACAACGCCGCCAGACCAAGCGCACACGACACATAACCCACCGCCGTCCCCAACCCAATAGCAACCGTGGCTCGGTACGAAATGATCCCCGGCGGGATCACCTGCTTCACCTGCAGCACGCCGCCCACCGCCATGGGGAAGCTCGACAGGAACAGCCGGACCCAGAACGCGTAGTTGGCGCGCCACCCCTCACCAGGGGAACGCAACGGGATGCACTCGATCAGAATCACGGCCGCGAACGCCGGCAACGGCGTGACGAGGCACACGAACAGGACCCGAAGCAGTGACGCTTGCTCGTAATAGTCGCGGAGAGCCAGCATCCGCTCGACGGAGTATCGCTCACGGTGGCCGACCTGCATCCGACTCCAGTAGCCACTCGCCGTTTCAATAGCGTTGGAGATGGCGCTGAAGACGACAAGCAGCTTGAGTTTGCACCCCATAGCGTCAGTAGCGAGTTATGACTAAATGTCCCTTTGCACTTGTTTAGCCAGGTCTTTCAGTCGGCTGAGTCGTGAGTCATGACGGACCCCTATCAATAGCAGGAATGCTTCAGCACCCGACAGAAATACCGCCGAAGCGAACCTGGCCAAAAACTTGCATCGCAACGAGAAACGTCCAAGAGTCCACAGGCGGAACTCTGCGCATTGATGCCGTCCGTAGACAGAGGCGTGGGCGATGATCAGCTACTTCGCCAGAAAATTCGGAGCCGGTGATTGGACAATCGACTTGATTTTTTGTATTTGGCGAATCGACGCAAAAAATGTTTTGGACGGAATTCAAGTAAACGCTCCTATGATAGGAGTGAATTCCGTCCAAAATGTTTTTTAGTGATAGGAGTCCTATCACTTTGCGACCTTTAATTATTGTGCCTTTCGGTCATTTTGCCGAGTCCTATGGAGGTCAGTTAATCTGAGGTTGGGGGTCTCTAAATCTGAGATGCAAATCTCGGACGAGTCCGATGAGCGGTCTCCGAGGCTCTCCGTTCAATGGACGTCCAAGCCAAGCAAGCTTTGTTTGGGGAAGCAATCAGTGCTGGAACCCACGAAGGCGAAGGGAGAAGACTTGGTTGTTTAATGTATCGACCGCATCGTGCTTACCTATGTTTATTCTGCGTCTGACATACACCGTATTAGAGTCAGCTCGTATGAAAGTCCTGCCACAAGACTTGACAGGAGTCCTTGGTAAGACCTCAAACCCCGAATGCCGTGAGAATGGGCGACATTCGGGCTTTCGGCTGTTTGTAGGACCTACGCAAGTGCTTCCATCGGACTAGCAATTCTTGGTCCTAATTCTCTACGAGGGGCCTGCTAATCTGCTCCGATAACCTAGCCCCATCTTAGTAGGTAGCTGTTTTACACGTCCGATTTGCCAAAACAACTGAAAAGCACAATAATAACCGCCTTCCTCTAACTCTCGGAGAGGCTACATGCATACAGTACCGAGTACAAGTACAGGGCAGCACCACTACCAACATAATCAACGATTCCAAGTGGGTCTCGTCCTCGAGGTGCCAAGTCGTTCTGATCTGATCTCATACCACTGCATTCGTCGTTTCGAGTAGTCAGGCAACTTAAGGCGATGCGGAACCTCCTTCGAAGCGTTCTCCGAAAGAAACCCCACAGCGATGGCGACAAATTGGTGAAAAAGACCCTCAAACCCCCGGTTCCCACCGTCGTCATCGCTTCTTGCCGACCGATCTGCAATTTGAAGGACCTCGAGTGCCGTTTCGGAAGTGCTGGCGAGCTCTATGAACAAGTTGCGAAGTGTGCGAACGAACTACGTGATGGTCGAGCGAAAATCGAGAGCGGTCTCAACAATACCCTTCGTGCTTGGAGGCGCTCGGCGGACAGCAGCATCTTCATCTACAGCGTCATCTCAGTGGGTACAAGCACGGCCGCCGTTGTTGCAAGCGCAGTCGGGTTTATTCCAGTGTACAGGCAACTCGCGCATGGCGCTCAATTGGCTGCACAAATTCTGTGCATACCCGCAGCCGAAAGACGCCACAGAATTGCAAGGCAGCGCTTAGATACTGGTGACCAAGGCTTGAAAGACCTCGAGTGTTTTCGTGGTGTTCAATTTGCGCTAAAGTTGGTCCAGCGTGGTCGTGACTCTGTCGTCGACGTAGTATTGGGTGTGTTGCTGGAACTGGCGCAAGAAAACCAGATCGTAGATGCAAAGCGGGCCAAGGCCGAAGTTGATACGCTCATTAAAGATTCATCCACCAACAGTCCGTTGAAAGGCCCACTAAGGAGAATTCGAGGCATCCGTGTGACGAATGTGGATGGATTCTACCAGCTTCTACGACGTTAAGGCTCCATTGCTCACGAAAGGGCTAGAACAACCTCAGCCAAAGGGTCTACTGCCTTTGCTCAAAGATTTGGCGGGAGCATTAGCCTGGATTCCGGACGCAATTCCAGGATTTCTGCTCGAGTGCTACGCTGGAGTCGCTCGCGGCGGTGAACTAGCGATCTCGTTGCTGCACCTCAGCAGTTTTGTTTTCCGTAGCGTATTCTCAAATCTCTTCGACCTAACTGGAGTAGCTGGAACGACGTGCGAAGTTGTATTTTACGTGGGGGAATGGCTTAGTTTCGGCCTCGTTTTCCTCACTTTGGCGTTGCTGCGGCGGCGTTTGTGCTGAGTTGTTTAGCGTTGAACGTAGCGGTGGAAAATTGCGGTAAGCTGTACAAGGCTGCTGAGCACGCCGAACGCAAACTCCGCAATGACGCATCTGAGACCGCGAAAGCTTTGAAGTCGCTCTATTCTCATGTCGTGGCTGTATCGGAAGAGTTGGGGTAACCTATACTGGAATCATTTCTTCTTAGGTATGGTAGCATATCGCTGCAATTCTAACCCCTGAAAAATATCTTAAAGTTTGTATGGTGCTTCCGGCCAATAGGAGTGTGTCGTCTGCGATTCTTAGCATTTATAACCAATAGACACTACCGTTGCTTAAAATTTCGACCAATTAAATCGAGGGAATGACTGTCAACCGCTGATCTGAGCATTCCAACGATATCTGGTTGGAAACGCGATTTGATATCGATTATGCCATACAAATATCAAGTGAACTACAAATAGAATAAATATTCATAGGTTTCCAACGCCTGCCAGCTCATCTCCGACTCCATTCTGCGTTCCGACGCACACAGGCATGTCGGTGGCATCGCTAGCTCCTGCGAACAGCCAGAGAAGCAGAGCGACGGCTGTGAAGTCCTTCGAAGACTTCCTTGCGAAGAAGGAGGTGACGCTCACAGAAGTGCATGTTCGTATTTCTAAGGACAGCACATGTAAGGGTTTGTTTGTCATTCTGGATAAGTATGGTGGTTCTTAGTGAAAAAAGTAGGAAGGCATGGAGTAGCTCTGTCCAAGAACACTGTGCTATCTTATTTTGGCAATGTTAAGAACTGGCTGGCGGATCTGTACCCGCAACAGGGCCAATGTGTAGCTAAGAAGCTGCAAAAGATGCTATCAACTCTAGATCGGTACTGTGAATAGAGGCCGGAGCAAGGTGTCACGAAACAAGCGCCACCATGTACTAAGAAAGATATAAAGACTATCATCTCGGCTCTCTACATGCACGCTTCCGCCAACTCCGACTACCTGGATGCGGTGCTAGTGGCGTTGATGTGGTACCTCTACGGTCGTGGTTCTGAGGCTGAGCAATTGGAGAAAGCCCAGCTGTGTGTATACCGCGGTACGAATCGTGCAGGATTTTGAATTTTTGTATTGATTAACCCCACGATTTATGCTGAAAATTCTGTGCGTATATGCTAGGCAGTATGATATTTCTCCGCTTTAAGCGTGTGAAGACTGCTTCGCAACAGGGAATCTCCCTGTTTAAGGGTCCTAACAATCCCTTCACGTGCCCGTTACACGTGCTAGCTGTCGCTCTCGCCCTTCAACCCGCTCCAGGAACTCGCATCTTCCCGCAATTTGCTGCCGTACCTGCGCTGTCCGCGTCCGACGACCAAGACGACGATGGCGAGCTGGGGCTGATTGCGCAGCTAGACCGCGAGCTTGCGGAAGCACCTACATGCAAGACTCCACAGCCATGTCGAGCCAACTTGGCCCCTGGTGCCCAAGCTTATATCAATAGACTATTAGTCACGGTTAGTGGGCTGCCAGCAGCAAAGGAGAGTGGACTCACGAAGGGACTTACCTCGCACTCCTTCAGAAGAGGTGGGGCCATGCACGCCAACGCCGACAGCCGCATTAGCCCGAACTGGGTTGTTGAACGCGGGGGCTGGAATATGTCGCGCGTGAGCAAGGCGTTTTCCTACATGCTGAACACAACACACGAAGATCAACAAATTGCGCGCCAATTGAGCGGTTGGAACCCGCAAGCGGGCGCCCGACTTCCAGACCTTACCGCCCTGGACGGAGTTGTCCGAGCGCGCGTGGAGAAGCTGCAGGATCTTCTCTTCGCTGCTGTCACTGGTTTCCCAACAGTGTCTTGGAACTTGGATCCTCAGGTGCTCGAAGTGTTGATGGCGACCTTGATCCTTCACTTCCCCGAGATGGAACGCCATCGCTTGGATAGCCCGTACGTCCGTCGCATTCATGAAGCCCTTGGTGTCCTCAACATACAGGCCTCCGAGCTGTTGGCATGGTCGATCACCCTCCGAGCTGCATTCAATCCACCTGCAGAAGAGAAACAAGAAACAGTGGCCGAGTCCTCTCAAAACATGTTCCGTTTCTCGAAAAGGTGTCGCAGCAGCTCGACGAGCTATTGCTCCGCCAAACACGCGTAGAGGAAAGGCTGGCTGTTTTGGGGGCGAACGCAGAATCTATTGACAAGAAAACAAACACTACCGAGCAGCAGCACGAAGACGTTGAGCAGTCGCAGCCAAAGCGCGCGCGCAAACGTGCCTCCAAAGCGCTATCGGCAGTGTGGTTCGAGTGGTTCACTGCTGTACCACGCATGTACGAATCAATAACAGTTAGCAAAGCCATCCTTCACGAGTCACGACGCGCAGTTGCATTCATGATGCTCTGCTTACCTTCTGGGTTCAAGCTGGACCCGGCCTCGCCAGCGTACAAGGCGGAGGTCCACGCTGTTGGAGTCGAAGCCGAGAAGAAGACGCTTGAATACTTGGCTGCACAAGGCTCACAGGCTGTAGCCGTTGGCTCGGTCGTCAAAGCCATGCGTGTGCTTCACAAAGCAGGCCACCTTTCCGTCCTCCTTGACCAGTTTCGCGAGCGCTACTATGAAGGCGAAGGCGTCGACCCGACACCCAATTCCGCCCTTCCGCCATTCCTGCGCTTCACCTAAATGCACACGCAGCACACTAAACAGTCAATAAGATACACAATACGTACAACAGGAGTAGCACGCACTCTCTTAGCTGACCTGTCCAAAAAGAAAGCAAAAACACATAATACTTTATGCCCATGTCGGGGTTTAAACCCGATCCTCCAGGCCCGAAGGCCTGGCGCTCAACCTCACGAGCTCCATGGGCGCGGGTTAGTCGCATCCATCAACAGCACCATACTCGTCCAAACCCTCGGCCACTTGAGCCACACGCCACGAGAGCGCACAAGCGCAACCCAATACACGTCCCAGCAGCGCACATAGCCCAGCAGCAAGTGGCCCGGCGTCAGTAGCACACACGGCCCAGCAGCAGACACGGCCCAGCAGCACACACGGCCCAGCAGCACACAGGGCCCAGCAGCACAGGCGGCACTGCAGCACACGCGGCACAGCAGCACACAGGGCCCAGCAGCACACGCAGCCCAGCAGCACAGACGGCCCAGCGGCCAGCAGCGCCTGTGTACATGCAGAGACAACAGCAGCACAGTCAGCACAGGTAGCACAAGCAGCTTTGCACGACTCGCTGCACTAACCTGGAAGCTTCTGGACTGTTGGCCGAGAATCCAATCGGCGGCCGTGAGGTTAAATATCAGCTGAACAAAAAACCTAATACCGTTGCTAGACCGATTTTGGTTGGAAGCAGTCCAACCCCGTTGGAATTTTGACGGTATGGTACTTGTAGCTTCTGTGAATTTCATTCTAAACACAAAACGTATCGTATTATGAAGATTAATTCTCCCATCAATTGTCCACTGGCGGTAAGTACGACTACCAATGAAAGATTCAGCTTACCCTACAGCGACGTGTCTGCTGATCGGCCTTCTGTAGATTGAGTGTGACAAATAGCGAGCTCTTGGAGACTGGGCCTAGCATGCACGCTTGCACACGCGCCGGTAAACTCACATCCTGTCGCACGAACCGCAACTCGATCTCATCCTCTTGAAGGTGGCGGGCGCCCACCCAGGCATCAGTGATCACGACGCTTTTCAGAATGCTTACTGCAGTCGAACCGTTAACGAAAGGATGCTGCCAGCTCTCTCCGAGATTCAGCTTGGCGCGTCCTCTACTGCAGCAGAAGCTGAATCCAGCCTGCGTGTCGTTGTTTACCACCTTGAGCACCTGATGAAGCGGTGACGCGATGTACACGGACAGAAAGATCGGGACTTTCGCAGGCGTACCGAAGTCAACAGCGACGACTCCATCGTATCGTGGTGTCTCCCTTTGAGCACGTGCTTCAAGTCGGGCAGGCGTGCTCACGTCCCGCCTAACAAAGAACAGCTCGATGTCGTCCTAAGTGAGACGGCGGTCGTTCACCCAGGCGTCCGTGACCACAAGACTCTTCATGGTTTTGACGGCCGTCTTCCCGTTGACGAAGCTGTGGCTCCATCTATCGCCAGGATTCAGGTGGGCGCGCCCTCTGTTGCATTGGAAAGTAAAGCCAACGGCAGTGTCGTTGTTCACCTTGAGCTCATGGAGGAACGGCGTAGCAATGTACACGGACAGATAGATTCGGATGGATCCGTTGGCTCTGGTGAAATTGAGCTCGACTCGCTTCAGGATGGTCACCGTTCCTTGGGCGGGGTCCTCCAATGGACCCACTTCTTGTCGACTGAAGCCCAACTCGACCTCATGTTGACTGAAGTGACGGCCGTCAACCCACGCATCCGTGAGGACGACGCTCTTCATCGTGTCCTGCGCTGAGATCAAGCTCATGAATCGTTGCTCCCAGCTCTCACCGACGTCCTCTGCTGCACACGAAGCTGAATCCAGCAAGGACGCCGGTGTTCTCCACCTTGAGCACGTGGCATGCAATTCCACAGCCAATTCGGCGGGAGACGATGTACACGGACACGTTCACGAGCGTGAGTTTCTTGGATGTGGGCATGGCGTAGTTGTAGCCCATGGCTGATAGGTAGTCGCTTTTAATGGGAGCGGCTCGCTATTAAACTCGGCAAGAACTCCCACCTCCAACGTTCTGTAGCTGATAGTCGTCGTCACATCTGCTCTAGTAGCAGCTCCCCCCACTCAGAACAGGGCCGGCCCACCTGTACAGTACTGAAGTTCTCGGGACCGGTTAGCTACTGTAGAAGGCACTAGAGAACATAACGCATTGCCGATCGGAAGTAATGTGCTTGCAGTCATATGGGAGCAATGTTCAAGTTCCTTGCACGCCGATTCCTCTGCCGAACTTTTCCGTTGCTACACCACATTTCGCGTGCAAGCACCGACCTGTACTATGCCGTTCTTGCACGTGACGCTGTTCAGTGCGGAGGACCTCCCGGCGAGCGATTCCATCCTCATCGGTGGCAAGAGTGACCCCTACGTAGTCTTCAAAGTCAGCAACATGGAGCGCAAAAGTCTGTGCCACAAGAGCAATCTCAACCCGCAATGGAACCCGCCAGAGCGCTACATTTTCCCCGTGGAGAGCCCCATGACCGCTGTCCTAACCATTAAGATCTTCGATATGGACTTCTTAAGGAGCGACGACCTTCTGGGCACAATCGTCTTGCCAGTGGCCATGTTTGAGGACCGCATGGGTGTTCGAACACTGGAGAATTACCCGATATCGGTGTCGAACGCATATTCCAAGCAGAATCGGCAGTCAACGCTGAAGTTGGAGATCTGTCTGAAGGCTACGAGCGATGACGAGGTCGAACAGCATCTTCACGTGTGGGAAAACCAGTCCAAGTCCTTCCGCTCCGGTTGGAAGCCTTCCACAGCTACGGCTCGGCTGCAGTGGTCGTCGTTCGACAACTCAATCACCTCGAATCAATTTAAGGACGTCGTCCCAGCAGCTCCGGCTGGGATGACGGGGTCAGGCTGGCAATTCTCCATCACGAGAGGAGACGACGAAGGATGGCTGTACGCGATGAGCTTTTCGGGGTCATGGAGCTCTAGCTGTTCTACTCTCAGTCGTGTTCGACGAAGACTATGGGATAACGTCTACCGCCTGAAAAACTCTCAAGAATCACGCGTCTCGGACTGCTAATGCTTATAAAGAGATCGTAGAATATATTTCCACCAAGCACCACTGCGTGTACATGTAGCTGATGGCATGCTAACAGCTTTCTTTTACGAAGTATTTATTTTCAGGCAGTGCACACGTGGGGGCCTACAAATTCTCTTCCATTCGATCGGGTGCCTCAAATGCAGATCCAAACTTATAAGAGTACTAAAGAATCTTCGTCGGAAAATGCGCTGCTCTTTCATCATCTATGTTGGCGTGCTACCGGGCGATGTCATGTGAATAAAAAGTAAAAAAAAAGTGTCAGACTTGTTCATGATACTTCAAGTAGTACGCTCACTCAATCTTGATAGGCTTCAAGTGCAGCGACAGAGGCTAGGAGCTGTACGAATTCATCGTTTGGTATAACAAAAACGTACATGGAGATCTTGGATCTACACAATCGCAGAGACAAGTTGTTGGTTGGGAGATAGAGGAGCAGTGGTTCTGCCTCATACCAGCACTATCCTATTCCTTCTTGATCCCTGAGCTCGACGTGGCGAGTATCACGCACGAGGACCGAATGTTTGTTTCTCTTTTTTCCTGTTTGATGAGGTTTCTAACTCGTTTCGCACGCGAAACTCTCCATACTTACAAGAAGACACCCGTTATTGTGAGATTTTTCTCATGGTATGACGAGCGGTTGTATTTCACGCGCCAAGGCGTACCCAGAGCGATATCCGTTTCCACGGTGTCTGCGTGATAAGCGATTGATCATCCCCATTTGAGCTGCTAGTTTCGGTAACATTACCAGCACTTCTCGATCAACCGAGTTTATTTAATCTCGATAGTGACAATGTAAAGACAACTTTGCGCCGCCGCTTCCCTAACCTACTGTTCTCTGTTTTTTAGCTGTTGACGACAACGCTCAACTTGCGGCAATTTCTGAACGGATACCTCGGCATTAGATTGGTTTTAGGCTTCGGTTAGCCAGCAGCACGACAAGTCGTCCTATCAACTCGCGTTCTTCTTCTTCAGAAGATACTTGCATCCGGTAGCCCTCCACTGCACTAACTGACGCTCTCACGGAAAATCATGCGCGACTTGCGCGTCGTAGTGTGTGCTGCCGCTCCCACCTTACTTCATCCGGGGTGAAGCCGTTTTCAGTGTAGCAAGAGAAAAAAATATCGTAGCAAGTTTGGCAAGCATTCTGTAGCAAGGAAAGTGAAAACCGGCATTGTCTTTTCCTGGCGTGCACTGGAGCGATTCAGAGATAGATTCAGCAGCATGCCTTGGGCAGCTGTGTAACTACGAGCGATAGCACGGTGAGCGTTTTATCATTCAGCTTCACTCGTACCGCCAACAGAGCTGAGGCCCAACGCATGAAGGCGTGTACGGCGACCCCTGGGTCTGCGCGTCGGAGTCAAGCAGCTGGCAACAGATTCTGAATCGAAAGCAGTCTGAATCCAGCGCCTGAAGAGGACTCCCATGACTGGAGCAATGTCGAAAGCTTGGCTGTGCACCACCACCACCACAAGCTCTGTTTTCGTCCACACCTTGATTAAACGATAGTATTTACAGAACAGACCGCATACTGAGACCAAGTGTTCCGTTTGACAGCGCGTTTCCATGTAAATGCCGTGCAAAAACTGAAATTGCCGTGCACTTCAACCTGGGCGGCGTCTCTGGCACACCTTGACTCGGCACCCAAGCAGCGTAAGCGCATGTGCAGCACGGGTAATCGCCAGTAGAATATTCTTTCGGGCTGCCTCCGCCCTCGGTTGGCCTCATGAACCTGAAGGCCCCGTGCTGGCCTGAACCCTCAAAACTTTCAAGCTTTCTCCCGCTTGATCCTTCTTCCCTCGTGCGAATCTTGCAGCTTGACCTTGCGTCTAAGCTCTGCGTCCTCTGGAGTTCGATACCAGCGATCCACCGCGCACACGCCGCTCGGTGTGCTGCAAAGCCTGGCACAACTGAGCTGCTGCAGCAGTCATCTGCGAGACTGCTCTCTCTGTGCACCAAAGCGTGCGAAAAGGGGTCCCCACCAACACGCAGCCGGTGCTACGGAGATATGCCTCGTTCCCTTTAAACTGTGCGTTTGGTCTCCGATAAGCACAGTTTGTCGAGTGCGACAAAGTGTCCCCAAGACTGTCCCCAAAGCTGGGTCTGTCTCATGGTCAATACTGCAGTTAATTTCCTGCTTTACAGTTTTCGTGGCTAGATATGCTACTATATCTCACAAATATGGTCATATCAGTAAATATAAAAACAAATACAAGCTAAAAATTCAATGCAAAATTCAATTTATGAATCTAGCACGTCAAAAGGACGACGTCACGGGGCGACGTCACGAATTTTCAGCAGAAAAAGCCGAAACCCCAAGCAGAAAAACGGCTGGCTATCTCGAGCCCACCACCAGTTGAAGCTTACGTTGGCAGCACCGTCGTGCCGGCAGTCGTCGTGTGCATCCCAGCACAGCACCCGCCGCCCGCCGCTCGATCTGTTCTTGACCATGCCCCGAGAAGAGCAATTGGCACCGCTTCATTCCCGTTTTTCCGGCCTCGCAGCTCCACGTGTACCCCGCCGCCGTCTTTCGTGAACGACCGAGTCCAGTCCAGCATGACCTCGTCCGCCGCGCTCCGCCACATCCCGCCGCTCAAGGTGCGCTCGCTGGGCTCCCGTGAGGCTGCCAGCAGCGCCCCCAAGACGCTCAAGACGCCGACCGCCATCCCGCTGCACCTCAAGCTCGCGGTGGGCGGCATGGCGGGCGCCGTCGGGATGGTCACGACCTTCCCCATGGACATCGTCAAGACGCACCTGCAGGGCCAGACGCGCACGGGCGGCCGCATGATGTTCTCGGGCCCGCTGCAGTGCTTCAAGCACATCGTGGCCACCGACGGACTGCGCGGACTGTACCGCGGTCTGCCGCCTACGCTCATGGGGGTGCTGCCCGAGAAGGCCATCAAGCTGGCGGTCAACGAGCAGCTCCGCGAGCACTTCGCCGACGCCGACGGTAACCTGTCAATGGCCAAGCAGGCGCTGGCTGGAGCCGGCGCTGGATGCGCGCAGTCTATCATCACCAACCCGGTAAGAGCTCTTAAGCGTAGCCTGTATCTGGAATCCTGGGTGTCAGGTTAACTAACGGAGACTTTGGTCTTTTTGATGCTTTTCCAGGTTGAGATCGTCAAGATCCGACTGCAGATGCAGACGTCACTGCCCGTGGCGGAGCGACAGACGGCCATGGAGATCGCCAGCAGTATGGGCATCCGCGGCATGTACAAGGGCGCGGGCGTGTGCTTCATGCGCGACGTACCGTACGCTATCCTGTTCTTCCCGTCCTACGCCACGCTGCGGGACGCCTGGGCTGACAAGGACACGGGCAAGAACTCGGTGCTGTCCATTGTGGCGGCGGGAGCTGTGGCCGGCGCTGGAGCGGCCGCCATCTGCACACCGGCCGACGTGATCAAGACGCGGCTGCAGATGAAGGGGTCCCCGTACACGGGCATGATGGACTGCGTGCGGAAGGTGGTTGCGGCCAACGGCCCTAAGGCGCTGATGAAGGGCGCAGGACCTCGCATGATGGTGCAAGCGCCGCTCTTCGGCATCACATTGGTCGCCTTCGAGCTGCAGAAGAAGTACATGGAGTCCCTGTAGACTCGATCGATCACCTTACATAGTTTAATATCATAGAATTTTGCCAGCCCTCCACGGCCGGAGCGATGCGCTCGCCCTGGATGGCTGTGCCCCTCTCATCGAGTGTTTTCATGGGCGTACTGTGCCCCCCCCCCCCACCTACCAGACCCCACTCTGGAGAAGTTCTTGCATCTATTAAACTTATACTTTAGTTAGGTGGTTGTTTTCACTTGTGAACCATTGTCATGGATCGCACCAAGTCGAATGGTTCACAACATGCGTTGCAACCGACGCAGCATAGAGTTACGCGCTGGAAGTTACCCGTAGCTGGCACTTGAACTGGTTGAAGCGGAGGTACGCACCTAATATAGTGCTGCGAACCAGAGCCGCATCAAATTGCACGACTATTTTGGACCTGTGCGAGAAGGAGGAGAGACCTTATCCATTTCCTCATTTTCCATTCTTGCACCCGGCGACAGAATTCCTTACCGAAGCCGACCGATTGACTTCACCCGGGGGCCACTGGTGCGAATGACTTTCAAGGTTTCCATAGCCCCAACATCCCACTCGATACGGTCGGTGCGAGTGCAGTCGCATCCAGCATGGTCAGCTCCAGAGGCGTCTACACTCCTAAAGCAGGCCACAACTCGAGTGGTAACAGCAGTCGCCGGACCAAGCGACGGGAGCACCGCACCAACGTACAAGCCTGGCAAATGGGACGTCTACGTGCTGGGCCTCACCATTGTCATTGGAGGGCAGTACTTCTGTTGGAACGCTGGCATCGCTGCGGGTCTCTACAGCTACTTCATCGCTTATCTTCTCATTGGAACTGCGTACATTGCGCTGTGCTGCTGCACGGCTGAGATCACTGGAGCTCTACCCTTTGCAGGCGGAGCTTACGGCCTCGCGCGCTGTACTCTTGGATTTTATCCGGCCTTTATGATCGGCTGCTGCGAAGCTCTCGAGTACATGGCCTACGTCTCAGTGTCAACCATCGCGTTCATCGATCTCCTCGTGGACACTGTGCTTGAGCTCAAGTCCTACCGTCCGTTGCTGTGGGGGTTGTTCTACCTGAGCGCGCTCGTATTCCACATCAAAGGGGGGCGGGCCTTTTGGGTGTTCAACCTCGTACTCGGAGTCGTGTCGCTGTTCATCGTGGCGCTCTACTGCATCGGCTCGCTCCCGTTCGTCAGCTTTTCCAAGTACGCGCACGACCCTGACTTGCAATTCGTGGACGGATTCTCAGGATTCATGAAGGCTCTACCTCTGGCTGCGTGGTTCTTCGTTGGGGTAGAGGCTCTACCCATGGCCAGCGACCAGATCGAGCACGCCAAGCACATCGTCCCTATTGCCCAAGTCGGCTGCGTAGTGACGCTCTTCGTGACTGGAATCTTCGTCTATTTCGTCACCGCTTCCCTCCCTCCTGGACTCGCAGCACTCCCAGCAGAGCTGGTGCCGTTCGACAAGGGGTTCACATTGATGCTCAGTATTCCTCGACATGCTGCGACGGTTCTATCGCTGCCGGCAACGTACGCGACCGCGTTTGGCTTCATGTGGTGCTACGGCAAACTCATCGTGGCGATGGCGACGTCGAAGCTCCTACCGTCGTTCCTGAGCAAGACAACTGTGGCCCATGAGACGCCCTACGCTGCGCTCATTGCAGGGACCTCAGTCAGCTACGCGATTTGCCTCGTAGTTTACTGGGTCCCGTCCATCGGCCAGTACCTCTTCAACATCTGCATGCTGGCAGCCTTCATGTCGTACACGGGGCAATGCGTCGGCTACATTTCGCTCAAACACAACTACCGCAACATCAAGAGCTCGGAGTTTCGAAGTCCGTTCGGGTCCTGGGGGGCATTCTACTCCATGTGCGTCTGGCTGCTGAGTACGGTTGGGATCGTCGCCTTCCAGGGCAATGGGAGCGTCGAGAGCTTTGCCTTCCTGGCGGTAGTTGCGTCTCTGACGGTGTTCTACTTCGTCTACGCACGGAAACGTCAAACCTTCTCTCCGCAGGAGAACCGAGTCATGCTCGTGGCCCACGTGACCAAATTCAACATCAAGAAGGTGGCGGCAGCTCGACGCCACAAACACCAGACCACAGGCTCCACAAGCGGCAGCCACCACACCACAGGAAGCGAAGCCTCGGAAGGAAGACGCTCGAACCCAAAGGCAACATTTGGGAAATCGATTAGGTCGGTTAGAAGTGGCAGGAGCGGAAGAAGTGCAGGACGATAGATACAAAAGCTGAAGTGTGAACGAGAATCAACTCAATCCAATCGATGATAGAGGCGACACAGTACATAATTTCACCCAGAGACACTGAGCTATGCATAGGTTGAGAACGGGACAGCGTAAACGAGAATGCACTTTGGTTGTTCTCGTCCTCGGGCGTTTCGAAGCTTTTTCTGAGCCATTGGAATAAATAGCAGCCTCCGAAAGCCCCGGGGCAAACCCATTTCGCAAGAGAAGGCACCAGCAGCACGCTGTGATTGCCATGAAAATCCCCAACCTGCATCCGTTCAGGAGACGGACCTTAGTTCAGCCTTTGGCGCCGTCCACGGTTCAGATTTTGCCTAGCGGAGAGAAAGCTGCAGCCCCAGCGAACGGACCATCGGCCGACAACACGATCAAATACCGACACGGCAAGCTGGACATCTTCCTGCTCGGCATCACGATTGTCATCGGCGGGCAGTATTTCTGCTGGAACGAAGGCATCAACGCTGGGATCTACAGCTTCCTCATCGGATATTTCCTTATTGCCACCGCGTACATCACGCTGTGCAGCTGTACGGCGGAAATCACGGGCGCACTGCCGTTTGCGGGCGGTTCCTACGGCTTAGCACGGTGCACGCTGGGGTTCTACCCGGCGTTTATGGTTGGTTGCTGCGAGGCGCTCGAGTACATCGCGTACGTCTCAGCGTCCGTGATATCGTTTGTTGACCTCATTGTGGACGCTGCGCCATCGCTAGACGCATACTCGCCGCTGTTGTGGGCGCTATTCTACGTCAGCTCACTCCTCATCCAGATCAAAGGCGGTCACGTGTTTTGGGTGTTCAATCTCGGCATTGGAATCATCTCGCTGCTTATTGTGATAATTTACTGCCTCGGATCTTTGGCGTTCGTCGATTTCGCGGAATACGGTGCAGACCCCAACCTGAAATTTGTCGATGGATTTAGCGGGTTCATGAAAGCCCTCCCTTTGGCGTCTTGGTTTTTCGTCGGCGTTGAAGCTCTCAGCTTATCGAGCGATCAAGTGGACCAGCCAAAGAAAATAGTTCCACTTGCGCAAGTTTCGTGCGTCGTGACGCTTTCCATCACTGGATTGGTTGTGTATTTCGTGACGGCTTCCCTCCCGCCGGGTTTAGCCTCGCTGCCAACCGAGTTGGTCCCGTTCAACCGAGGATTCACGCTCATGTTCAACATCCCCCACCACGTCGCTACTATCCTGTCGCTTCCGGCAACGTACGCTACCGCGTTTGGGTTCATGTGGTGCTACGGCAAACTCATCGCCGCCATGGCAATGTCTCGCTTGCTGCCTAAGTTCCTCTCCAAAACCACCAAAGAGCACGAGAGCCCGTACGGCGCCCTCATCGCGGGATCAGCCGTCAGCTACGGGTTGTGCATCGTCTCGTATTTCGTGCCCGCCGTAGGGAAGAACCTGTTCCGCATCTGCATCCTGTCGGCGTTCATGTCGTACACGGGTCAGTGCATCGGCTACATCTCGCTCAAGCGCAACTACAAGAACATCAAGAGCTCCGAGTTTCAGAGTCCGTTCGGCGTCGCAGGTGCCGTATACTCGATGACCATCTGGATTCTAGCGACGATCGCAGTCGTAGCGTTCCAGGACAACGACGGAGTGGAGATCATCGCGTTTGGCGTGACTGTGACGCTGCTGACGCTGTTCTACTTCGGATACTCTCGCACGCGCCAGACGTTCTCAGCGGCGGAGAACCGGGTGATGCTCGTAGCTCACGTGACGAAGTTTAACGTGAAGAAGGTGGCCGCGGGCAGGAACAAGCGGGGTGTGAAGAAGTCTAGTAGCAATAGCAAACGCACCGGAGGCGGAACTGAAACGTCTCAAACCGAGAGAGGGAGGCTGACCCTCAAATCGGCCAAGTCGGCGATGCATTCGGTGACGAGTACGGCTCGATAGGCTTTAACAAGTTTTGAATACGAAGATACGAGACAACTCACGCCATGGTATTCCCTGTTTAAAAAGACTGAGGTTCCGGCTACTCCAGTCGAGGTCTTCGTGATCAAAGAAGTAGCTCTATCGTCTGTTGCTCCGCTTCGACTCTCTTGAGTCTTATCCCTGTGTTGATTCGCTCGTGGGGGTTTCATCAGCTTCGCTGGGCTCTGAAATAGGTAGCGGAAGTCAAATCGATAGCTGACTTTGCGAGCACTTCACGTTCAAGCCTCGACACGCGCAGAGCCATGACAGCGATCAAATTCCACAATCCATTCCAACGAACGACGCGAGTGCAGGCGCTGTCGGCGCCGAAGATTCAAATCCAACCGATTCGAGAGAAACCAACGGACGCTCGAGATGCCGAACCAGCCTCGGGGCCATCCGCCACCTCCGCGACAGCGCCGTATCGACCTGGCCGGAGTGATATCTTCATGCTCGGGATCACGATCGTCATCGGTGGCCACTATTTCTGCTGGAATGAAGGGGTGAACGCTGGAATCTACAGCTTCCTCCTGGGGTACCTTCTCATCACGTCGGCGTATATTACACTGTGCTGCTGCACAGCGGAGATCACGGGAGCGCTACCGTTTGCTGGGGGGTCTTACGGCCTAGCTCGCTGCACTTTGGGGTTCTACGCGGCGTTCATGGTCGGCTGCTGCGAAGCTCTCGAGTATATTGCTTACGTGTCGGCGTCAGTGATATCTTTCGTCGATCTCATCGTGGATGTTGTTCCCTCCGTGGACGCTTTTGCACCATTGCTGTGGGCCCTCTTCTACGTGAGCGCGCTCTTCATTCAGATCAAAGGCGGCCGGGTCTTCTGGCTGTTCAATCTCGGCATCGGCATCATCTCGCTTATCATTGTCGTGATATACTGCTTCGGATCTTTGGCGTTTGTAGACTTCCCTGAGTATGGGGAAGAGGAATTTGTCGATGGATTCCACGGATTCATGAAAGCTTTACCACTGGCAGGTTGGTTCTTTGTCGGCGTTGAAGCGCTCAGCTTATCCAGCGATCAAGTGGATCAACCCAAGAAAATCGTCCCTATAGCTCAGGTCTCCTGTGTCCTGACACTGTTCGCCATAAGTCTCTTCGTTTACTTCGTAACTGCATCACTGCCGCCCGGTTTAGCCTCGCTGCCAACCGAGTTGGTCCCGTTCAACCGAGGATTCACGCTCATGTTTAATATTCCCCACCACGTCGCCACGATCCTGTCGCTTCCGGCAACGTACGCTACCGCGTTTGGGTTCATGTGGTGCTACGGCAAACTCATCGCCGCCATGGCAATGTCTCGCTTGCTGCCTAAGTTCCTCTCCAAAACCACCAAAGAGCACGAGAGCCCGTACGGCGCCCTCATCGCGGGATCAGCCGTCAGCTACGGGTTGTGCATCGTCTCGTATTTCGTGCCCGCCGTAGGGAAGAACCTGTTCCGCATCTGCATCCTGTCGGCGTTCATGTCGTACACGGGTCAGTGCATCGGCTACATCTCGCTCAAGCGCAACTACAAGAACATCAAGAGCTCCGAGTTTCAGAGTCCGTTCGGCGTCGCAGGTGCCGTATACTCGATGACCATCTGGATTCTAGCGACGATCGCAGTCGTAGCGTTCCAGGACAACGACGGAGTGGAGATCATCGCGTTTGGCGTGACTGTGACGCTGCTGACGCTGTTCTACTTCGGATACTCTCGCACGCGCCAGACGTTCTCAGCGGCGGAGAACCGGGTGATGCTCGTAGCTCACGTGACGAAGTTTAACGTGAAGAAGGTGGCGGCGGGCAGACATAAGCGCGGCGCCAAAAAGCCCAGTAGCAATAGCAAACGCACGGGTGGAACAGATACGTCGCATACCGAAAACAATGGCAAGTGGGGAGTGATCACCTCCAAATTCGCCGTGAACTCTACCCCCAGCCACGGCAAATAGCTCACGAATACATCTCAGTCAGGATATTGAATTGTAGGGTATGAAGTGAAAAGTGTATAATGGAGTGAATTCATGCGCCTTTGTTATGAATATTAGCATTTAAAAAAAATCAACACCACTCTACTATACAAAAGCCTGAAGTGTTCGTCGTTTCCAAAGATAATGAATAGCCTGGTGCCGTTGTTCTCATTCGAGCAGCCCCAGAAATACTTCGTCCATAGTGGAAAGCACCCCTATGGACCCGTTTCGTTCGTGTGAACTTGCTGGTGTTATCCTCCAAACTACCTGAAAGCTCAGACGAAATTGAGCGACAGCGGCCGCATCTCAACGCACATGGCTTCGTGCATGTGCAACATCCTTCCTTTGCCGCGAAAAGTACTTCCAAGCCTCGCGCCTCGAAGCGAAAACCTGCCCAGTGCTACCGAGGGCTCTAGAGTAGCCTAGGCGACGTCAGGCCCTGTCGACCCGCACCTGCCGACAAAGTATCATCCTGGCAAACAGGACATTTACCTGCTCGGCATCAGCATTGGGATCGGCGGCCAGTACTTTGGCTGGAACAGCGGTGTCTCCGCTGGCATTTACTCGTTCCTCATCGCTTATCTGCTACTCGCAAGCGGCTACATCACGCTGTGTAGCTGTCTGGGCGAGATCAAAGGTGCGCTGCCCTTCGCAGGCGGCGCGTACGGTCTGGAGCGATGTACTCTAGGCTTCTACCCTGCCTTCATGATCGGGTGCTGCGACGCACTGGAATACACCGCGTATGTGTCGGCGGGGGTGTTGTCCTTCACGGACCTCTTGGCCGAGGTGATCCCAGCGATTCTGGACTATCGACCGGCGTTTTGGGCCATCTTCTACTTGGCCGCGTTAGCGCTCAATATCAAGGGCGACCGCGCGTTTTGGATCGTGAACCGCTGGCTCGGAGTTGCGTCTCTGGTCGTGCTGCTGGTGTTTTGCATTGGGTCCCTTCCGTACGTAAAGTTCGCGAAATACGCTGCAGACTCGGACGTTGCAGGTGTCGGAGACTTCAAAAGCTTCATGAACGTGCTTCCATTGACAGCCTAGTTCTTCATTGGCGTCGAATCTCTGACGCTAGCTAGCGACAATATTGAAAACCCCAAGAAGATCATCCCTACAGCTCAAGCGTCCTGTATTGCGACGCTGGTGGCGACGGGGTTAATGGTCTTCTTCGTGACGATCTCGCTGCCACCTGGAGTCGGTTCACTTACTGCTGAGGCTTTCCCATTCTGCAGAGGCTTCCAGCTCCTCTTCAACACTTCGCACCAACTCACAAGCGTTTTCTCAATGCCAGCGACTTTCGCCTCGGCTTTCGGCTTCATGTGGTGCTACGGGAAGCTCATCTACGCCATGTCGGCGTCCCGCCTCCTGCTTCCGGTCTTCGCGTACAGCACAAAGCCGAATGAAATGCCCTACGCAGCGCTGCTGCTCGGATCGGTCTGCAGCTACGGCTTCTGCATCATCATGTACATTTTCCCAGTACTAACAGCCGAGCTTTTCCGAGTTTGCATTTTATCTGCGTCTGTGTCGTACACGGGCCAATGCGTCGGCTACATCTCGCTCAAACGCAACTACAAAAACATCAAGAGCTCGTCGTTCTCAAGTCCTTTCGGGGTTGGAGGCGCCGTCTACTCCATGTTGGTGTGGATTTTCACTGCTATCGCTCTGATCGGGTTCCAAGATGACAACGGGGTGGCGCTCATCGCGTTCCTGCTAATGGTGCTGGCCTTGTCGACGTACTACTTCGGTTGCGCGCGGAAGCAGCAGACGTTCTGGGCCCAGGAGAACAAGGTCATGCTCATCGCGCACGTGACCAAGTTCAACATCAAGAAGCTGGCAGCAAGTCGGCAAAAGCGAACCAGCCACGTGCATCTGTTTACAACGAGCCGGCGGACACGCACTGAGACTTCGCACCCTGAGAGGTCCAAGCGGGTTGTGCACGTTTCTTCGGCAAAGAAGAGCTCTTTCCGCTAACTTAGCTACGAGTCGTACGCCGTTGATACTTACACGTCTAACTTGTTCTTACATTATTGTCAAGCTAATGCGTCTTCATCGTTCGTGGAATTCTGTAAACACAAATACCGTCTTTCACCGATTTTGGTGTTCAGCTACCTAGTACGAGCTAAGTATGCTTATCCCTCCTTCGGAACGACCGAGCCTGCGTAAATATAGTGTGAGGGGGCAGAGACAACAGTGCTTTGCCACGAACAAACAAACATACAAACGCTGTCGTGGCCCGTGGGCAAAACAATCGCTCATGGTAAACCATTTCGTAGTCGCACCAGCGACTCCTAGCTTCAAGACGCGCTACCGACAATTCACCTCCTTCCTCTCGAGAGCCATGCAGAGAGTCACGCGGTCGTGGCACCAGTGCCACATCGGCCACCGAAGTCACTACTCCATCGAGCGATTGCTCGCGTTTCGAGACTACCACGAGCGCACATCAAACTGCCGAGCGACTGCTGTGTGTCTGCTGTCGTCGCTCCCAGAATTGGCCGTGACGCTCGCCATCGACTGCATCCCGCTACGAACCCCGTCAACTGACTGGAGAGAGAACAATCACATGTGGGTGCGATGGTTCCTCGCCCTGTTTGGGATTGCACTGAGGCTGGCAGCTCACTTGAAACAAACGATACCAGGAAACTTGATCTCCACCTGCAGAGCGCTCAGTATTGCACTAGCGACGGCCATTTCGTGCGTCGTTTTACCCATCCTTTTAGCCGCAACATGGAGATTTCCAATTCCGTTCGGCTACGTGCTGCTAGTGGCTCCTTTCGTCTCGCTCTTCTGGTTCTTTACTGGCTTGACAATCGGCCGTCGGACTCTATCCAAGTCATCCGTTCTTCGCCAAAACATCAAGACTCACCTGCTAATAAATTGCACGCAAGGTTTCGTGGCCGTGGCGTGTCCCGTCTTCAGCGCGGTATTCACCCATTTATCGGGGACGAAGCAAGCTGCGTTCGTGTTTGTGATGCCCATCATCAAGTTTACTACCAAGCAAGTGATAGCGACTGCGGCTGCAGACCTCCACGAGTACATTGGCCCCATTGTGGTGCTGTCCGTAGACCTGTTTAACGGCTACTAACCCGCCATCTGCATGCAGTCGGCGACCTCGTGGGTCACGTCGCTCGTGTTCATCGTGTTCGATGGTTTCCACGTTGTTGTCGCTCTTCGCGCAATTTTCATCCGAGCGGACGGGGTCCACGCCACTCGGGAGTCATCGGCGTCAGAAATTTTGCAGTCGACATCCTATCTCGAAGATATGCCGGTTTTGGTGAGGAATATTTTCAAGAATGACCAGGTTTCGACCTCCCGAAAGCGTCCGATTCGAGTGTTCGTACCGTTTCCTCTCTCCCTTTCACACAACAGCAAGGAATTCATCAGCGAGCTGATAAACACAGAACGAGGCCAAACGATCGGTGCATTGACAACTTCAGGGGTCACCACGAAATTCAGAGTGCGAAGATCACAAGCAGCACCAAATCCTTCCAGTGACAAGCATCCGGAAGGGGGCGAGAAAATCTGGGAACGGATCAATGTTACGGCTGGTGCTTCAAGCGTCTAGCAAGATAAATTCTCATGCCGTCCCTAAATCCGACGAAGAAGCGGTTTGGGACGGACTGCAGACGCTTTTCCACTCGGAATACGTCCTGCTGGCCGAGTACATCGAGGTGGTCTTGCCCATCTCGTATGCGATTTATTTGTCGACACTCTTTCATCTTCCCGTGGCAGAATTTTATCCAAACACTGCTTCATTGACGACAGCAAAGCTACGAACGACGCTGGCGAGTATTTTACACTTCGCGGCTGTCGAATTGGTCGGATTTGGAGTCCTGATTGTCCTGATGCGGCGCAAGCTGGGCTATTCCCCACTCCATCACCTTGCCTTCGTGTTAGAGACACAAAGCGGAACGGTCCAGGGCTATATGTTCATCTGGACGCTGTATATTTTGCATCTCACGCTCGTGCACTACGGTATTGTGCAGTTCTCTGAGAAAATACTGTCTTATGCAAGCTTTTCTGATATTTTCTTGTTGTTATTTTCACCCTCAGGCACGATGCTGCCACATGTTACGCCGACTCTGGGACTTGAACTGGACTGGCTGAAGACGAACTAATTCTGAGCTGGCTGACTCACTGGCGCCGAAACAACGGCACCCGTCTACGGGCTTGACGAAATCCTAGGGTGAACAGAGTATTTTAGTGGCGCTTACTAAAATAATAATTTGATGCTAACTAGTTAAGACATGGGATGGAGCATCCGGTTGTTGAGAATAGACCTAGCAACTTCATCCCAAGAACGGATCCGGTCAAAGGTTTATTTTCGAGGAAACGCCTTCAAATCGCGATTTTTTCATAGTTTTGATATTATAAATATCGATATTTTATTATAAACCTTGCATATATTGATCCTGGATTTGTTTAGTCGAATACTGGCATGATTCCCGATGAAAATGTGCTACACAAGCTTCGAGTTGAAATCAACGTGGTCTCAGCCACCAAAGTTCTGCCAGCGGCACCCCCAAGCAGCTCTCCGGACTCCCGACCACCTAATGCCACCACCGTTGGTCCAGGGGCTGAGATTGCGCCAGTGAGGTACAAACCAGGGAAACTGAACCTGTTCATGCTCGGCATCACCATCGTCATGGGCGGACAGTACGCTGACTGGAACGAGGGCCTCCACTCGGGGCTCTACAGCTTCATCATCGCCTACTTTCTCATCGCTATCGGCTACTTGTTGCTCTGCTGCTGCACGGCTGAGATCAACGGCGCGTTGCCATTCTCCGGTGGTGCCTACGGGTTGGCGCGTTGCACGCTCGGATTCTACCCCGCGTTCATGATCGGGTGCTGCGATACGACCGAATACATCGTCTACACTTCCGCCTCGGTCATTTCACTCACGGAGCTGGTACTGGAGGCAGTGCCAGGACTGAAACCGTACCAGCCTTTGGTGTGGGGGCTATTCTACGTTGTGGCGCTCGCCATCGTGATCAGAGGCGGTCGAGCCTTCTGGGTTGTCAACTTTACGCTCGGGGGTTTGACTCTGTTGTTCCTTGCGATCTACTGCTTCGGCTCGCTCCCGTACGTCAGCTTCAAACTGTACGCTACGGACCCAGAGATGAAGTTTGTTGCAGGGTTTCGGGGATTTATGTTGGGTCTCCCGCATGCGGCGTGGTTGTTCGTCGGAATTGAGGCGTTGAGTCTGGACTGTGACCAAACGGATACACCAAAGAAGATCATCCCCGTGGTCCAATTGTTCTGCATCGCCACCGCTTTTGTGATTGGAGTTATGGTTCTGTTCGTCACGGTGTCGCTTCCTCCGGGTCTGGCTGTAGTGGCAAACACTAAAGTTCTCTTCGACCTTGGCTTTTCGTTGATGTTCAAGATCCCCTACCACTACGCAGCGTTCCTATCACTCCCTGCAGCCTTCGCTACTGCGTTCGGCTTCATGTGGGCGTATGGCAAACTCATCGCCGCAATGTCGACGTCCAGGCTTTTACTCCCGTTCTGCGCCAAAACTACCGCTAGAAGTAATACTCCGTACAACGCGTTGCTCTTCGGATCCGCGTGGAGCTACGCGCTCTGCCTTCTCGTCTACGTCGTACCTCAAGTCGGTGAGAGTTTCACAGGAGTCTGCATGCTCTCCGCTGCCATGTCGTACTCTGGACAATGCGTCGGCTACATCGCGCTCAAGCGGAACTACAAAAACATCAAAAGCTCCGAGTTCCGCAGTCCGTTCGGGATCGCCGGAGCCTTCTGCTCCTTGCTGGTGTGGATCCTCATGGCCATCTCGCTACTGACAGTCCATGACGACGGGGGCATTGACGCCATGGGCTTCACGATCGTCGTGATCCTCTTCACGGTCTTTCTACTTCTGTTACGCTCGCAAGCGCCAGACTTTTTCTCCGCAGGAAAACAAGATCATGTTAGTGGCTCACGTGACGAAATTCAACATCAAGAAGGTGGCGGCCAACCGGCAGCACCGACACCACAAGCAGAGCAGCGGGAGCAGTAGCCACACGGGCAACGCTACCGAGACATCGCTGGGGGAGAGGGCCAAGAGCCTGGTCAAGGGCCGGTTCTCCTTCTCCAAGAAGTCTTCGAGGTCGACCAGGATGGTGTCGGTGGCTCCGCTGTCCACGAGGTCGTCAGGGTCGGGAAAATTCTTGTTAGTGAATCCAAAGCCACGAAAGACGTAGAATGAATAGAAGTCGTAGATTTTTTATACGAATCTCGGAAATTCGTACCAGGGTGTTCCAGCATCCAAATACAGATCATCATCATCAGTACACAACGAACCCCTTGCCACTTCACCGGATTCGCACTAAGAAACGGTGAAAACCAAGCGTCCTCCGACGAACCAGTCCAGAAACGAACACTTTACCTTCTCGGCTCTCCAAGTTCCTTCGTCGAAATGGGACTGCACAGTGTCATGGTCTCACCAAGTCGTGGTCATCTACCCAACTCTGGCAGCAAAGCCAATGCAGCAGCAGGGCCGGCGGTCGGGAACGCCACGCAGCGGTACAAGCCCGGCAAACTGGACGCGTACTTGCTCGGGATCACCATCATCCTCGGGGGTCAATACGATGTACGTGTCCGCCTCCGTGATCGCGTTCGCCGACTTGGTGGTAGAAGCAGCCCCTAGCCTTGACTCGTACCAACCCTTGATATGGGCGCTGTTCTACGTGGTTTCGTTGGCTGTTACCATCAAAGGCGACCGAGTCTCTGCTCTTCTGAGCTTTGAGAAGTACGCGGCGGTCCCGGAGCTGGAATTCGTCGACGGATGGAGAGGCTTCATGCTGGGATTGCCTCACGCCGCGTGGTTCTTCGTCGGGATCGAGGCCTTGAGTCTGGCTGGTGACCAAATTGACGCACCGAAGAAAGTCATCCCAGTCGCGCAGCTCACGTGCATCTTGTCGGTATTCGCGACTGGAGTCATGGTGGTCTTTGTGACGGTATCGCTGACTCCGGGGTTGACAGAGTTGCCGAGCAACTTGATCCCGTTCGACCTCGGGTTCACGCAGATGTTCAACGTGTCGAGGCGATACACTGCGTTCCTCTCGCTACCGGCAATCTTCGCCACAGCGTTCGGGTTTACGTGGGTGTACGGCAAAGTCATCGCAGCAATGTCAACATCGAAGCTTCTGCTTCCCTTCTGCGCCAAAACCACCGCTAAAAGCAACACACCGTACAACGCGCTGCTCCTCGGATCCGCGTGGAGCTACGCGCTCTGCCTTCTCGTCTACGTCGTACCTCAAGTCGGTGAGAGTTTCACAGGAGTCTGCATGCTCTCCGCTGCCATGTCGTACTCTGGACAATGCGTCGGCTACATCGCGCTCAAGCGGAACTACAAAAACATCAAAAGCTCCGAGTTCCGCAGTCCGTTCGGGATCGCCGGAGCCTTCTGCTCCTTGCTGGTGTGGATCCTCATGGCCGTCTCGCTACTGACGATCCACGACGACGGGGGCATTGACGCCATGGGCTTCACGATCGTCGTGATTCTCTTCACGGTCTTCTACTTCTGCTACGCTCGCAAGCGCCAGACTTTTTCTCCGCAGGAAAACAAAATCATGTTAGTGGCTCACGTGACGAAATTTAACATCAAGAAGGTGGCGAGCCGACAGAACCGACACCAGAAGAATGGCAGTGGCAGCAGCAGCAACACGGCAGCGGGGGCGGAGACGTCTCTGAGTGAAAGAGCGAAGAACGTAGTGAAGAGCCGATTTCCCAAGAAGTCCTCGGGGTCGACCCGAATGGTGTCGGTGGCTCCGTTCTCCACGAGATCAACGGGCTCCGGCAAACTCTTCTCAGGGAATGCGAAGGCGCTGAAGACGTAGCAAGACTAAGCATGGGGGCCTGTCTACCTACCTTTCCCCCCGTGCCTGGTCCCTACATTACAGCGACGAATGAGACGAAAAGGAGCAAAACGCAGTGAGACCAGGTCGGCATCTTCGATCGGTGGAAAACAGAGCGCTGGATTCCAGTCCCAGCGGTCGGGGGTTCGATCCCCTCTTCCTAGGAACATTTAGGCGCCAAGTCTCATATTTTCCTTCACGTACCAGTCCCACCAAAGATGAGTGACGCTTACAAGATAATGGACAGCGCTACTGGATCACTAGATATCTACAGCCCCGCAGTTCATGAAATTAACTTCCCGTTAGTAACTTAGTCTCCGTCGTGGCCATCGCCGTCGTACGGATCCTCGTCAAGAAGACAAGCAGCCACGTCCGCCCACATCCCTTCCAGGTCGTCGCCCACGCTCGAATCCAACGGAGAGAGCGACAGAGCCCCCGGTTCAACACCCGCCAGCATCATGGAGCTACCGGCAGCTTGGCTCTCCGTCATGAGATTCTGGAATCCGGCGTGCTGCACCCGCGCTCTGAACCGAGCCGAGTGCCAGCGGTTCTTGATGGCGTTGTCCGTGCGGCCAGGCAGATACGCCGCCATCCGCGACCACGCGTTGCCCAGCTTGCGCTGCAGCGTCACCAGCAGCGCGTCTTCGTCAGCCGACCAGGCCTCGCGCTTGATCGCCGGGTCCAGCTGATTGTGCCACCGCTCGCGGCACTGCTTGGCGGTGCGGCCGGGCAGAAATGACGCCACCATCGTCCAGTGGCCCGCTCCTTCGCAGTAGACGAACGTGCTGAGGAACCCGTCCTCTTGGGCCGTCCACGGTTGGCGGGTCAGAGACACTCCAAGACTCTGCAGCTCCTCCCAGCGGGCTGAACAAGACTCCTCTGAGCGGTTCGGCACCGCCGAGGCCACGAACTCCCAGCGCCGTACTCCGTGCTGTCGAACAGCTTCACGAAGCAACTCGTCCTAAACACACACAAAAGAGAACAAACAAGTGATGTCTTGATCGTTTGGAAGTCCTAGCTGGCGCCTACGAGTCTTACCTACTTCGGCTGCGGTCCATCGTGCTAGTGCAGGCGCTTTCATCTGTGGCCTTGGTCGCCTAAGCAGAAATGATCGGCAAGTCTCGTCATTCGAAGATGGTGGTGTGTTGGGGGGGGGGGTATGAGAGAGGGTCTCAACGGCTTTGCCTCTTCTCGGTCAGAGCTTTTATCCACCAAGTCAACTCGGGTAAATTATCTTGCGCGTGACGAGGATGTCGCTGCAGAGATCAGACAAAAGCTTGGGCGAGGCGACGGGTTTTCAGCCGCTGCGTCTTTCACTGCGGAAGTTTTTGCAAGCTCCGAGTTCTCTTCCCAGCGCAAAATTGCGGAAATTTACATACAACTTTTCTTAGGATTACTCGGAGAAATTAATTTTGTGGCAACGTTGGCTGAATGGTTGTGCTGATGGTCGATCAATATCTAGTCTACATCATTCAATGCGAAAATATATTGAGAATACGCGAAGAAATAGCATGAATCTGTAAACCGTCATGCATTTTTACTATTGATCGTACGTACGCTCATGGCAGGTGTCGGCTTCCAGTCTCGTGGAGAAGACGGAGGGCCGTATGGCTCACCTGCACGTGGCGCTCGAGTTCGGCGAGGAGATCACGGAGGAGCAGCTCCACGCGCTGTTTAAGAACAACCCGCTGCACTACATCGCTCTGCACATCTGCATCACTTCCGGGGCGCGCCGTGAATAGCACTGGCGCCGCAGATGCTGCGGCTGCGAAGCAGCCGCAGCAGATGCGTATCAAATGTTGGCAAGTTTCTGTTCATTTAACCGAACAATTTTGGTTTGCTTCGACGAAATTGCATATTCAGGCGCACTACCAGCCCAATCCTCTAGTTCGGAGGGCCTGCTCCGTGTACAAATTGCTGGCGCGTCTCCATCGCCTACCTTTCCCCCCGTGCCTGGTCCCTACATTACAGCGACGAACGAGACGAAAAGGAGCAAAACGCAGTGAGACCAGGTCGGCATCTTCGATCGGTGGAAAACAGAGCGCTGGATTCCAGTCCCAGTGGTCGGGGGTTCGATCCCCTCTTCCTAGGAACATTTAGGCGCCAAGTCTCATATTTTCCTTCACGTACCAGTCCCACCAAAGATGAGTGACGCTTACAAGATAATGGACAGCGCTACTGGATCACTAGATATCTACAGCCCCGCAGTTCATGAAATTAACTTCCCGTTAGTAACTTAGTCTCCGTCGTGGCCATCGCCGTCGTACGGATCCTCAAGAAGACAAGCAGCCACGTCCGCCCACATCCCTTCCAGGTCGTCGCCCACGCTCGAATCCAACGGAGAGAGCGACAGAGCCCCCGGTTCAACACCCGCCAGCATCATGGAGCTACCGGCAGCTTGGCTCTCCGTCATGAGATTCTGGAATCTGGCGTGCTGCACCCGCGCTCTGAACCGAGCCGAGTGCCAGCGGTTCTTGATGGCGTTGTCCGTGCGGCCAGGCAGATACGCCGCCATCCGCGACCACGCGTTGCCCAGCTTGCGCTGCAGCGTCACCAGCAGCGCGTCTTCGTCAGCCGACCAGGCCTCGCGCTTGATCGCCGGGTTCAGCTGGTGGTGCCACCGCTCGCGGCACTGCTTGGCATTCCGTCCAGGCAGAAACGACGCCACTATGGTCCATTGACTCGCGCCTTCGCTGTCAACAATAGCGCTCAGCAGCTCGTCCTCGTGCTCGGTCCAAGGCTGCCGCGTTAGCGACCATCGACTCTGCAGTTCCTCCCAGCGAGCAGAACACGATTCCTCCGAGCGATTCGGGACGGCGGAGGCGATGAAGTCCCAGCGTCGAGCTCCGTGTTGTCGGACCGCTTCCCGGAGCTGAGTGTCCTGGTAGATCAAGATGAAGGAGAAGTTAGAATAAAGCGCACAGAATACGAAGAGAATGGTTAAGTAAGCCCTACCTCGTCGGGTGTCCACAACATCACAACATCAACGCTGTTGCTTGCACCTGGGAAAGGCGCCTGGCCTCGGCCATCCAAAATTCAGCAATGAAGCATTCGAGTTGAAGCTGCCACTTGCTGTCAGCAAGACACGAATGACAAATGACTCGTCGCAAACGTTTGTATCGTCCTGTACGACGTACGTCGAAATGACTCCAAGTACCCGTCTATCCGCCCAGGCGTTGGGTCGGACGCTCGTGGTTATGCCGTTGAGTCAACTTCCGGGTTGAGTACTTGCTGTACGAACCTGGAAGAAGCGGCAGCATCTGCGAGGCGACGTATTCGCTCGGTCGAAGCGTGTTTTGCAAAGCGCTACCTACCTGAAGCAGTCTGTCTTTGAGGTTCGGGCGCGTACTGATCTCTTCTTCCTTAGATCAATCTCGAATTCCAATGTCCACAAAAACCGAAAGCTACAGTGTGTCCTTCATTAGGCGGCGTTGTCCACGCCGAGTTGATATTTTCTTTAGCATTGTGCGACCATCTACATGTACTTGTTCTCAACGGTCTTGGTTCTCTTAAATAGCGACGCCCATGCAGTTTTTACGCAGCGAGAATTTGCTGCGCAGCGAGTTGAGCACGACGAGCGACCGACGTGGCATCCGACGAATGTTCTCGAGGTTGGACGGTGACGCGGTCTTCGGTGTCTTCGGTGACGGTGCCGGCGCCGGCCCTGACAAGTTCCACGTGTCAAGCATGGTCAAGTCGATCTGACACACCGACGAGGTTCTAGAAGACACGGGCGAATCTCTGGGCGGGGTGCCTGGCGTGCCCGGGGAGCTCGGAAAGGGGTCCTTCGGGGTTCCGTCATGTTCCACGACGACGACGTCCAACGCACGACCACCTAGAACTGCCAACGATTCTAGTGGTGACGTCACCCGTTGCGACAAAGCGGGGGATTCCCACACGCCCTTCACCTGCGGCTCCACTGGTTGCGCTGGCTGTTGCCGCTTGGCCACAATGGAAACGCGCTCGGCGCCGGCGCCAACCCGCAGTCTCATAAACCGACTGCTCATAGTCTCGGCCCGCCAGCCCGCGAACACCTGCTCGTCCGACCGACTTCGATGCAGCGCGCACATGGCGCAGCACACGCGTTGGCCGGCGACAACTTTCTCCATTGTCGCAGTGGCGTCCACTTCTTCTTCTGCGGCCGACTCTCGCTCCAAATCGTCCAGACTTGCCGTGGTGATGGTGCTGACCTGTCCGTACGTAGCGTCAGCGTCAGCGTCAACGGCCAGCACCTCGCCATCCTCGTTGATCTCGAACATGAACGACTCGGAGAACGTTTTCGCCAGTGGCCGGTCGTTTGTCGGCGAGTTTAGGGACTCCGTACCGACCTCTTCACTTCGGTTCGTGATGAATGTGATTACTTCCGGTGCCACTTGTTTCATGAGCACCGAGCATTTCTGGTTCAGCGGGTTAAGCAGCACACGCTGCAGCGTTGCGAAGAGTCTGGTGAGAGCTTGGCGCTGGTTCTCGGCCACGCCGGGTTTGGGGCAATGACCGGCCACGCGGAACAAGTGGTGGCCCCGACGCTGGGCCGGCAGCGATCGCTGCACGTAGGCGAAGAGCCACGGGCACTCAGCGAAGCAGAGGTGGCCTCGGCTCAGCACCTGCAGGACTCGGGCCTGAAAGGCGCGGCATTCGGCGTAGGAGCGGAGGTGGCGCCAGGTTGAACTGGACTTGTGGTCGTGAACTGTCAGTGCGACGGTGGTGGCGTCTCGGCCCAGCGTCTTGGTAGTCACCTCGACCGTCACGTTGGCCAAGTAGGCGACGCTCGGAGCCAGCGGCTCGACCGGCTGCTGCGAGTTGCGGCGGAGGCGAGTGGCGTAGAGCGCCGAGCACTTGGGGTGGCGCTGCAGCTGCAGTAGCGAGTGCGCGTGCGAGTCGGACATGCTTGATGTGATAAAAACTTCGTCTCTAAACGCCGCGACTGGTTAGAACCTGTCTAACCGCCGGCGAAAACCAGCAGCTTGACTGCCACGGACGGATCGAATTGCAGAGTGAGAGATTCATCGCGGTGGGGTTGGCTCACGTGCTGTGCCATTTGGGTGGACGGGCCAGCTGGGCTGCAACCGGAAGCCATCGAAGTCTGCGAGAGTGAGTTTTTGAGACCAACTCAAATTTATCGGGTGGATGGGATCTGGCTTTTTTAGTCGAGGTCGGAACATGGCCATCGTCCGGGAGTTGCAGTCCCCTCTGAACCAGCTTTACTGGATTGTATTATGAGTATGGGGCACTTTGAGAGGAACGGCGAGGTGTTAGTAATGCGGTTTATGCAGTTGAAGTCACCACAGACCAAAAAGAGACTTGCTATGGGTGGCTTTGTGAATCCTACGGCGGACTGCGACACTGCTCTCGATGCTAAACGCTAAACACAACGCGGCGACGTCGAGTGCATCTTTTGCCTAGGAGGAAGCGGTCGTAAGCGAAGAATTCGAACCGCGCACTTACATACCTCCACGGTCGCCGACTGTATGAGGCCACGTAGGTGGGTGAATCGCAATGGTTCCTGCCATTGGAGTCCTCGCTTCGCATACATGTACCATAGCAGGGGCGTTGTCGTTGACGCGCAGCGGTCAGTGCAGCTGGCTGCACAACGCGTAAACTACTTTGTTGTTCTTCTCGCGTCGTTCCATGGCTTGGGCTCCATTTCCGCCATGTGCTGGAGCTCCATGCATTCCCATTTTCCGGATGAAAAAAATGCTTCAGTGTTCCGCGACGGGCTTCGGGGTCGTACATAGAGTGTATACCAGCTACGCTTCAGCTGCTACCATGACGCACACACGAGGGCGGAAGATCTCCTGGACAAGTGGACAAGCCAACTGCACGACGTCGTAGAGTGCCTGCTTCCAAAGCTCCACGATTTGTATGTTGAACAGCGCAGCAGATCCGAGCAAGGTGCTGAGGCTGTGACGGTGCCAGTGTCGCGCTCTCCCGGCGGGAGTCCCGCTGAGGATTCTGAATGCGATAGGACTTGTGGAAAGTATCTTCGGGAAAGGCTGGCTAGCACTGTTCTGTAGCTGGTGCTCTACAAAATTTAAATTTTGCACGTTAGTCGTTAGTCCAGCAATCTTCTACGGCCGCAGCATCAAGTGCAGTTCCTAAACTACGGTCGTACGTAATGAATAGCCTCTGCCATGCAGCAGCCCGAGCTTACTTAAAGAAAAAGATGTCAATCAATGTTTACCATGTTCAGACTTTACTACACCCAGTCGAAGTCTTGTGTGCCTGCCTAGCCACTCACTCCTCCTTCCGTACATTGTTATACGTCGTCAATGTTCAAATGTCTCCGCTCTCACCAAGCCTCCTGGTGGCCGCATGTCGGGCACTGCAATGCCTCGTTGAGCTTGTCGATCAAGCATTCGTCGTGGAAGTGGTGGCCGCACGACAGCGTCGAGAACGGCTCGGCCGCCGCTAGCTGCGACCACCGGTCGCCACCGTCCAGCTCGGGACCGTCGCAGTCCTTCGGAATGGCCCCCACCAGCGGGTTCTCACACAGAGCGCAGACGTCCGCCGCAGCCTCGTCGCTTGACGCCGTCTCGTCCGAGCTGGCCGCATCCTCCAGCAGCTCCACGTCTCCGTCCCGCCACCTCTGCAGCAGTTGCGTCAGCCAGTCGGATACTTGACCGTGTCGGTCCTGCGGCTCGCCCACCACGAACTCGAGCAGCTCGCGCGCGACGCCCTGCATGACCAGCGGGCAGACGTGGTTGGTTCGGTTCAGGAGGAAGCTGCGGATCGTGGCCAAGCTGCGCGTGAGCGTCTTCCGTCGCCTGGCCACCACTCGGGACAGCGAGCTGCCCACGAGCTGCGACTTGGGGTAGTAGCTCTTGAGGAACGTGTAGAGCCACGGACACTCGGCCTGGCAGAAGTGGCCGCGCTGCAGAGCCGCCACCAAGCGCTTGCGGAAGAAGCGGAACTCGTCGAAGCTGCGCACGAGGTGCCACGTCGCCGATGGTGCCGAGTCTCGGGTCTGACACGTGACGGTGAGCAGGTAGTCCACTCGGCGACAGGAAGTCCGCGGGTTCGAGGTGATCGGCGTCACGTCCATCGAGACGCCGTCGAGCCACGCAACTTGAGGTGGCAGCGGGCCGACGGGCAGCGACTGCTTCTTCCGAGGGCGGCTCGAGCTCATTTCGCTTCGGAGTGTCGGTCGGTGATGCCTTTCAACTGGTTCGGGCCAAAATGAGGACTGGGCTGCGGGTCATTTTCGCCCCACCAACATGATTGTGCGGTAGGCCGAGTCGCTTTGCACCATTTCGAGCTCTGTGGCATCAGCAGCAACGGCTCACCAAAATACAATGTTAAGCCAGTCGCAACGTCTTATGCGCGTCCACGACACTCTTAGCGGCTTTGAAGGTGGGAACCTGGATACCGCCGAAGCGAGTCGCACGGTCCGATGCAGATCGTGGCACGATGTCCACCAACTCCGGCTTCCAATACAATCCACTTGATGCGAGCGAAGTGATGTTGATGTGATGGCTGTGGGCGTTGGTCACCAAGAAGAGGAAGAAGCAAAAAAGTTAGGCTTTGTCTGCCTCAACGGCTTTGACTACTACTAGTAATGGAGCATCTCAGTCGCGTTGCTCCGTTGAGTTGCTTCGGGGGTCGACACCCTGCAGTGGAGTCTCCACTTCAGGCCGACGTCTCCACCCTCTAATTGATCTTATCAATCACCATTACTATTTTTGTAGTGTAGTGAAGCGCTAAGGACGTGTTCGCGACCGTTGCAATTTAGAGTCTCAGTTTAACCCGTGCAGGCCATCAAACCAATAAGCAATTAGCAACACTGGTGGAGCTGCATGATGAAGTCTTCATTATCAGCAAATAACGTTACTATCTATCGCGAGGTCAAGATAATCAACGGCAATTACACACCAGCAGCAAGAGAGCACTAATGATGCTGGACTATATCTCGCGAAACCCTAGATCACGGTTAACCGCAAGGGTGAGCTGCAGCACCAGCGGTTCAAGATCAATTAGTGGTAGCCGACAGCCCAAAGCAAAATACATGTAGCAAGGGATAATTGTTGTTAAAAGCTATATTATTCAGTTTCGATTATCCAGCGTACTCAATACAGCATCTCGGCTCCCGATGCCGGCCGTACTTCCTCTCTAGTGCTACATACCATATCACTTATACCATATCACTTACCGGTATTAATAACACAATTTAAAAATTGTTACACTATCGCAAGATTCTCTATTCTATCGGCAGCAAGTGGTTGCGAGGAGCACAGCCAAAGCAAACCCGCGCGGGGTGCCCGTGAAGCATGTCCGCGTAGGAGGGCCCAGCAACCAGCAGAGCAGCGAACGAACCCGTCGTTGCGGCTTGGAGCTAGTTCCGTAGTGTGGGGTGCGGGCCCCCAAGGTATAAGGAGACCACCTGCGTCACTGCCAGGAGCTATCTGTAGGCTACAGGCTGTAGCTTCACAGAGTATTGGACATGGTGAGCTTTGCGTAGCACGTATCCATGCAGGCAAGTTGAAGTGCACTCTCTTTTAGCAATTCTACCCTTCCCAGCACTAACTCACTCGTAGTAATGGATGCAAGCGCTGACTTGGCGCTCTAAATCAGAGTGAAGCCGAGGACTTATGATCGCTTTCGCGATCAGCATTTGAGAGCCGATCGACGCAGATACGAGCAGAATGACATGTATTGGCGGGTAGGAAACCGCCAATCGCTCTGTTTCCGCCGAACGCAGGCTGGGCCAGCTTATTCCGCCTTAACTTGGCCTCACCATCGCCGCTCCTAATTCGGCCACGGAGGGGCAACCCGGAATAAAATTGGAAATAGCTAACTCGGGGCATAATTAAGGTTGATAAGGAATAGAGCTATGCCAGAATTATCACGGCAGAATAAGTGAAAGGCACAATAACCATATATTATATTAATATTGCCGCTTGCAAATACTTTGCTCTCTAAAATAAACCTCTTAAATAGACCACGCCTGTCTCTTAATATGAGTGGACACGAGATAGGAGAGGGCTGCTTCACTTTTGTGCTTTGGATGAGGTCGGATTTCGGCCCGGAAACTTGATTTGGCCCATCTAGAAAGGCATTTTTGCGTTTCCAAGCCGCAGCTAAGCGTTTTGGTCGGGAAATAGAGCCCCAAGCTTGCATCTTAGACCTGTAGTGGGGAGATATATAAATCTGGTCTAGGTCTTCATTATGGTGGCGTTTTTTTTGCGCTCGGTGCGATCTAAAGTGTAGCAATTTATCTAAACCCGCGATTCGCTTCCCGATGCCTGTTTGATTAGCGTTTATCGTCGAGGCTAAATCGTGTCCCCCCACTTTAATGGCATCGACCCCTTCTCAGAAGGGGCCACTCCAGTTTTTACGCAGTTAAGTGTGTCTATGGATCAAGAGAGGGTTGTTCAACCGAGGTTTTTTGCGCAATTTTTGGCCCCGGGGAAGTGATTCTAGATGTAAACCCTAGCCGTTCATGTCCCAGATTAAGAGAGGTAAGTGAAGAGAGGTAAGTAAAGAGAGGTAAGAAATAGAGTAAAGAGGAGGGATAGAAGATTATAAGTGGGGACTTCGTCCCCAACTAGGAATAAGACCCGCGAAGTCAAGGCTCCGCTGGGTCCATTTATTGATCGATTGATTGATAAAGCACGAAGCAGGTTTGTTGGATTCGCTTTCGGTGTTTGAAGTGACAGGAATAAGTACATGAAATCGCTATGAATATAGATCGGCTCAGCTCAGGGCGTGGCCGCACGTGGGGCACGCCAGCGTCTCGTTGAGTTTGGCCACGACGCACTCGTCGTGGAATCGGTGGCCGCAGCTCAGCGCGGTCAGCGACCCCTTGGCCGCGTCGTCGCTGGTGCACAGTCCGCACGCGTCCAACAAGTTGATGCTGTTGCTGCTGCCGGCCGAGAGGAACGAGTCGAGGCTGTTGTCGCTATTCGAGTGCCAGCAGCGACTTGAACCGCCCGTGGGGGTTGCCAAGCTGCGGCTGCTGCCGTCCGTGCTGTAGAAGGTCGAGCTGCTGCTGCTCGGCGTCTTGGAGAAGCTCACGAAGTTCTCCCAACGGAACTCGTGCTCGATCGGCAGGTCCTCGTTCAGGAACGAGATAAGCTCCTGCGCCACGGTGCCCGGTAGAATGCTGCAGTTCGAGTGGTTCTCGCGCTTGCGGAGCGCCTCCAGCAGCGTGGTGAAGCACTCCTCGATGGCGTGGCGGCGCTTGCCCATGACGTACGAGCTGGACGAGTAGAGGTAGCACTCCTTGGGGAATCGCCCCTTGAGGCTCGAGTACAGGTACGGACACTCGGCGTGACAGAGGTGGCCGAGCTGCATGACCTCGAGCAGCCGCTGCTGGAAGGCCTGGAGCTCCTTGAACGAGCGGCTCACGGTCCACTGCTGCGAGCTGTCGGTCGTGGGGGTTACGATCAGCTCGTAGCGGACGTCCTTGCCTTGGTCGAGCTTAACTTTCGTGGCCGTCATGCTCAGCTCGAACTGGTCCAGGTACGCGATGGTCGGGACTCGGAACGACGCTGGACTGGGCAACGGATTCTTGACGGGCGTTCCGGGAGGTCCTGCGACCGTCGCGCGACGACGGCGACGACGGCGCGAGGTGAGCGACATGCTGGAGCCGGAAGACATCAGTGCAAGCGGGGAACGGAACGTGTTGGTGTTGGTACAGTAGTTGCTGCGGGGCAAATTGGGCAATGAAAGGCTGCAGAGCGGTGCTGGGCGGCCACGTGAGACCAGCACTGGTCGGTCGTGCGCTTGTCTGCTGGATTATGCGGTCGTGAAGTGCGTCCGCACTGAGGCAATCGCAGACTGTGAACCTGTACACTGCATGAAAAAGTACCGAGCGATTTGCTGTTGATGCGCTGGTGATCATGGCGCTTGATCCCGGTGTAATCAGACTGCACCGCTCGATTAGCGCAGCGCACGCGTGGATCCACGTGACTTCATGGCGACTGGATTGTCTTGATCATGACAAGGCGCAGTGGAGAATGTTTACCCCCACGATCGCTTTAATCAAGGTGCTGCCTGCCCTCACGACTCACTTTAATCGATCCGACACTGGTGTCCCGATTGCAGTCACTGGATCTCGAGGTGGTGGCACGTCGGGCAGCGCAGCGTCTCGTTCAGCACGGGCACGATGCACTCGTCGTGGAACTGGTGGCCGCACTTCAACACCGTCGCGTAGACGGACGACCTGCCTCGGGCAGAGTTGGCGGGGCTGACATCGGAGCCCACACCCTTGCCGCTGTCGGACTTGGCTGTATCGGCTTCGCACCAGCGCTCCGTTGCACACGCCGCAGATGCTGAGACCGCCGACTTCTCCGCTGCAGCTGCTGCTGGAAGCATCTTGGTTGCTGGTAGCGTCCTCTTGGTCGCTGCACTGCACTCCCAGGCTCCTGCGTCGACTGCTGTTGCTCGTGGACGTGGTCTCCGCCTCAGAGTACGACTCGAGGATGTACTGCGCGATGGCGTCCTCCCCGTAAAGAAACTCGGCGAGCAGCTTGGCCACGTTTGTCGTGGCGACACTGCAGGCGTGGTTCTTCCTGTCCAGGAGGAACTCGAGCGTGGACGTGAGCAGCTCCTGCAGCTTGGCTCGCCGTGTCTCGACCCTCCTCGGACTCGAGCTGCGCTGGAGAATGTGCTTCTTGGGGAACTCGCTGGTCAGGAACGAGAAGAGCCACGGACACCCGGCGTTGCAGAAGTGGCCGTGCTGCAGCGCCAGCGTCAGCCGCTGGTGCAGCTCCTCAAAGTCTTCAAAGGGGCGCGGGGAGCTCCACGAACTGCGGACGCTGCTGCTGCTGCATGTACCGTCGTTGCAGTTGGCGCGTCGCTGGACTTGCAGCACGAAGAGCGGGCGCTTGTTGTCGCGCGCGGACTGGAGCGACAGCTGCAGAGGCTCCAGCAGCCCCACGTACGTCGGCAGCAGCGGGCACACCGACGTCGAGCGCTTCCGGACGCGGCGCGAGCCCACCATATATCTCTGCCGGATGATCGCCAAATGACTATTTCTACTGGTCGCTTCAACGTAGATGGCTTCAAATATCCGTTAGAAGTGGGTACATGAACATCCTTCCTGCGACAAAGTCTGCATTGACGAGAGCTCGCCTCGCCGGAGTAATCTGGTGCATCGATCTGTTGACCACAAGGGAATGTCGCTGCTATGACGTTTTAGATGCGCTCGCAGGCATGACTAAGGTAGATTGGTTGGTGTACATGTCCTAGCTTACTCGTATTACCGACCCGTATCGAACTACAAACTTACTAACTAACTGAACTACTTGACTAGTGTACACTGCCCACTTCTCAAACTCGCCTATGCCTTGACGCTGCTGTGCGTGCGGCACACGACGTGTCGACTGTGGCAGGCGTCGCACTCGCGCTCCTCCTGCTGTTCTCCCTCCTGCTCGTCCTCGGACTCGCTGTCACCGTCGTCTTCCTCCTCTTCCCCCTCGCTGAGCGAGTCCAGCGAGTCGCGAGTGACAGCACTGAGCTCGGAGGACGGCAAGTCCGCGGCGGCCATGTCCTTCATGCCCTTGACCACGAAGCGGTTGAACTCGGCGGCCACGTCGTGCACGAGTACGCGGCAGCTGTGGTTGCCCCGGTTCACGAGCGAGGCCTGCACGGTGGTGAGGCAGCGGAAGAGCGTCTGCTGGCGGGCCGCCACCACCTTGGGGCAGTTGTTGCAGAAGAGCGACTTCTGCGGGAAGTAGTGCTTGACCACCTTGTAGAGCCACTTGCACTCGGCGCCGCACGAGTGGCCGTGCTGCATGCGCTTGAGCAGCCGCTTCTGGAAGGCGCGGTACTCGTCGAACGGCCGATAGATGGTCCAGGTCGCGGCGGCCGCCAGCTTCTGCTGTGCGGGGGTGTACTTCATGGTGAGCTGGTACTGCGGCTTGCCGCTGATGGACGCGGTGTGCAGCTCGAGCGTCAGGTGGTCCAGCCACGCCACCGCCTCGGGCACGGCCATGGGGCCGGCGCGCTTGAGGCACGCGGCCGAGCGCGGCGCCGAGCCGGCGCAGCCGCCCCCGCTGCTGGTGCTGCTGCTAGTGCTCGTGCTGCAGGTGGAGGACGAGGACGTCTCGATCATGGTGCCGACCATTGCGATCCTGTTGCTGCTGTCTGCTGTAAAAATGCTAGTAGGTTCTGCCGGTCCTGTGCTGGGTGGGGTCTGAGTTCTCTCTCTCTCTCTTCTTTTCTGCTCTGAGCTCTGAGCGATCCTTCCGCGCTTTTCTGCGTTGGGAGGCCTGACTTGCGGCTCTGATCGCTGCCCAGGAAGTGAACGTTCCGCCCAGTTGTAGAATGACCGGGCCAAACGACCCGACAGGCTCTTAAGCCCGGTTGGCGGCCTGCGATTGGCCAGCTCGTCTTGTGTAACGACCGAGGAGGATTGCGCACCCACTTCCGAGTGATGGAGCTCGCGTGACGCACACCAAGGAGTCGAGAGAGCACCTGCATTGAGAGAGATTATTTCTCCTTCTTCTCCGTGCCGATAGTTCTCCTGATATAGCTCCATTTCTCTGCCATGTTGCAGCAGCAGTAGCTATTGTAGCTAGCAAGACCAACCCGCAGGCGTCGTCGCCGTTGGCGTTTCGCTCGTTGTGCGAGCGGACGACGTTGCGTCGCTCGCTGTCGGCGAGCCCCGGACTTGCACTGGGCGGCGCCGACGCGCTTCTTGGCGACGGAGACCGAGCTCCGGGGCTCCGAATCTTTGGTCCCATCTTGATCTTGTCCGTCGTAACGTCGCCGCGTCGTTGCCGTGTTCCTACCCTGCGTTCGAGCAAACCGATGGCTTCGCTTTGAGCTTCGCGAGGTCGTGCTGAACTTCTGCCCACTTTGAGCGCTGCTCATGAGACGATGCGCGGGTCCACCGATGCAGCGACAGCAGCAACAGCTTGGCAGATCGCTCTTGAGGTGTCCACACTCGAGGGAAAAATCCAGCCGGCAGCGGCACCACCGCCATGAAGCTGCGCGCACACCCGTCCAGCTGGCCGTGGGTCTCGTCGAAACGACTGCAACGATCTTACCAGTGCCAGCACAGCACAGCACGCCACGCCAGCACGCGATCGTGCAAGCTTGTCTTTGACGCGTGTGTGGCGGGCGGTAAGGCTTGCAATCGGCGCTCGAATCTCCAGGTCATGCAGTGGACAACGAACGAACGCACGCATGGAAGCGCTCAGCCACCTTTGGCTCCTGCACGGAGCTGTCAGACACCCGATACCAGAATCCAGGAATGACAATGACATGGGTCGTTCGTTTGGATGCATAAGTTACGTGTTCTATTGCTTAGGCTTTCAAGGTTCTATGGGGCTTAAATATTAGATACTTGGCTTACACGGGCGAGCTGCTGGTGCGCTCGAGCGGGTTGTGCTCGACGGGGAGCCTCCAGTCGGCGAAGGCGTTCATGTTGTAGTCGACGGTGTCCTCCTCCTCGCCGTCCGACGTGACGGACCCGGTCTCCATCTCGGAGCCGGCCGTGGGGGTGAGCGGGGGCGTCGCGTCGTCGGCGCTCGAGGTGCCGTCGCCCGAGAAGAAGGCGGCGAACTCCTGGCTTACGTTGGACATCAAGATGTTGCAGCTGCGGTTGCCGTGGTTGACGATGGACGCCTGCACGGTCCTCATCAGCTGAAGCAGCGCTCGGCGGCGCTGGTCCACGATCGGCGGGCAGTGCGAGCCGAGCAGCGTGGGCTTGGGGAAGTGCTTCTTGATGGTGCTGTAGAGCCACCGGCACTCGGCCTTGCAGCTGTGCTTGGGCTGGAGCTGGCGCAGCAGGCGCTTCTGGAACGACCTGTACTGGTCGAACGTGCGGCACACGTCCCAGCTCGAGGTGGCGGCGCCCTGGGGCTGGCACTGGACGCGCAGGTTGTACTTGACGGCGCTGCGGATAGAGTTGGTCGTGGTCATCTCGAGCTTGAGGTCCTTGAGCCACGCCACGGCCTCGGGCAGCGGCTTGACGGCCGGCGAGGACCGTTTCCGCGACGTGAACGAGTTGTAGGCCGGCATGGGCGCTGTGGTGGGCGAGGTCATGGTACGGAGTACTTACAGGTGAGAGAGTTCTGAAATGGTTCGACCTCGCTCGCTCGAACTGTACCAAAACGGGGCCCAGGCGACTTAACAACAACCGGTGGCTGGCTCCGGCCAGACGATTATGGGCGCTCCACACGATCGCTTAGCCGGAGCCGTAAGCGCTGTCCGCGACGAATTTTCTCGGTGGCTCCGCGTGTTGACGCCGAGCCGTGGGCTGAAGCAACGGAACTCCACAGTCTCCTGGATAGCCGGCAAATCCACGAAACCCGGAGCTTCAGCTTGCCTATGTTCAACTCGGACTCGCTTTCCGGCGTGCGTCGCGCGGAATCTCGGGATCGAGCAGAGCGCTGGTGTTGATGGGACTGTGCTCTACAGCGCGCCCGAAAGCTGTGCATGTAGCCAAAGCGGTAAGCCGTGGAAGAGCCTGGGTGCGACCAGATTGGCAGCAACCATCTCGCACCACGATGGCCGAGCAATGCAGTAGATTGCGGGCGAAATTCCAGCGGAGCTTCGACGCGCGCACGCTACACGTAGCTTATCCATCCGTCCGCGCGCGCATGTAATCGTAGTCACGTGACCGACGTGTCCGCCTCAAACGCGAGTCTAGCACACGTGGCAAACCGGATCCCGCATTGCACATGCAAGTAAGGAGCATGCGGACACCACATGTACTTGCACACTGAGTGATGATCGTAGTTGAAGTGAGAGGGAAGAATGTGTGTGCGCGTCAACTGGTCCATTCCGCGTCAACCCGTGAGAAGCGCTGGATTCGTGTTGTTCTCGCTAGGATGGCACCTGTAGGGAAGATGCAGCCCTGGAATTGCCAAGTGGGTTGGCGTCATGTATATATCACAAGATTCAAGCTGCGATTGCGAACGAAGTCACCTCACTCCGTGTGCGCAGCTCTTCAACTAAAGGATGTAGTATCGGTAGATAGGAGCGATTTGAAATGCCGTGGCCGCTGGTCAGCAGCGGTAGGACAAGTTCGTGTACGTGTACAGGGTTACGTTGGTCGCCCGGGTCGCTTCGTTCGCTCACCGAGGACTTCGCTACAAGATGTTGTTGCCCGCTCTCATCTGGCGCTGGCGCGGACGCGAGAGAGGCTGCGGAGGCTGGCGAGCCGTCTTCCTAGACTACTGGGCAGGCCAAACACCCCTTGACGGTTGGGCAGCGCCAGCGAGACGGAGTTGGTCGACAGCGACGTCCTGTCGTCGACTAGGAACGTCGAGAAGGTGTTGAGCACGGCCCCCATGAGCACCTTGCAGCCGTGGTTGCCGTGCGTCACGAGCGTCGACTGGATCGTGGTCATGGCGCGCAACAGCGCCGCCCGCTGCCGCTCGGTCTTGAACGCGCATAGAGCGAAGATCTTCTGTGTCTTGGGGAAGTGCTGCTTCACGACCGTGTAGAGCCACCTGCACTCGGCGGAGCAGTTGTGTCCGGGCTGCAGCTCGCGCAGCAGGTTCTTCCGGAGCGCGCTGTAGTCTCTGAACGGCCGGCTGTGCGTCCACGACGCGGCTTCGACCGAGAGCTGCGCCTTGGGCTGCTTGCGACGCACGACGAGCTCGAAGCGGACGTTCTGATGGGGCTTGTGGCTCGTGGTCATGTCCAGCGTGAGGTCGCGCAGCCAGACGACCAGCTCGGGCTCGGCGATCGGCGTGTGCAGCAGGCTCTTGAGGCTCATGGAGGAGGAGGCGGGCGACGCCTGCGATCCCGGCGAGGGCGAGGGCGCGCCGCGGGTCATCCGTTGGGGCGTTTGTTCAGAATTGGAGACGAACGCCCGGGGAGCGCGCGGCGCTCGCAACGCCGCGATAGGCGCAACCCGTCGTCGTCGTCGAGCGGCGGTGAACTCACAGCGCTGACCACCAGAAGACCGCGCAGGAAAACTTTAAAAGTTTGCATAGCGGGTGACATGGCCAGATACCTGCGCAGAGGCCGGGGATAAGACTGACTGCAGCTCCGCAGCGCTTAGCTCGCGCCTGGAGACAAGATCGGGCTCAGATCAATGTGGCAGGTCCAAGTCAGTCGTGTGGTGGAACGGCGTTTAACACGGGTTGGAATTGGAAGCTCCGCCGCGGCATGGCTTGCCCAGCACAACCCGTTAGTTATCGCCGATCACGAGCGCGGCGGCAGGCAGTGGAATCACTCGACCAGGAGCATGTGGAACAGCCACAGGGTTCTACATTAGCTCGCAGCAGATGGAGGCGATACAGGCTCATACAGCTTAGATCACGTGCGAACAAGCAGGAAGTCAACTTAGATTCATGTACATGTGTAGATAGCGCTCTGTAGAACACAATCGTGGACAAGTGAGCTGGCGCTACGCTGCTGGCCCGCTGGAAACGGTTGAAGTCCCAGCAGGAGCTACTTCAACTCGTACAACGCATTGCGTGCACTTGATCTCTTGCGCAAAGACTCCTGGCTTTGCCAATAGAGGACGTTATGGTTGGGAAGTGAGCGGCATCCTCGAAAGGAAAATGACGGCCGTGATGTGGCTTTAAGCAGCAACGCGCTGTGCAAGACGAAAAGCAAAGCCCAAAAGCCACCGTAAGCATTCATATGGCGCAAGCTGGATTGATGCTAATGGTACTGAAGATGACTGCAAATGTACACGCTTGCATGCATGCTGCGACGGTCTCCTTCTCCGCGGTCCGCAGAGGCGCGTCAGTCTGTCCAACGCTGCGCGAGCTGCTTGCTCGTCGACCTCCTGTTGAGCTCTTCGCAGTTCTCTGTCGATAGCCTTGATTCTCTTTTGACTCCTCGACGACATCGCTCTGCTCCGTCGAAGCTGGCCGTGCTGCGCTGTTTTTCTCGTCGGTAAATAGTTTTGTAGCGATGTCATCGTCGCTTCTATCTGCTTGTTTCACTGACCGGACTCGGACTTGCAGAATCCTCGGCCGCTCCTGCATCCGTACAAGTCGTCGAAGGGCGAGATGTCCTCGCTGTAGTCTTCATCATCGCTGCACTCCGACACGAAGGACGCGGACGAGTCGCGCGTGCTCTGGTCCGAGCTGCAGCCGCTCAGCGCCATGACCACGTCGGGCAGCTTGGCGTTCTCGCCCAGGATAAAAGTGGCGAACTCGCGGCACACGCTCTGCACCAGCACGTTGCAGCCCTGGTTGCCGCGGTTGACCAGCGACGCCTGCAGCGTCCGCAGCACGCGCACGAGCGCTTGTCGCCGCGCTTCCGCTGTGCGTGGAGAGTTGGCGGCGAGCAGCTTGGGCTTGGGGAAGTGGTTCTTCACCACGGCGTAGAGCCACTTGCACTCGGCTGGGCACGCGTGGCCCGGCTTCAGTTTGCGCATTAGCTGCTTGCGGAAGCGCCTGTAGGCGTCAAAGGGGCGGGCAACCGTCCACTCGAGCTCGGGCACGTCCTGGCAGCAGTAGCTCGCGCGCACCTCGTACTGCACCCTGGCGCCCTTGACGCTACCTGAGCTGGAGCTCGTGACTGTGTGCAGGCTGATCTGCAGGTGCTCGAGCCACGCCGTGGCCTCCGGTAGCTCCACGGACGCCGCGCGCTTGCGGTAGTAGCCCGAGAAGTTGATGATCGGCGTGCTGCACGTTGAAGCGCACGACGAGATGCCCATGACGTTTTGGATCGCGTTTGGTGAATCGCTCTGGCCGCAACGAGGCAAATTGAGCAATGAGGTCGGCCCCAAGTCGGCCGGGAAGATGCGACATTATGATGGCTGCAAGCGTTGTCCGCAGCACCGCGTCGAAGGACTCGGAATTCGCCTGGGCAAGAGCAGGCACGCCCGGCAATCAGCGCGCTGCTGACAGCGAGCCCTGCGAAGCCGTTGTGGTGGCCGTTGGTTGGTCGGACACAGCGCAAATTTCGGGCAGTAGCATTCATGAGCGTGTTCGATGCCAAGAGCTGCATGTCAGCGCTGATTCCTCCCTGCGCGAGGGCGTTTTTTCATGTGGGTGCACTTGCGTCTACCAACGTGAGGACGGCGCTCTTGATGAGCGAGCTCATGTGCAGCGGTCTCAACACCGCCGTCGCGACACCGGATACGAATGTATCGTTTGCTTCAACTCGGACCAGCACGCCCAGGGCTGGAGGACACCTGGTGCAGAAGTTACTGACGTATGTGGTCGTCGCTGCAGCAACGAGCATCATTTTAATTGCCCTTGCGTTGGCAGCGACAGCTTGCTTCCCCTGCTGGCTGTCTCCGCTGTCCGGCGGCAAAACCGTTGCTGGTAGGTGCTTGTGACATACACTTCAACTCGTTCGGAAAAACAACAAAAGTTTTGGGCAAGCGGCAAAATAGCACTGGTCTCGAGGGCGTTCGTCGACAAATGCAAGTGTGCCTTTGGTTCCCGCTGCTTCGCAGGGGAGTCATCCGATTGCTCCCAATGCTCGCACTGGATATCGAGCTTCAACGAGGGCCGAGAGCGAGAGCGGGCAATTAGGGCGACGGTCTCAAATGCAGCACTCAACGCGGCTCGCTTCAACCTGGATTCACGATTCCCTGCTACGACTCGCCCTTATAAAACTGAAACAGAGTCCAGGTGCCACCCTGGTCGTAGTGGACGGGGAGACACTGCAGTCACTCAGCAGGGCGTTAAACGCGGCGGCCGATTTCTGCAAGGACACTTCTGCATGGACGCTGCGTGTAGCTTTGCTTCCACGGGCCCGAGCGCTTCCTTCTCGACACCTCGCCGCTCGACTCGCCATCAAGTGCAACGACCCCGGAGGAACCATGTAACTCAACGAAAGATACACTGTAGTTTGCTGCTGCACATCTGCATTATCACTTTTATCTGCTTGGCGGCGACTTTACTTGCACAGCGGGCACTTGGCCTCCTCGTCCAGTCGAGGCAGCACGCACAGGTCGTGGAACTGGTGGCCGCACTCAAACGTGACTGTGGTGCAGTACGGCGTCATGCACGTGGCTTCTCCTTCCTCCACGGCGTCCAGGCTGAGCCCGCACAGGCCGCACTCGAAGTCGGCGAAGTCGTCGTCGAACTCGAAGTCCAGCACCAGGTTCTCCTCGTCCGAGGTAAACGACACCGCGGACGCCGTGAGCTCGTCCTCTGCAGCGCCCTCGTCGCGAGACGTGGTGGACGTCGTGGAGGCTGTCGATGCGGCTGAGGCCGAGGCCGTGTGCCTGAGCAGCCTCTGCACCTCGGCGTCCTTGCAGTCGCCCACCAAGAAGGCGGCGAACTCCTCGCTCACGTGGTCGCGGAAGATGGCGCAGCCCACGTTGCCGTGGTTGACGAGCGAAGCCTTGACGGTGGTCATGAGCCGCAGCAGCGACAGCCGCCGGCTCTCGACGGTGCTGGGGTAGTTCTTGCAGAAGAGCGAGGCCTTGGGGAAGTGCTTCTTGATGACGTTCACGAGCCACTTGCACTCGGCGTTGCACTTGTGGCCGGGCCGCAGCGCCTTCACCAGCCGCCGCTGCAGCGAGCGGTACTCGTCGAAGGTGCACGACACGGTCCAGGACGTTGGCTGGCCCTGCACGGGCGTGCAGCTCAGCTGCAGTTGGTAGAGCGTGTTGTTGCCCTTGACGAGGCTGGGCTTCTTGTTGGCGGTGGTGGTCATGTCCATGCTGAGGCGCTCCATCCACGCCACGCTCGCGGGCAGCGCCAGCGGCTTGGCGCGCTTCAGGCTGCCGGCCTTCATGACTGGGGTGTGCATGCTTTCTACAGGGAATCTTGGGGAATGATCACCATGGCCAGCAACCTTGACTGGCTGTAGCGGAGACCATCATTCAAGTCGATGGGACGACCGCTGATTACGATGGAATTTTCGGGCCCTAACCGCGTATTTGCACCAATGGGAGAGCGACAAAGTGTTCTTTTCGGGCCAATCGCGCGGCGGCACCGCATTGCAGATTATTCAACGGGGATCGTTGACGCGCTGGCACCGACTTGGTGCTGCTCCGAGCGGGGGCTCGGGCTCCACCCTCTAACGGTGCTACCGGTGGGGCTGTCCACCCCGTGTAAGGCTTCTTCCTGGTATCTGCGTGCCTTCCACTCGATTGCCGGCGCTACGGCGGCAGCGCAGCAGTGAAGCCACATGTACCGAGTCTCTGCCAGCGGCCGTTGACGACTGCAGGCTTCTCGAAGATGCTGCGACTCGCTTGCTGCGGTGTCAAACGGATCTGATCGATCGCGTTCTTTTGCAGCTCGCAATGGCGGCTGACCAAAGTGCGCAGTGAGGAAGCAGCGGCGCGCGGTCACTCGGGGCCAGTTGATCCGCAGATGCCAGCGCGATTGGTGAATTTTGTCGTTGCAATAGTCGCACGAAACAAGTGGGAAAATGTCTACACCTTTGCCAGTCCAATACGAGATGGTGCCAGAGCAATGCGAAATAGATGGAATATTACCAGGTAATTTACCCAATCTAGATATATTACGTATTTTATATCACTGGCTATGGAGCAAGCGAGATTAGCTCCAGGGTTAGCAGCGCAATCTACCGCGCCCCACACCGACCGCATGTCCGAGTCGCCAAGAGCTCTGGCTTTGCCGTCGCCGCCGCGGCGCACTGCCACTGAAGAAGAACGCCAGCGTGTGCTGAATGCATTCGCGGCTGGCAACGACTGGCTCACCGTGGCGAAATACAACAACGTCTCGCGGGCGGCGGCGTACAGGCTGTGCAAGAAAGGAGATCCCAGCCCGCCTCCGAGAGGCGGTGCCCGCGCCAGCTGCGTCAAGTGCACGGACGCAATGGTGGAGGCGCTGGAGGGCTACTTAGACGAGGACTGCACGTTGACGCTCGTACAGTTGCGAGACAAGCTCATGGAGCACTTCGCGGTCAACGTCTCCACATCCACGATTAGTGCGAAGCCTGCTGGCTAACTTATTACGTAAAAACAGATTTTGTATACTGTACGGTAATTGCTACACGTGTAATTGCTTACCACTGTGATATATTTGTTACTGTATATGTAGATCCGTAAGGAGCCGTCAACGTGCAATGATGACGTCAATAAAGCCAAGCGTTACACGTTTGCTGCAAAGCTTATTAGCCACCAGGCCAGCGGTGACTACATCGTGTACTACGATGAAAGCAACTTTAACCTCTTCTGCATGCGGACGCAAGGACGCGCTCGTGTTGGTCAGAGGGCTGTAGTGAAGACGCCCCCCTCCAAAGGTAAGAATCTCCAGTTGCAGTGTGCTGTGTCCGTGGAGGACGGACTCGTGTTGCACCAGCTGCAACGAGGCAGCATCACCATGGACGTCAACGCCGAGTTCGTCAAGTGCATCTACGAGACGGTCAAGACCTCGGACACGTACTGCGAGTACTTTGCGGGCAAGAAGGTCGTCATTGTGCTCGACAATGCCCCCGCCCATAACCAAGTCGAGCTTCGTTTGGAGGAGGTCATTGCCGAGCACGGTGACCTCGAGCTGCTTCGCCTCGGGCCATATTCACCGATGCTGAACCCCATTGAAGGTACGGAGTGCGCGAATACTGCCTACAATCCAATGCGCTTACACTAACTCTTCTATTTGGGCGTTATAATATTTGCTACAACAGGGTGTTTTAGCGTCTTCAAGGCGAAAGTAAAGGCGTACCTGTCGGAGCACCGACAGCGGATGTTCGAACGGGGTTCGCATCGAAGCATGACGGAGGCAAGGATGCGCTTACTTGAGGACGCTGCCAACTCCTCGATCGGCTGCATGAATCGACACATAGTGGTCTCAATGGCGCTGCACTGCCAGCGCGCCGTCGCGGACGCGTTGAAGATGGAGGACATGCAGTATGGGGCGTAGACATAAAGGTGTAGCGAGTACGTGACAGTGAGTGTGTCCAGCAGGCCCATGCTGAAGGAGTACACGAGCGCAGCTGGCTCACACTACGAGGCGAGCAGCGAAGGACGGTGGTTACAGACGGAAAGATCGCCAACAGCGAGTGCGAGGCGCGATCTTGCGCGGAGGGGCACCGAAGCAACGCACGAGCGGCTCATAGCAGCCGAGCGAACCGATGGCTGAGGGCGTCCGAGGCTAGCGACGGGCTGTTCGCGGGCGAGGGCTCACTTGGCAATCTGCCAGACAGCGAGCACTAGCAACAGCCACAGACAGCAACAGCAGAACAGTAGAGCAGCAGCAACTGCCGACATTACAGGACGAGCTACGAATAGACAGGACAAGTCAGACGGATTGACCGGAGGCTTGCTGGTGACGTGGAGCGCACCTGTAAAGTCGTGTAGTGTAGCAGCAGAGGTCGAGATTGCAGTGCCGACTTGAAGTGGCCGCGATTGACGAACAAGTGAATAAATAGGGACTCTTAGCGGGGTTCCGGCTGCTGAGTGTGGCCAGTTCGTGTCATTGTCTTTCTGTATCCGCGGACCTTGCCCGCAGCAGCACTGTAGCGAGCTTGCGGACCCACCGACGAGCAGGTGTCCCGAGACTCGCTACAAAGGCAAGCAACACGCAATCTCGTTTGCCCTGGGGTTAATCTCATTTGCGTTGAAATCACCCAATTTAATTATTTCATCTTGTGCCCAAAACAATTTGTATCCAAACAATCCCGTTTTGCTTTCCTTGCCGTCTCGTATTGGACTGGCAAAGGTGTAAAGGCGTGGTCAGGGCCGAGCCAAATGACAGAATCCGACTTGTGCGACAGAAGGTGTGGTGAATACTTTTGGATTGTCAAAACCCGTACTAAGTACCAACCTATGTCAAATTCTATGAGAAGGATTCACTCGGTGTTTGGCTAGAGAAGTTTTCATAGCGCTCAATATGCAAGTCCTGTAGCTTTACACGAGCACATGTACAATTAGATTCCCTCAAGAAGGTATATACCGATGTGGGGAATGGACCTTACGCGGGTATTCTTGCACTGATGGAACGCCTCTCGGTTTTTAGTGGCCCATGTTCTCTTAAAGGACGCCTATTCAGCGCCGTGGGTGCTTATAGATGTTTCATGTTGCTCCCTCATGCACAGTGTTGACAGCGAGATGCAAGCGCAACCCGAATAAGCTTCAGGAGAGGAGGTTTGTGTCTGGTCAGCTACGCAAGCTACCCCAGCCATAACCAGGGGCCCAAAAAATGACCATCATTCAGACACCTTTTACCACGCCTTCTGCACTTAAGTTCCCCTGACCACGGGTTCAGTCATTTTCCCCAAACAAGATGGACACGGCGGAGCCCGAACGGTTCCGCCCCTACCGCGCACAGCAAAAATGCAAGCACGGGCATCGTACAAGTAAGACCTCTGCTGGTATTCGAGCACGGGTAGGACTTCTGTCGGACATGAGAAAATGACCCTGGCGGACCGAAAGAGTAAGTTCGACACACCAATTCGTACCTAGGGCATCGCTGAAGAAGCCCGTCTTTTTGTTTACGCACCTGCGCGTTCTTTACCACGAAAGAACCCGGCAGTTCATGTCAAAACTATTACGAATAAATTCGGATTTTCACTTCTTTCCCTGAAATAACGCCAAATAACATTTTGTTTCAGCCAATCATATGCAAGATCAGCCAAAAATAATATTGACCACTAAGCGTCGAGGAATCCTGAATGGGAGTTCCGGCTCTCAGTCGTAGAAATTGGTCGGAAATGGAGGGCGGTGACGGTCCACCGAAGGGCAAGTGCCCTACGTGCCCTAAGCTCGTGTCGAAGTCGAACATGGCCAAGCACCGCAAAGTGTGCGGGAAGAAGAAGCCTCCGAAGTCGCGCAAGGCTATAAACCGCGATTCCTACGCGAAGAACAAGGACAAAATCCTCCAGAAGCTACAGGAAAAGCGCGTGTACGACCAATTCCGCCGCCTGGAAGGTACATAATTGTTAGAATGATATCAATTATTGGTAAATCTAACATGCGGAATATGTAGTGGCTCGTAAGCAGCTTACTGAGCTCGAGGCTCAGGGCGTGGAGGTTGAGGAAATGGAGAAAACGGCTTGGACGACATTACCCAAAACAAAGGACGCCGAGGATCTGCTCTATGGTGTCAGTTTGGATCCGGACCTATTTGCCCATTTCCTCGCGGAGCTGAAGGCATCGATGGTTTCTCCTAGAGAGCTCTACCGGGTGGCGATTTTCGTTCTTCACCCCGACAAGCTTCGCGGCCAAATCAGCAAATTTGGAGAGGAGACCGATAAGTTGATGAACTACTGGAGCACGACGGCTAAGGCTTTCACCGTGTTTGGGAATGGACTTACGGCGGACACCGAGATGAGGCCTCAAATCGAACTTGACGCAATGACGGATGTTGAGTATATGAACGAGCGGCGCCGCGTATCCAATGCACGTAAGGCAAACGCTCGTGCTGAGTATGACTATGAGACGTTGGTGACCAACTTCCGTGCCTATCGCAAGAAGGTGGAGCGGTACTTGAGAGCGAAAGATCGTCATCTTGCTGAATTTCAAGCTCGAAAGGAGAAGGCCAAAGCCGCACACACGGCCCAAGTGACCAAGTTGAAAGCAGGTATCGCGAAACTCGAGCGGGTCGGGCCATGTGCTACCTTCCAGGAGTACAAAGCGTCCTACATCAAGGTCAAGCACGCAGCTAGTACGAGTGACAAGTAGTGGGGCGTGCTATAGAAGCCAGACATAAGACAGATGAATTCTACGACTTTTTCATCTCTCTAAGCTGCTTAAATGTACCACACGTTCATACCAAAAAGTATGAGTTCATACCAAAAGGTACGAGTTCATACCAAAGAGTACGAGGTGTTCATACTAAAGAGTACGAGTTCATACAACTATCTACGAGTTCATACTGGTTAGTACGTGATTAGAGCTATAGGTACGTAGAGTATTCCGGCAACTCTTTTGCGGGGCACGCTGCGTTTGTGCGAAGCTTGCGGTCTTTCCTGACAAATGTAACCAGCATCGAAATCGTAAACGTATGCTCAGTGGCCGATTCTTCCGCTCCGCCATAGTGCTGGGCGTAGAAACTGCGAAATACTGGAAGTATGGCCCTCTCCCAGCGCGTTTTATCGGACTCGCCCATCAGTTTAGCGAACGCGGCGACATCCTCACCGAGCAATTTGGCAACGCTGAACCAACTGCGCGCTACACCAGCATTGGTTCTCTCGGCTTGCGTCCATTCTGAAAGAGGCTTGAACAAGTGCACCGAGGTGTCCGGAAACCACCACATCAGGCATAGGTGACTCCAGTCTCTAGCCGCTGAAACCGCAGGACTGAGCGCTTGCCTATTCGAGGCGGCACCTGGAGGTATATCTTCGCGTGCTGTCGCTTGTGACAGACTGGGTAAGGTCCCAGACGTAACCAAACCTTTCAGCTCACTAATCTGAGATTTAGTCTCGAGCATTAGTGTCTCCAGTTGCCGAATGCGCTTGAGAACGGGCCCTTCTTCGATGTTTCTGCTAGCCTCATAAGGAGCGCTTGGGCAACCGTGTAGATAACTCTTGTCCGGTGCCAAACAGTCTGCGAGTTCACTGTCCTCGGTTTGAACAGTCAGATCCAGAAGGTAGCGCACCAGCGTCTCCGTCGATTCCGAAACACTCCAGCCGGCCCACCACTTGATCATCCGTAACGACCAGCGCCGTGCTGGTTTTGCGTACATGAAGCGGTATTGAGCCCCTCCTCGGCGTAATGCGTGTGACGTGAACCAACTGTTGTACCAATGCTTCGCAACGTAACCCGGTGTCGATTGTCCCTTTCGGTTCAGCGAACCCACGATGCAGTTGAGTAGCGTGATAAAACTCTGTTCTCCCATTTTCTTGCCCCACCCAATGACCACCTTTTCGCAGCCGGTGGTATCGTCGTCGCTTCTAAGAGCTTTCTTACTGAGGCCAGTAAGAGTAGGGAGTACGTAGTCTTCATCGCTCCATACGTGGCCTTTCGTCTTCGTAGCAAAGTCCACCCAATTGCACAGGTGCTTGTAGGCATTGATCGGGGTTTCTTCGTCCGCGAGGTTGTGAAGATTATAGGATCGCCCCTCTGCCACCTCTGTCTTGCGGTTAAACAGTGTGTACGTCCCAAATTCAATAACCTCATCTGGCGTGACGACGTTGGCTCGATACTGACGCAAAGAAACATCTCTCCACTTCAGCGGAAGAACCTCGTTGATCCGGCACATGCCGTAGAAGGCGAATGACGAGACGGCCTTGAACCACACACGGCTTTCTTCGGTGAATCCACCGACCGCAGATGGCGAATCCAGGAACGTGTGCAGAACCCCCAGCATTTGAAGCGAGACCGGTACAGCCCTAGCAGGTACGTATTCCGCAGCCTTCTTCTTCTTGAGACCGCGCATAAATTGGCGGACAAATGGATCCCGAGCCGGGTTTCCATACCCACGCTTTGTTCCAGTGTCGTCCACGAGCACACTCCACTTGTTTATGTGGTATTGGAAAGTGGCAGTTTCCAACGCTGTTGACCCGCCAGCCCGACAATCAAGTTCAATCAAGGGGCGATCAAGGCGAGGTCAAGCGAGAGACGGGGATGGCTGCTTCTGATTGGATGATGACATTATCCTCGGTAGAGTGACAGGCAGTGGCCGAAGCCTCGTCGGGTCCTAATAGAACCCCGAACGAGGCTTCATGGTACCCACTTTTAGGTACAGATGCATTTAGTTACGTACTTCGGCCGCAGTGTAGCCGCGGTCGTCATTTGATGTGTCCGGAATCGCCTTATTGCGATCGTTCACACTAGATATTTGTATAGGGACATAGGACTCATCATAGGATGGCCAGAACGAGGCCCCCAGGGCCTCAGAAAACTCAGTAATAAAAAGACAGTCTTCCCCCAAAGCCAACAAGGGTCAAGTCCGACTTCGGTAAGTGTAGCTAGCTTATTGTAGTGCCTGGACACGCTTGGCTGCGTGTGGATGCCTGTCGGGGAGCTTATCGTGCATTGACCGAGCGTTTCCTTGGCAGCGCCAAGAGTTGGCGTGGCCGGAGAGGCAGGAACGGTATTAGAGTATCGTTCAGTATATATTTGTGGGATTAGAGTGTCCCTGAGTGTATTAGTCTACCTACCGAGGTTTTACCTTGGTCCCCCTGTATAAGGCCTAACACGCCGGTACCCTTCCTTTCTGAGGGACTGCAGTGGGGTTGCGCGAAAGCGCTACATAGTATCCTAGCCTTAGCTCGTGGCTAGCGGTACAGGTTTTTGGGTTGACCGAAGACAACCTAAGGTGAACAGAGGCGCTTGCAACCGACCCGGTGTAAGGGATCGTTCCTGGTCTTCAGGTTTTGATCCAATAAGCGCTTACCTTTGCGGGTTAGCGTGTTCTTGGTGCCTCTAATACCTTTTGGTAGAGGAGGATTTTAGTGGAATTACCACACCACATTTACGTCTGTTCCATCGCTGTTTTCGTGAGAGGAATAGAAGCTAGCAACAGCAGACCTTGCCTTCTCCGCCGTCTGTAGCGACACGGTACTGGATGCGGAAATGCTCTGAAGGTACGCTACCAACACCGCGGGAAGTTCGTGGTGCCGCTCCGTATGGGGGTCTGGGTAACGATTGGCAAGACAGAACTCTGCAAACTTTTTAAAGCTCGACTCGCACACTGTCTGCGTTGCCTTCTTGATCACCCCGCTTGCCGTTAGTTGACCTTCCTTCACCAAGTCGCGAACGCCTTCCATCGCGCCGATTTGAAAGTGAACACGTGGCGAGATGCCGACCAGGTCGTACTTTATTGTACACTCACATGGTAACTTTTAGTATGAAGTCGTATTTTTTAGTATGAACTCGTACTTTTTGGTATGATCCCACTTCAAAATTCACCATAGTCCTCAGAAAAATTCCAATCTACAAATTCTCCAGAAAATCTGTCGACTACCTTTTTTTACCCAAGGTGGTCGATCATTGGCCAATTAACACAGAATAACTGCCAAATGTTGTTTCAGCAAAACGAAGTTGCTTCCGCTGACGAGCCCATACAAATTCCTAATACAGAGGTTCGACTTCCCCGGACCGAAACAACGTCTCAAGGCGGCCGAAAATCATTATATAGGGTTCGGGCTATTTCCATACAAACTTCTTGATAGTGCCTAGGAGAGGCTACTATTGAGGTGTTATTTCAGTCAGAGTAAGCTCTACTTCTTGTGTTTTGCAGTTATTTTGCCGACCACTTTAGACGCTAAATATGGCAAAGCCTGCTTCTAAATATGTGTGAAAGAAGATACACGACCTGCTAAAATTATGCATAAATCCACCTCCTCATATATATATCGACTTGGGAGGGCCTGCCAGCAGCCATGCATTGGCCCAGTACACCACCGTCCATGATCCCCAGCACATCCACCCTCTTATGCATAATTGCCGTGTTTGTAGGTGCTTGTGGATAAAAACCGACAGAATTACAGCTGCACAGCCACAATTGCACTTTCAAAAGTGCAATTGTGGCGCTTTTAGCGTAATTCTAGGCCTCCACCCATTTATGCACCTCGATTTATCGTAAATCTAGCAGGTGGTCGCTATAAATACAGCAAATCTCGCCTCATATTGCCAAAATCATTGCAAAGCACAATAAGTTATCAAAGCGCAAAACCTTTACAAATCCGTTCAGCGTTCTGGGTCGATTACGCGAATGCGCGCAGAAACGGGCGATCCTTGCGCTCATCTCCCTTCAGCCTACACTTTTTGGAGCATTCAAAATCCAAGTCAGTTGCGCTGTACCCATCTTCGACCGGCCACGCAGGTGTCCAGTTTTCGCCCTTCCACCTAATGAGGAGGACATCCCCCCCCCTCCTCCCGCGTCCTCGCCGCTCACTTCCCTCTCTCCTCCATCTAGCTAGCAGCGTCCGCCCATGGCGTCCATCACAATGGGAACCCGCGCCTACGTGCCGCTGTCCGTCGCGTGGCTGGAGCAGCTCGCCTTCAGCTTCTCGGCGCAAAAAGTCAAGCGAGACGTGCGCTACGTCCTGTCGGCCGAGCACCTGCCCTCGGGACGGCGCTGGGCCGTCGTGTACTCCTTCGACGACTGCCGCACGTTCCAGCGCCGCCTGGCGCGCGCGCTCAGCGTGGGTCACCGCTGCGACGCGCCGTGCCCGTGGCTCTACAGCTTCGTGACCAGCTACTTCCCCAAGCCGCGGCTGTTCCACTCGGCCACGTCCGACCGCCTCGTCCAGAAGCGCTGCGAGGCGCTCGTGGCCTACGTCAAGACACTGCAGAGCTCGCTGTTAAGTAGGGCCAGCCACTCATGTCGTGTGCTCACAGACGCCGTGGCGGACGCGCTGCTGGACTTTGTCTGCGGCGGCGACACGCGGCAGTTCCCCATCAAGCAGTGGGCGTTTGCCGGCCAGCAGCACCGTGCCCGAGGCTCCGTCCACTCGCTCACCTCCACGTCCGATGATGCGGACGATTTCATGACAAATTCGAGCCGCAGCATGAGGAGTCTGCGGTCCTGCAGCAGCCTGACAGAGACATCTTCGTTTATGGACTCGAGGTCCGCGGCTACATCCGAAGCCGAAATTACCCCATCCGCTTCAAACGCTGGGCCTCCCAAGACGTGTGCATTATGTGACGTAGCAATGGAGGCAGCCGATGGCCGGTACTACTACACAACGAGGCTGCACTGCGGCCACCGCTTCCACGACGAGTGCTTGATCCCGCAGCTCAACATCAGAATGAGCTGCCCGATCTGCAACCACCGAGTGACCAACGATACGTAGAACGCTGCCAAGACTGAATGTGTACTAAGCCACAGCGTAGTGTAGTGGGCACTGCATTTATGTTATACTAGTGTTATTGCCGCTTGCAAATACTTTGTCCTCTAAAATAGACCACGCCTGTCTCTTACTATGAGTGGGCACGAGATAGGCGAGGGCTGTTTTAGCTTTGTGCTTTGGTGAAGGCCGCTTTTAGGCCCAGAAACTCGGTTTGGCCCGTCTAGAATGGCATTTCTGCGTTTCCAAGCCGCAGAAAAGCGTTTTGGTCGGGAAAACAGAGCCCCAAGCTTGCATGTTAGACCAGTACTGGCGATATATATAAATCAGACCTAGGTCTTAATTAAGAGCTGGCTGGATTAAAATCGAGATTATTGACGAGATAATAAGCATGCGTTGGCCAAAATATCTGCAAACAGCAATATTGCTGTTTGCATGCAAGCTTGGGGCTCTGTTTTCCCGACCAAAATGCTTTCCTGCGGCTTGGAAACGCAGAAATGCCATTCTAGACGGGCCAAACCGAGTTTCTAGGCCTAAAAGCGAAATCATCCCTCGCCTATCTCGTGTCCACTCATATTAAGAGACAGGCGTGGTCTATTTTAGAGGTCTATTTTAGAGGGCAAAGTATTTGCAAGCGGCAATAAATTCTCCTGGAATGCTAGTTTCTAAAACCCCAAAAGCACCCGACACTGCGCTCTCTAGCGCATTATCAACGTCGAAAGCGGCAGTATTACTGAGAGTTTTACACTTGCGGTGTCTGGCGATGGGAAGACTGACATCAATCCCTACACGAGCTGAGCGCGGTCAGGGGCCACGTCATAGTCGACAAATGGACCCTCATAGACAGCTTCGGGGTGCTTATTTTCCACTCCGAGCTTCAGGTGCTCCCAGTTCACTGTGCTCTTCAGCGCAGGGGTCTGGTACTGCACAAGAGTATACAACAAAACTATCATTAGTACGACATGCTACCGTGATCATCAGTTGCTTCGTCGAAGTACTTACGTCAACAACGACAGGGAAATCCGTGAGATGTTTCTTGTCAGTCTTCTTCTGGTAAACGTCCAAACGGATGAGGCCCTGGAAAATCCGCACATCGGCTTCCGTGATGCGCTTGTCCACCAGATAGCGCTGGTTGGCCAGTAGTCCATTGAGTTTTGGCCAGTGCAGCAAAGATTTTGGTTTTCTCTGTCTCAACGTCCACCGCAGTTTTCGCAAACGTCAATTTGAGGTAGCCCATGGTGATTTCCGACACGATTCCGTCATTCACAGCGTCAATCTCGGCGCGCAGCTCCTCCGGGTACAAGTGCACGTTGGACGGCACCAGCTCACGAAAGCCCGAGTCCAGAGTGCGCAGGATGGCCGTGGACCCCTCCGACACGATGGTCTGCGTCTTCGTGTCCCACAGCACCGGCACCGAGAACGTGCGCGGCGCTGGGTCCACCTTCTCGTACAGGTCACGCACGAAATTGACGCCGTTGACGGTGTCGGGGATGCAGTCGGACGTGGAGTACGTCTTGCCGTTTGCAGCCGTGTAAGTGGAGGACGTCTTGGGGTCGACGAAGGTCCATCCCTTGTGCTCATCGTTGGGGTCATTTGGCTTGGTCTTCTGGAACATTGGGTGTGCGATGGACACTCCGATGACGTCCTGGAGACCGAGCAAGTTGCGGGCGGACAGTGCACGGCAGGCAAACGGGCACGAGTAGGTGACGTAGAGGTGGTAGCGGCCCTTCTCAGCCGAGAATTGGGCGCCGGTGTTGGGCTCGATCTGGAAGTCGTACGGGGCGGGCTTGGTTGCGGCCATTGTGGAGAGAAGGTGGTGGTGGCGGTTGAGGTGTGTGCACTTGGCGGCAAGTTGCGGAATGAATCGTCGAGTGCGGAGCATCGTGTTGAGGGTGTTTTTGTTGTTGTGACTAAGGCCAGAGATGCTGAGTGTTGTGGCAAGCAGTTTTGTTAAGTGCGTAGCAAGGGACAAGTGATTCAGTGGATCCCGTACGTGCCGTGATTGCAATTCATTGTTTGCAATCGTCGGTCATCTTATGCATCACATGGAAAATGAAGGAGTTCAACTTGAAGACAACGGCCAGCCAGATAATTCGTTTTCCCCGTAGACTTGTGCCTCCAGCAAGGGGACGATGCCCGGTATAACACAGAGATAATATACTTCACCGTCTTGCGGTTGAACCGGTTGTACTGCAGAGTCTGGCATTGCGAGTAAGAAATGAATAGCCTAGCTGGAAGCTATATCGGGTCAGACGCTGCATGTGTTATTTCGACGATATGGTCGCTTAGAAGGACATCTAGCCGCTACGAAACCTGCTGCGTGGGCAGGCATGTCCTGTTTTATCTATTTTTATCTATTCCTTAAGCATTAGCGATGAGTAGTAAGCCCTGCACAACGGCTCGGTTTAGTTGAAGGAGACGAGCACTCAGTTGAAGCTATGCATTTAAATAGGTTCAACATTCCATAGGGTAGGTCGACCCACCTGATTAGCAAAATGTGACCCGCAAACAGAAAGCATGATTGGCAATCACGCCAGGTACGGGATCTCGAGTCACAACAACAAACACTACGATGTTCCGCACTCGACGATTCATTCCGCAACTTGCCGCCAAGTGCACACACCTCAACCGCCACCACCACCTTCTCTCCACAATGGCCGCAACCAAGCCCGCCCCGTACGACTTCCAGATCGAGCCCAACACCGGCGCCCAATTCTCGGCTGAGAAGGGCCGCTACCACCTCTACGTCACCTACTCGTGCCCGTTTGCCTGCCGTGCACTGTCCGCCCGCAACTTGCTCGGTCTCCAGGACGTCATCGGAGTGTCCATCGCACACCCAATGTTCCAGAAGACCAAGCCAAATGACCCCAACGATGAGCACAAGGGATGGACCTTCGTCGACCCCAAGACGTCCTCCACTTACACGGCTGCAAACGGCAAGACGTACTCCACGTCCGACTGCATCCCCGACACCGTCAACGGCGTCAATTTCGTGCGTGACCTGTACGAGAAGGTGGACCCAGCGCCGCGCACGTTCTCGGTGCCGATGCTGTGGGACACGAAGACGCAGACCATCGTGTCGGAGGGGTCCACGGCCATCCTGCGCACTCTGGACTCGGGCTTTCGTGAGCTGGTGCCGTCCAACGTGCACTTGTACCCGGAGGAGCTGCGCGCCGAGATTGACGCTGTGAATGACGGAATCGTGTCGGAAATCACCATGGGCTACCTCAAATTGACGTTTGCGAAAACTGCGGTGGACGTTGAGACAGAGAAAACCAAAATCTTTGCTGCACTGGCCAAAACTCAATGGACTACTGGCCAACCAGCGCTATCTGGTGGACAAGCGCATCACGGAAGCCGATGTGCGGATTTTCCAGGGCCTCATCCGTTTGGACGTTTACCAGAAGAAGACTGACAAGAAACATCTCACGGATTTCCCTGTCGTTGTTGACGTAAGTACTTCGACGAAGCAACTGATGATCACGGTAGCATGTCGTACTAATGATAGTTTTGTTGTATACGCTTGTGCAGTACCAGACCCCTGCGCTGAAGAGCACAGTGAACTGGGAGCATCTGAAGCTCGGCGTGGAAAACAAGCACCCCGAGGCTGTTCGTGAAGGACCATTCGTTGACTACGACGTGGCCCATGAGCGCGCTCTGCTCCAGTAAGAACACCAGATATCTAAAGTTGACGATGCCATCAGGTTGTAATGATATCCTATATGGATATCGGGGTTTTCAAACGGCAAGTCTCTGCTTCGGCACGCCGACCTGGGACAACGATGGACCAGGAGTGACCAAATTACGATTGACCGAATAGGATAGAGAATTGTAGTGATAGGATAGGATTAGTGGAGTAGTTACTATTCGGGCAGTCATTCGCAGATTTGCGCGCTCAAGCGACGGCTCTCGCGCGCTACCCACCTCGACCACACCCAGGGGGCGCCTCAACAAGTCTACGACTTGCCAGGCAACTTGCTCCTAACCTGCGAATGAACTGCTTTGCCCCCCCATGAAGATCGTTTTGGAAGATGACAATGTAGCAAGCTCCTTACCGGAAAATGGATATGAGCTGAGGAGCTTCACTTTCTCGGCGTGGCTACTTACAGATGTCTTGCGAGTGGAAATGAAATTAGCGTTGCACTATAAGGTCGTAGAGGTGTTGCTGCCTTTTTCAATAAAAATCGTCATTTTGTATTTTTGTTGTTGTATTTTTGTCGTTGGGCACCCAGGAAAAGTTTTCTATTCGTGGATATTTCGTCAGCTCGACAGTGGTAAACGCCTTTTTCGTCGCAGACCATGGACAATTGTCGGCGATGTCTTCGATCTGCTGTGGCAACGTCGGGTGAGTGGCGATCGCATACAAAAGCTGCAGCCGTTCATGGAACAAACCAGCTTTGCCAAGGCCGTTTTTGTCTGCATCGCCCTACCAATACCGTGTGTGCTCATGCTAACTGCGCTGGAGGCTATCCCTTTGGCGTCAACAACTGACGATACGCTGGATAACTACGCGTTTTGGCTTCGGCATGTGTCCACTCTTATCAGGCATCCTATCGAACTTTCGGTCATTCCTACCCGAGCTGAACATTGGGCGTTCGCATCAGGGGTTCTGTGTCCCGTACCCGGGTATCTGGAGCACGTACCAGGGGTCCGGGCGACGGACTCGTGTCGTGGTGGACCGGTCGCTGCTGGGTATCGCGCTTAGCGTACTTTAAAGCGGCAACCAACTGCGCTTGGAGGATGCGTTGAAGGTCCACGTGCGAGGTACCTGGACGAGCGGCCGTGTCTGCGGTCAACGGAAGCCGAGAAGACCACCCAGGACGGGTGTTGCGCAGTGTGGACAATGGTGTGTATAGCGAAGTAGAGGGGTTGTCACGTCCGAGGATGGAGGACACGGCAAGAGACCCCCAGTGCTGTCCAGGAGGGGTGTCACCCTCACGAAGACCAAGCTACCCTGTCAGTTTCATAGTTAGCTAACACTCGTAAATCTACCCTGTTCAAGAACAAGCAAAACTTTCATTCAATCTACATCCCTACTCTTTCGACTACTTCTACTGCTTCGACGCCTCGCACTCCTTCTAACTCCTTTCAGCCGCGGCGTACTTTAACGACCCCGAATAGGGTGGGATACGACATCTGCCTGTATATAGGGATGCATTGATGGCATTAATGCATTGCACAAAAGCATTGATGGCATCGATGCAGTGCATTTATTACGGACAGAAATAGATTTTTGTTTGAAGCTAACTCTCGAACTTGTGTTCCTCACTACTGTCGTACGAATATGAATTGCTGTAGCTTGGGCTTGCATTGCTGTCGTCCAAACCCGCGCTGCTGTCGTCCCCCGTCGTGTCATCATCGTCATCATCGTCTTCACTCTCACTCTCTTCGTTGAGTTGGTAGAAGATGCTGGTCTTGGCATCCTTGTTGCATGCATTGCAGTAGATGAAGACAAGCGTCTCCACCCGCTTTGCATCCAGCCGATTCCGCCGCTTCGTATGAATAAAGTCATGGATGCTCCATGAACGCTCGCTCGATGCCGATGACGTTGGGATCGTGAAGATCATGACTGCTAACCGAGCGAGCAGTGGGTAGTAGTGCTTTGTCTGGTCCGGAGCTTTGGGCGGGTGGGGGGAGGCGACCTTGCTGCCGCAGCTTCAATTGGAGAATGAGGAAGCCTTCGAGGCGCGACTTCTTCATCATTCGCAGCAGAGCCGGGTGTGCCGCGCCGCTCACGCGTGCTGTCGTGCACCGTGTGAGGGGGCAATTACCCTGGCGGTGCGTCCATGGAACGACTTGCTTCTACGGCAGCTCCTTCAATCACCGCACGTCGCTGTTCTACCGAAGCAGGCGCCATCTAATAAGGAAAAAGGAGGCATGAAGCATCTCCATCGACAGCGCCATCAATCCACTTCGTCGGCACGCGCCATCAATCGTCGTGCAGCAGGAAGCCAAAATGCCGTCACCTGATCAGCAGCTATTTTTAGATCCCCCCAAATGCATGCATTTTTGGCTGAACCCATGCATTAATGCCATAAATGGCACAAATTGCATTAATGGCACAAATGCCACTTTTTCATTTGCCCATCCCTACCTGTATAGTGTCGCTTTTCATTGACTTTACGGTACCTTTCACGCTGCTCGTCAGTGATCCCGGGTGGCTGTTTGTTATCATACCGCCAACAATCGTGATCTACAAGTCCCGACTTCGATACTACCCCGAGCTCATGTGGTGGTTTATTCGCTGTTGGTTCATCATTGGATGGCTGGCGATACCTGTGGTGCTCTACCCGATCTACGTGAATGGATTCCATCGGCTTGGCTCAATTGGGCAGGTTTTCTACGTTGGGCTGCTCCTAATCATCAAAATGGCCGGCCGAAACGTGTTCAGCTGGCTCATTGGCGACCGCTACGATGTGAAGGCCGAAATTGTGATTTTCAACGTGGAGGTCTTCAACGCGCTCTACGTGCCCGTCGCGCTGCACAGCTCCGCGAAATTAACCACTACGCTTACGGTCATGGCGGTGGATGTCGTCCAGTCGGTGGTGGCTGTACGTGACATCGACAAGATGATGAGGGGAATCAACCGAGTATTTCCTTCCAACAGATCAAGGTGCTCTGAATCAATTTGCCAGTTGGTGTTTGACCAGGAAGGCGGAACAACAACACCACAGCAGCCTTGTATAGCACACAACAACGCCTCAAGTAACTTGAAGCTGTCTTCTGTGATTCCAAACATTCCTGCTGGGTCCTCACTGGCCTCAACCGACAAGCTGCCTACGTATAAGAGCGTGGCTCGGATTCATCCGACTTCAGGCTCCTTGGAGCAAGCTCGAATGGAAAGTGACGCCAAAATGAAACGAACTACTGGAAATGCTGCCCAAGTTTTGTCAAAAAAGGACAAGAAAAAAACTCGCTACAAAAGCAGCTCGAGTCCTCTTTACAGCAGAATTCGTTCTTCTTGACAAGTATGTTGAAGCCATTGTACCAGCGATTTACGGTGAGTTAAGATCTTTCTTTGGCAGTGCACGAGAGAGATGCGGGTACTGACGATATAAATCGCTAGCGGGCTTCGCGTCAAATCGACAGTATTACAGCCAATTCGGCTCGATCACCCCTAGCAACCTGAGCAACACTATTCTCAACGTTTTAACATACTGTCTGCTGAAGACTCTCTCCTTCTGGATCATGTGCCACCTTATCAGTCGAAGAGTAGGAATATCTGCTATCCACCTCGTAGCGTTTGGGCTGCTATACCAATGGGAGGCCGTCTATAGCAAAATTCTAACGTGGGTCGTCTACACAACTCAAACCTCGCTTCAACATTTGGGTACGTGTCATCTCCAGTCGACAAGAAACTACGTTCTAATTTTTTGTAAACGCCTACTAGGCCCCGATTTCACTTTCCAATTCAACTGGTTCGATCAAAATCCAACAGGATGAGCACAACACGTTGGGAAGCTATACAACCTCTTGTTTTGGAGCATCGACATCCACATCTGCGGAACGAGCAATGAAGACGAACGAAAAAACAGTCCGCACATGAAGTACATCAACAGCGTACATGGCCCGCTGACAAACGGCAAGCATGTGCTCCTTTTGTACTGATTTGACGCGCATTGACTGATTTTTTTCAATCGAGGATGCCTTCGTACAAGTTGTGCTGTGGTTGGGAATCCAGTACTTACAGTCGAAGAGGCGAGGGTGAGTAGTTTGGGGACAAAAACTTATAAGTTGCACGTGCTTATTGTAAAACAGCAGCTTATTCATCTACTATTACAGCCTGGACATTTACGCAAGCAGAGCACGTTCGTGGGCGGCTTCGTAGTCGACAAGCGGGCCCTCCACGGCAACACCAGGCTGGGTGTTCTCAGCGCTGATCTTGAGGTGGTTCCAGTTCACCGTGCTCTTGAGTCCGGGAATCTGGTACAGGTCGCGCAAGTACTGTACCACAACAACAACAACAACAAAACGTTAGTATTCAATGCCGAACAAGTACATGTACCATTCTCCAACATCCCCAACAACTTACCCCCACGACGTTCAGAAAGTCTGCGAGTTGCTTCTCATTCGCCTTCTTCTGGAACACGTCGAGGCGGATCAGCGTGTGGAACAGGCGCACATCGGCCTCCGTCACGCTGCTGCCAACCAGGTAGCGCTTCGTGGCCAGCAGCTCGTTCAACTTGGCAAGCCCCTCAAAGACCTTAGCCTCAGACGCTGCAGCGTCCTCGGGAGTGCGAGCGAAGAGCTTCTTGAAGAAACCCATTGTAATCTCCGTCACGACGCCATCGTTAGCAGCATCGATCTCAGTGCGCAGCTCCTCCGGGTACAAGTTGAAATTCGACGGCACCAGGTCCCGGAAACCAGAGTCAAGCGTGCGGAGAATGCCCGCAGATTCCTCCGACACGATGGTCTGCGTCTTCTTGTCCCACAGAATCGGCACCGAGAACGTGCGCGACGTGGGGTCCACCTTCTCGTACAGGTCGCGAGCGAACTTGGCACCGTTCACTGTGTCGGGGATGCAGTCGGCGGTGGAGAACTCCTTGCCGTTCTTGCCGGTTACCGTGGGGGTCTTCGCTGGGTCGATGAATGCCCAACCGGAGTGCGAATCATTTTCGTCGTCTGGTTTGGTCTTCTGGGGCACAGGGTGCGCCACCGACAGGCCGATGACGTCCTCGAGCCCCAGCAAGTTACGAGCCGCCAGCGAACGACTAGCAAAGGGGCACGAGTACGCCACGTAGAGGTGGTAGCGGCCCTTCTCGGCCGGGAACTTGGCGTCGGCGTTGGGCTCGATCTTCAAGTCGTAGGGAGCAGGCTTGGATGCGGCCATGGTGGAGAGAAGGCGGTGGTGGTTGAGTCTGTTGCACTTGGAGGCAAATTGGAGAATGAGCTTCGAGGGCTGTAGCGTCTTGGCAAGTCTCAAGCGGTAAGAGGGGGCAAGATCGATCGGGCGTCATCGGACCCCTTGTCTTGGCGTCTGCAATCACCGAACGCGTTAAAGCGATCATCCGGTAGGATTGTTAGCATGAGGGCACTCATGAGAGCACGGCTGTACATGTAATATGAGTTACGCGCAGCAACACACTATGAAACAAACGGAAAACTATGAGCCGGAAAGACCAAATTTACTGCGTTGGAGGTAAGATACTCAACTGCTGATGCGGTGTCAGCCAAAGGACAAGTAGTTTTGGTGCTGGGACCAGTTACCGAGCGCATTACAAGGGCTGGAAGGGCCCGAAAATGAACGGTAGCTCCCGGACAGCGTTGGTGCAGGAACGCCTCGCATGGGTGCTTTGTACTTGCACGCACTTAACTTGAAGTTAAACAATTGACCATCACTCCTCGGGACGAACACATTTCCAGCGTTATGATTGGTTGAAATCAAGGCAACCCTACGCAATCCTGCCTACGCAATCAAACGTACCCACACACTTGTCAAACATGCTCACGCGTGTCATTCAGCAACTGTCGCCCAAGAGCTCACGTCGCTTCCCCCACCGCCTCCTCTCCACCATGGCCACCACCAAGCCCACCCCGTACGACTTCCAGATCGAGCCCAACGCCGACGCCAAGTTCCCCGCTGAGAAGGGCCGCTACCACCTCTACGTCACCTACTCGTGCCCGTTCGCCTGCCGCGCTCTGGCGGCTCGCAACCTGCTGGGGCTGGAGGACGCCATCGGCCTGTCCGTGGCGCACCCCGTCTTCCAGAAGACCAAGCCGAACGACCCCAACGACGAGCACAAGGGCTGGACCTTCGTGGACCCCGAGAAGTCCTCCACCTTCACGGGCGTCAACGGCCAGGCGTACCCCACGGACGACTGCATCCCCGACACGGTGAACGGCGTCCAGTTCGTGCGCGACCTGTACGAGAAGGTGGATCCTGCGCCGCGCACGTTCTCGGTGCCGGTGCTGTGGGACTCGAAGACGCAGACCATCGTGTCGGAGGAGTCCGCGGGCATTCTCCGCACGCTTGACTCGGGCTTTCGTGAGCTGGTGCCGACCAACGTTCACTTGTACCCGGAGGAGCTGCATGCTGAGATCGACGCTGCTAACGACGGGATTGTGTCGGAAGTCTCCATGGGCTTCTTTAAGAAGATGTTCGCCCGCTCGCCCGAGGACGCGGCGCAGGCGGAGGCCAAGGCCTACGAGGCGCTGGACATGCTGGACACCATCCTGGCCAAGCAGCGCTACCTGGTGGGCAAGGGCGTGACCGAGGCGGACGTGCGTCTCTTCCACACGCTCATCCGACTGGACGTGTACCAGCAGAAGAGCGACAAGCACCTGACCGAGTACCCGAACGTCGTTGCGGTGAGTTCTTGCATGAAAGATTATTTTTTGCTGATGCGGACGTTGTAGCTGATGTGCTTTATTGTGTTGTTGTTTGTTTGTTGCAGTACCTGCGCGACTTGTACCAGACGCCGGGCCTCAAGAGCACGGTGAACTGGAACCACCTCAAGATCGGCATGGTGAACAAGGCCCCTCACGTTGCCGCAGAGGGTCCGTTCGTCGACTACGACGCCGCCCACGAGCGTGCTCAGCTCGCGTGAGTGTTGAGTCTGAAGTCCAGCGTTGCGGCAAGTCAAATAACCTTATGAAGTGAAACCGTGAAAAATTGCATTATCCTATCGCCTGGAAAATGTGCATTTGTCGCCGCGTGACTCCAGTGAAGTCATGCCGTTGTCACTCGGTGCAGCCAGACGAATTTAAACGTGAAATCGAGACCTGCAACAACCACGAAAGATCGAATAGAAAGAGAGAGAGAGAGAGAGAGAGAGAGAGAGAGAGAGAGAGAGAGAGAGAGAGAGAGAGAGAGAAGCCACCACGAGCGAAGGTAGTTAAGCTTACCTGAGTGTCTGATCGACGTGATCGTCGTGCACACAACCCACATCAGAATCTTGCTGAAGACTGCTTCAAACGGGTCCACGAGGACGAAGGCAACGAGGTGGATCGAGGATATTACCAGTCGGCGGCTAAGCAGACGGCTCATGACGCAGAACGAGAGGGTCTTGAGCAGGCAGAAGGCCATGACGTTGAGAATGGTGTTGTTGAGGTTGCTGGAGGTGATCGCATCGAACTGACTGTAGTACTGGTGCTCTGCGCAATTGCCACGAACGCTGCTGTAATGTCTAAATAGCATACAAGTCAGTCGATACTGCAGTGGAGTATCCTACCGCCGGTATCATTGCTTCAACGTACTTGACGAGGAGCACGAATTCCTTCTTAGATATTTTGATGAAAACTTGGCTCGCCGTTTTTGATGCAATCCGAGCTCACCTTGAGTACCTGCAAAATGTTTCTAGCTCCCCAAGGCATTTTCTTTCTACCCTACTAACCGGTTTATCCGTAGCACCTCTTGTGTCGCTCAATACAAAACTTTGGCGATTTTTATCGATTTGCTCAACTTACGACTGATTTTCAACACGATGCGTTTCTCGAATTGAACCAAGAAATAAACTTAGGACTCTCCAGTCCTTCTTCTTTATATTCGTCCAATTCTGTGGCGCTCAAACTTTATTTTCAAAGTCGAGCCTACCCGTACGCGCGGGAGACTCACTCTCCTACCCCTGGAGACAAAAGGTTAAGTTTACTATCGACGGATAGATGCTGTTATCTGTATGACTGGCGCAGTGGATACTCGTGCGGGCTCGTACTTAAGTACGCTTTTTCAAGAAAACAGACACGTTTAATACGAGGTGTTGAAATGTGCATGCGGGCTTATGATTTTCTTATGTACAAGACTCCGAGCCCAGCCTGGAACCACCTCGAGATCGGTATGGCAAACAAGACCCCTCACGTTGCTGTGGACGGGCGTGCTCAGCTCGCTTAAGCGTATAGTGGAGTGATAGGCCTGAAGTCTAGCATTGCGGCACAATAGTAGCCTTATGTAGTGAAATCTTGAACACGTGAGCAATTTGAGTTGCATTATGCATTATCCTATCGCCCGGATACTCGAGTTTCTCATTCCGTTGCCTTTTGGTGCAGCCACGCAAATTTAAATGTGAAATCGGGACCTAAAACATTTTGAGTCGATCAATTAGACATCACCACGGACGATATAGTCTCAACTCGTAGTCGAGCTTACCTGAGTGTCTGATCGACGTGATCGTCGTATAATCGCTCCACAGCAAAAATTTGCTAAAGACTGCTTCAAACTGGTCCACGAGGGTGAACGCCACAAGCCGAATCGAGGATAATTCCAGTCGGCGGCTAAGCAAATAACACATGATGCAGAACGAGAGGGTCTTGAGCAGACAATAGACGGTAACGTTGAGAATGGTGTTGTTGAGGTTGCCGGAGGTGACCGCATCGAATTGACTGTAGTACTGCCGATTGGCCGTACTGTACGCGATTGCCGCAAAAGCCGCTACATATATGTACTTTTTGACCAGCAAAACAAGTCAGTCACTGGATGCCTGCCAAAAGTATAGTAAACGGTCGACATATCTGCAGCAGATATGCCCGGCTTAAAAAAGATATATGTCGGCATATCGCCTGAAAGCTTCACCAAAAGTGTCTTATTGCTTCTGTCTACGTCCGGTTCCTACTGCCCTGAATCAGGTGGCTACACTATAGCATATGCAGTCACTTCGATGTGAACCTGTCAATTTGCCCCGGACACTGAAGCGGCAGCACTGCTGCCGCACTTCTTCTAGATTCCGTCACTTTCGGATTCGCGCGCGTCGAGCGCAAGCAAGCTCAGCGACGATAGCGAGCGCGGACACGGACGCCCTCCTCGTCGTGACGGACGCCTTCCTCAAGCAGGGGCGGGAGCTGGTCGAGGCGCGGCGCGAGGTGTACCGCTTGCTGCTGGAAGAGGCGTGGCGGACAGCCATGCGAAGTCGCCACTACCTGACGGCACAGTGCCTCGAGGCACCATGCAACTCGGCCTGGATGCTCCTCTACCGATTTGGGAGCGATATCAACTTTATAAACGCGACGAGTCTCACCAGGTACATTTATTGATCGAATTAAATGATACAAAGCTGTATGTAGCTAACGTGTGACTGTGTGCTGCAGATCTGCTTTCGAGCACTTGCTGCGAAGGTTTTCGCGCTTCTACTTCATCCCCAAGGCCAAGTTGCGCGGCCGCCCGCCCAAGCTACGGTACCACCATCAAGTCCTGGGACTGGTGCTCTCGTTCTACGTCAGATCGATGGAGCACAGCTCGCTGTCCATGCTCTTTTGCTTGCCCCCGAGCACGCTCTCGCGAATCCTGTGTCGTGCAGAGGAGGAGCTGTCCAAGGCGCTCCATGGGTATGCTCCGGCGCGCATTTCGTGGCCATCACCAACGCGCCAAGCCGAGCTGGCAAAGCTCGTCGAGGCACGCGAGCCCCTGCTCAAGTACACTTTTGGTTTCATCGATGGCAAGAACTTCAAAGTATGTATGCAGTTGTATTCATTCGATCCTATCCGTCCTAACCCATTTTGTTGGCTATATGCTGCAGGTGCAACAACCTTCCAACGCAGATCTTCAAAATGCTATGTACAATGGATGGCTACATTCTGTTTTCGTTACAGGAACTATCTGCTTTGCGGCCGACGGCTGCATTATCTGGAGTCGCCACAACTGTCCGGGTTCATGGAATGACTCGGACACGTCGCTCGGCTTTAGGTTGAAGCTACTCGATCCAGCCTTTTGCCCGGATTCGAGGATGAACGTCGTCTCCGACTCCGCTTTCCCCTGTTCGATGGCGGGGCGCATTCTCACACCCCTCAAGGACGGAGACCTCGAGCGGATCCTGCCGTCGCTGAGGGCATCGGCGCGCACCCTTCACAATGCCATCACCTCTGTCCGCCAGGCGGCCGAGTGGGGCATGGGAAGCGTGCAGAAGGTCTACTCGAGACTCAACCTGCCACTGCCGTACGACCCCAAGCTCCGAGGACTTCGCCTGGACAACTTGTTTCGCATGGCCAACTACAGGGTCCGAACGGTGGGGATCTCGCAGATCCGAACCACGTTTGCTGGCGAGATGGAGGTGCCGACTCAGGTTGCCTAAGTAGTGAGCGATTCATAGCAAGTAGCGTGGCAACAATATATTTTGCGTGGCGTAGAATTTCTCGAAGTCCTTGCAAGTACATTAATCGACCAGGTCCCAAACGCCGCTCCCAATGAGGAGAGCCAATCATAAGTGAGATTCCAAATGACTTCAACAAAGTATGGACTGGTTTATCGGCTCCAATGCCAAGAAAAAACCTTAAGGTTTTATTTTTGGCCGGCTGCGCAGCCTTCTCCGCCTTCACACTTTCCGCCCCGCATCTCCAACACGACAGCGCGCTCCGAGCGTGCCGCACGCCTCCCCCGCCGACCACCCCAGACCCGAGTGCCCCCAGGCGCGCCCCAGGCGCCCCACGCAAGGACCCGTCGAAAGCAGCTACAAAACCCGGCAGGGCGGGTGTTATGCTGCCGGTTTTGGTAGCTGTCGGCCAAGCACGAGGTCGTGCGCGCTCGCTGACGGTATGTGAGCGTTTTTCTATTGTGTATGACTTTGTATCGGGACTGACGGGAATCCATGCGCTGTGCTTAAGTTGTGGGATGGCAATGACGTGTGCATTTGCGCCTTGAATTCGATTATCCATGTTGTATGAATAGGAATGTATTAAGAGTTAATACAAGCTGCGTGATCCTACGACTCCAAGTCTTTTTGCTTCCATTGGTGACTAGCTGGTGTGCAGCGGCCGACGATGCCACCGTTCGCTTTGCGGGTGATAAATGCTGAGCAGAGCGCGTCGTATGCAGAGCGGTGGTCAGCGCGCAGCTTTCTCCAGCGCTTCCGTAGCGACCCCGCGGTTTTGGATCGGCCTTTACCGTCGATACTCCCAAGCGCAGCGTTGACCTTCTTGTCCAAGTCTTCCGCTAGCGTCCAGACACGCTGCTTCCACAGCCGATACGCGACGCCGTCCCGGTCCAGTGGCGCCGTTGGTACGTCTACCTCTCGCCCTGCTGCTATGATCATGATGTTGACGCCTGCCTTGAGGTCAGCGCGAACAAACTGTTGTTTCTTTTGGGTTGCCGTGTGCCACAGCTCCTGTGTGTACCAGTTGTAGAAGCAGCCAGCAAGAGAGTGCGCTTCAACGACGGTGTCAGTGCTCGCCTGCGGGGCCTGGCCAGCACAGCGACAAGGAGCAGGACCGTCAGCGCTGGTGGCCTTGCTCTCGTGGGCCGCGACGAGCTTCTGAAGTGTGCGCTGCATTGCTGCGATGGACGATAGCATCTGGGTGACGGCTGCGGCAAGTATGGTGGTGTTTCCATTGCTGCGTTCACCCAGCTGTCCGAAGTTCTCCGTTTGCCAAGCCGTGCGAAGCTGCTGACCCCAACCAATGCACGTGTCCAGCGAGAGCCGAGCTCCCAGCGCTACGTTGGTTGCGTCCAGAGCTTCGTGGAAGCGGTACAGGTAATGCGATGTGAAGCCTGTGGCAGCCTGCTCCTGCTGGACTGCCGTCGCGACGTCGTCAAGATGGATGAGCAGGGACGCGAGCGCCGCATCCAGGACTAAGGCGTCAACGTTGAGCGTGGTGTCCGTGAAGCCGCTGACGTTCTTGAAGAGCTGGCCGCGCAGGGTTAGCAGCTGGGCGTACTCGAGCGCAGGAAGAAGCTCGCTCAAGGTGGCAATCGTGGGCGTGACGCATGGCAGGTGCGGGTCTCGGTATCCAGCGAGGACTTTGCCGACACTCTGGTCCTCGCGTGTCGTGGTACCCACGTACGCGAACGCCTTCGTGAGCGAGTCTAGCAGCCAAGCTCCCCGGGTCGAGATCCACTGGATCGCAAGCTGCGGTGAGGCGTTTGCATACGCTGCGGAGCCGCGGCGCAAGGAGTGGCTGCTCAGCCCTGCGGTGAGCGTCGGGGGCAGCGGGGCAGAGGCCTGGGCTTGGCGCTCGCAGACCATGGTGATGACGTCGTTAATATACTTGGACACGTTGGGCCTTCCTCTCACGCGCTTTGTTGGTGGCTCGTTCCTTGGTTCAGCTTTCTCTTCAAGGTTCTCCCAGTAGAGTATAGCTTCGTCTTGGCTGTAGGTCTTCTCCCCTGGCAAATCCGATGCCGCCGCGTGCGGCACTAGCGGGAACACATAGCTGGAAGGCTCCGACGCTCCGACGAACAGCATTCCGAGGCCGTGCAGCATACACTGCTCCCAGTGAGTCGCGGCCTTGTAAATTGAGATGCCTTGAACCACCGAAGTCTTGATTCGAGCTAGATGCAGAAAGAGCTCCCCCGATGCCGCCATAGATAGCTGGCTCTTCCTAGCAAAACAGGTATCGATCGCTCGACCAAACGTGTGCCACATTAACGTTAGTACAGCAGCGTCATGTAAGCTCTTATAACCTGAGCCAACCCCCTTAATCGCAGTTTCCTGCACCAGAACACGCAAGTCGCCGAGCGTGCAGCCTGGAGCTTCACCAGTCTGCACGCCAGCTAGCAAATTTCGCTCCTCAATAGTTGAACCCATTTTGTCGCGTATTTTCGCAATTCGCTTGCTGTCTGACAAGTACAGAGGGTACCGCTCTCGGAGCAGGTTCACAACTTGGGACATATAGCCCACAGCAGTAGCCTTAGCAAGACGGCCTCCTCGAGCACTTGGCTTAGTTTGCAAGAAAATGGAGAAGGCGGTTAGCAAAGAGTAAAAGTTTTGACTTGGTAGAGCATCAGGAATAGACAGCGACTTCGCAATACTAGCAATTGACTCCTCATTCATGTTAGCAAGAGCTAAGAATTCGCTGAAGCACTTCATCGCCGCTGCCTCCTGCCCTGCTGTCCCTTGCGGGATGTCAAGCCCTCTCGGCGCTCGCTGCATCTTTTCAAATGGGAGAGGAGAGAAAGCAGACGAGTCACAGCCACCAACGATACAATCATGATTTGTATTGGGAATTTGCGGTCAAATATGAGTAATGCAACAATTACACTAAACTTTTGTATTGGATATTATTCTAGCAAGACTGTAAATTCCCAAAATAATTGGGAAAATGTTGGGATACACACGAATCGATCGTGATTGGCTAAATTCATTGAAGAACTTGTCCTGATTGGATAGATGCAATGACAGAGAAGCGCAAGGAATGCCAAGTTGGGAGAAAGCTTCCTTATCCGACACTAATGCTGAACAGATGATGTCAAGTTGTTGTAGGACTTGCTGATGATAACGTGGAAGATGGTGCTTATCGCAAGTTAGAGATCGATGCAGTTTAGCAGCGAGCACGACTTGAATGAAGATGGAGATGCTGTACATGACAAATTGTTGATTCAACGGCTTTGAGATAAATGCAACGCTACTACAATATGAATGCGCCATGCTGCGAGGTGCAGGGCCAACAACTCCTTCCTTCGTCTCCATCTTTGCTTACGCGCTCTTCTTAATGGCATTGATCAGCATGATCAGCTCCTGCGTGCGAGTGCGCGCATCCTCACGGTCGCGACGAGCTCGGTCCTCTCTTTCGAGTTTTTCTTGACGACGGCGTTCCTGGGCTTCGGCCTTGTCGGCAAGGTAGCGAGCCTCTTGAGTAGCGACTTCGGCGCGGCGACGCTTGTCCTCTTCAGCGCGGCGTTCTTCGGCCTTGCGTTCGTTCTCCTCACGGAGAAGGAGAATCGCCTCGAGCAGGCTTCGCCCGTGTTGTTCGCAGCGGCTTCGAGGCTGGCAAGCTTTGGCTTGAGGGCAGTGGACGTCCTCAAGGCGCGAATCCGCTTCGCTTTTGCAAAGCTTGCCTCCATGGTCTCCTTGTCTTCTTCGAGCGCGCGCTTGGCACCGACGGTGTCACGGAACGCTGTCAGGTCCTGCCCGCCCAAGCGGTTCGAAACGTTCACGAGCTTTGGGTACTTCTCTGCTTCTTGACTGCGAGCAGCAGCGAGCGGTGTCTGCTGCGGAGCCGCCGGTGGGCTCGCATTGGCAGCAACGGAGCTGACAGCCGTTCGACGTGGTTTCGGCGGCCCGCTTGCCTCACGGCGCGTGGTAGACGTTGCCGGAGGAGGCGCCGGTCGTGGAGTACGCGCACCGTCACCGGACCCACCACTCGTGAGTGGCGCCGCAAGCAGCTCTTGAAACTCGCCCAGACTAGGCGATTCGGACTCGGCGAAGTCGAGCCCGACGGACTCGTCGGTGCACGTCGACCCTTCAGTGCTGGGCCGGCCGGCCGTCTGCACGCCTTCCCCATCGGCGTCGTCGTCGCCGTAGAGGCTCTCGTCGGGGTCCGCTTCGAAGCAGAAGTCGGGCTCGATGGGGCGATCTTCGTCGGCCTCGTCATCCATCTCGATGATGTTGGCCTTTTCGTCGATCGCCAGCTTCACCTCCTTGGCCTTTTTGACGTGCGGCGGCATGTTGGGCGTGCCAGTCGGCTTCCTGGTGCTGTAGAGCACTTTGAATTTGCGGCGGAGGCTTTCAAAGACTCGCTCAGGGGCACCGCGAGGTCTGTTGGCGTTGTACGACGCCGCTAGACGCTCCTACTCGTCTCGTCCGAGCGGAAGCTCGTTCTCGATCAGCAGCAAGAGGTGGTTGACGTCCGCCGTGGTGTAGTTGGGGTTTCCGGTTTGTCGGACCATCTACATGCACAACAAGTTGAACAACCCCATCAGCAAGCTTGACATCAACGAATCTCGCGTGGGGCAGCGTACCAGGGCTGGAAGCGCGCGGAATTGAAGCTTGGGGCGGGGCGGGTATGCGTCTTGGAGGAGGGTGCTCGTTGCTTGGCAAAAGCAAAAGTGAGAGAAACGAGTGCGCCGAGAAGCGGCGGCAACTCGACCAGTACATGCCGCCGACCGCCACCAATTTGAAAAGGATGCTGCTCTTAGCAGCTTCAACCTGGAGCGCGCGAAAGCTTCGCGCCCAAAGTGCCAAACGCAGCAGCAGGAAGCCGGCTCGAGATCTTTCGAACGAAGCCGTCTTCGCGCCAAATCATACTCACAGTGGTCGGAGCATCCACGTAGTCTAGCAGCACTTCGTCCCCACAATACACTCGATTTTCAAACACCTTCCTGCATTCAGTCGTCCATTCACTCATACATGCATGTTGCTTCACTCGATGCTCCGCGCTCCTTAGCAACCTTGCTACGCTGCTGTCATCTCACGGGTCTTCTTCGTCTTGGGTGTTGCGGTGGCGACAGCCGTCTCGCTCGCAACGGCAGACGAACCAGAGGTCGTCACCGAAGTCGATGGTCACCTCCTCGCCACGGTAGATGCGCCGCGTCGTCGCCGCGACCACCGTCGTTCGATGCCCGTTCGACACCTCCCTGAACTCCGCTGCAGGCTCGCACGAGTGATTCAGGAAGCGCATCAGCCCTCCCATCCCTTCATCATTAATCGCAGCGTAGATCGGGTACGTCGGCTTCTCGGGCCGCTGTTTCATCAGGAGACGGTAGCCGTTGTTGCGTGGGCGGTTGGCTCGAGATACGCTGACGTGCTCGATCTCGCCTAGGTACTGGCCGAGCACCTCACCGGCGCTGATGTCCTCGGCAGCGACAACCCCGAGCTGCTGGGTGCGGAAGTTGCGGCCGAGGAAGATCTTGCTTGACTCCTCCAAGCCGTTGCCGCACTTGCCCCCGTACGGGCATTGCAGTACACGTTGACGAGGGCGTTGCGGCAGCTGTCGGTCCGGCAGGGATTCCAGCAACCGCAAAAGCCGAATGGCTGGACCGCTGGGAAGACGGTGGCCAACGGGTTGTATTGCACGCGCAAGTGAGCAATGGCGTACGGCCACCGTGCCGGCGCGAACACGTCCCCCGGCCGTGACGCCTGCAGTTGAGCACGGGGCGCAGCCGCCGGTACTGTCCGTGTCGCTCGTCGAATGTCGTCCGTGCGCTTGGTCTCCGAGCGCTGGCTGCGTGACGCATGGCTGGGAACCGTGCGCTGGGTCTCCAAGCGCTGACTGCGCGGCACATGACGGGGCTCTGTGCGCTGGCTGCGCGGCGCATGGCGGGGCCCCAAGCGCTGGCGTGAGTACGGGGCGACAGCGGCTTGGCGTGCTTGACGCCCTTGGCGAGGGTGAAGCGCCGTGCTTGTCGTAGCGCGCGGCAGCGATCTTGGAGGCGTTTCCAGGAGCACGGGCGAGGACGTCGTCGGGCTTGTGCGCGCCCCCGAAGTTGGCAGCGGGGCCGTCGGGGTCTCTGGCGTTGCCGGCGGGTTCGTCACGCGCTTGGATCGGTGCTTGGTCCGCTCTGGAGTGAGCCAGGGCGGCGTCGCCGTGCCCGTCGCACTGGAGCCGCCGTCAGTACCCATGGCAAGGGCGCTGCTGACATTCGGCGGCGTGTTCTCGTCGCTGGAGGAGGAGGAGGAGTCGACGATGCATCGGAGCTTCCAGTGGACCGCGGAGTGCGTCAGATGCACCATCGTTCCTGCTGTAACACACGGTGTTAGCCAACAGCTAGTAGCACTTACTGCAATTGCAGCTCACGTACCGGAGATCGTTTGCTGTCTTCGCGCCTTCGGAGGCTATTTCAAAAGTGAGCGCAACTTCAAGTTGGCGGCAGGAAGATATAAGCGAGGCGGTATGTCGCCCGAATGACGGTAGAGTGATGGTCGACTTAAAGTATACAAATAACAAGTTAAATCTTTAAGATGGCTACACGACATATTCATACGGGTAGGGCTGTCTATCGACACGAAATCTGGGCCTCGCGGGATCTATGACCGGCATATACTCCGCATATCTGCTGCAGATATGTCGACGGTTTGATATACCTTTGGCAGGCGTCCACTGTTGTAATTCGCGTCGTAAGCACAGCAAACGCACCATAGACTGTTGGCACCATTGCTTCGACGTACTTGACGAGAAGCACGAATTCCGCCGTGAAGAGGATTTGTGCTACTTTCATCGTGGTATTTATCTTGTCTTCTTTTGCGACGGCTAGTTGAGTTTGCTCTTCGGGAGGGCCGGTAATTGGATGAATTTGTGCGGAAATCTTGTTGCTGCTGGATACGGTAGACCCAGGAAGCACATTCGGAGCCTGAAAAGATGATTTCAATCGATGCGGAGCAGTCTCGTTGTGTGTACCGCACGTTTGATGTTGTGCACCGGTATTCAAAATAGAGACTTCCTCATCGAAAACCAACTGGCGAAAGCTCTCAAAACGCCCATGTCCATTCGCCAGTAAAACGATGTTAGTACGGTTCATCATTTTGTCAATATCATTGAGCGTCACTTTCGACTGGACGACATCCACCGCCATCACCGCTAGCGTTGTCGTCAACTTTGCCGAGTCGTGCAGCGCCACAGACATGCAGAGGACGCTGAAGACCTCGACGTGGAAAATCACCGTCTCCGCCTTCATATCGTAGCGGTCACCGATGAGCCCGCTGATGACATTTCGGCCGATAATCTTGATGACAGGAACCAGACCGACGTAGAAAATTTGCCCAACGGAATCGAGCCGACGGAATGCGATGGGGTAGAGCATGGTAGACGTAATGAGGCACCCTGTGCTGGAGCAGCAGCGGATGAACCTCCGCACGAGCTCTGGAGTCTGGTCTTGTAGAATATGATCGTGGGTGGAGTGACAATCAACAACCACCCGGGGGCACTGACGGGCAGCGTGAAAGGAACCAGGAAACCAATCAGTAGTGACGCTGCAATAGCCACCCCTGTAGATGCGACCGACCCCGTTAGACTCAACGTCACTGTCGTCGTTCTTGTAAGGCCCAGTTCAGGTACTAATGATTGAAATGTCGACAGGATGCCAGGTACGATCACAATAATGCTGGATAAGTATCGAAGCCAAAACCTGTAGTTGGCTCAGTAGATTATTTACTGGATCGGATACAGGTCGGGCCTGAATTTTCGGTCAGGTTTTTCAATACAACTATAAAGACGTTTCCTGGTCACTTCCAGCTGCTAGTTGGCAAGGGTGTGCGACATCACGGGCGAGGGCGAGCAGCGCGAGCGCGAGACACACCAAGTGCATTCATGCATTGCCAACTCCCGCCGATCAAGCGGGGGCGTGTCTGCGCGAGCGAGCGAATGCGAGCGCTGCAACCCGATATTTTTTTTCTAGACACAGCGCCTGGCCGAGTCGAGGACTTCGACTAAGGGGGTGGGGCAGGCCGCACAACGGCGCTCCCCGAGCGAAGCGAGAGAGGGGCGGCCCCCCCCCGTGTCGAAGTCCGCAGACGAGAGCCAACGCGCTAGTGTCCTACCCAAGATACGTCATCCCTCCTGAAATGCCCGAGGTCTGACCCGTATCCGAACCGATAAATAGATAACCGTTGGCTCGAGTGCCCGCTTTCGGTGGTGATAGAGGGATAATCTCTAGCGCTGCTACCATGAGTACACACGGGTGAGGCAGCAGAATGCAGACGCCCACCGCCCTGGCAGAACTTGTCTTTCCTAGAAACGATTGTAGCTTCTGTATTCGATCTCGACTCATACGGCCATGCAGCTCGGCTTGAGCAAGTTCCCATGTGTCCACAGCAGAGCCAAGAAATTGTCGAGCTCCTCTTATGATCTTCACGAACATGTTGGCACGCACTCAAGCCTGAGTCAGACGAGTGTTGTTGTTTGCAATAACACCCCCTAACCTATATTCGTCACACGGACACATTCGCGATACGTACAGGAATACTTTTACTTTCTGGAAAACCTTGCATTTGGAATCGATTGTTGGGGATAAGGATAATGCAGCATCAACCAGAGAAACAATAAGCATAAGAAACACCACCGTATAAACAGTTTTTCCTATCAAAAACGAACGAACTAACGATAATACAGTTGTGAAGTTTCTTCTACTTCAAGCGGTAGCAAACATTAGCAGCATATCACCATTGTCTGGCAAACCCGGAATATAGTTCCATTGGCTGCGGACCCCATTACTACTAAATGATTGAGTTTTCGGACCAGTTCAGTAAGCGACGCCGCGTTAGCCCAGCAACGAAGCAGCTCGATGAGAACTTAACGATGATCCATAAGGTATAGTGACAGAGTACTGAACTGATTCACGCTCACTTTGCTTACTTTTCACGTCAGCAGCGCTTGCATCAGGGCTATCCACGATCTTGTAAACGGTCTAGTCACGATTACGGTACTGTACGAAAAAGAATAAAAAGTTGTCCAGTTACTACAGAGCCTGGGAAACCAGACTACTAGAGATCACCGCGCGCATACTTATTCTTTTTCGCACATGACGCCGGCTATATACTAGGACGATATGCGCATTTTAACGTTAGTTGTGAGACTTTACAGGTAGGGATCACTCCGTACCTCTACAGAAGCCAAGGCAATGCCTTGAAGGCATTTCGATGCAGACTAATAGGTACGTGAAATCTACTAACCTAAGCCAAACCACTGGCGCAAGGTAAGTAACGTACGAGCACATTTTTTCCGAAGCTTTCAATCGACGATAAGCCACCCACTCCTTGGCGTATTATACCAGAAAGAACTACGCAAGGACGCCGCACTTCATTCTTCAATCTTCCGTCTCCAGCACAAGCTTCAGCTGCTTCCGTTTATCCCATCGACACGTTTCTCGACCAGACCATGAAGCTTTCCACGACGATCGGAGTCGTTATCGCCGCTGCATCCGCCTACCCACTTCTTTCGATGGCCCAACAGGCTGGTACTCAAGTGGCTGAGGTTCACCCGTCCCCGGTGCACAACAACTATTGACATCGCGCAGCAAGTCGGCAAGTCGAACGCGAAAGTTGCCTCGTGTACGACGGAGCAATCGTCCGTAGTAATCGATGCGAATTGGCGCGACGTGAACGCGGTGGGTACGGCGAACCCGTGCGTCGCTGACGCCAAGTGGAACTCGACGACGTGCTGGACTCCACAAGAGTGCGCTGAGACCTGTGGACTTGAAGGTGCCGACTATGCCGGTAACTTCAGCATCACCACAGCCGGTCAAACGCTCAGTCTGAAGCTCGAAACACCAAGCGGGGTCGGCACACGAGTGTACATGCTGGACGCGTCTAGGACCAAGTACAAGCAGTTCCAACTGCTGAACCAGGAGTTCAGCTTCGACGGCTTCGACGTGGACGTGTCGAATCTGCCGTGTGGCTCCAACGGAGCGCTCTACTTCGTACAGATGGATGCCGATGGCGGCACTGCGTGCTTCCCAGCTAATACTGCTGGCGCTGCGTATGGTACTGGCGCCTGTGACGCTCAATGTCGCCAAGACGTCCATTTCCTTGATGGCGAGGCCAATATGGACGGCGCGTACGGTTCTTGCTGTGCCGAGATGGATATCTGGGAGGCTAACAGTGTGGCCACGGCCTACACGAGTCACGCGTGTTCTACGAGTGGCCAGCAGAAGTGCACCTCGGTCGAGGACTGCGGAAGCACGGACGAGACCCGTTACACTGGCTGGTGCGATAAGAACGGCTGTGACTTCAATCCCTTCCGCATGGGTCACCGAGAGTTCTACGGTCGTGGCAAGGACTTTGACATCGACACGACTCGTCCCTTTACGGTCGTGACGCAGTTCGTGACCGCCGACAACACCGACAGTGGTGAACTGGTGGAGATCCGTCGACTCTACAAGCAGGACGGACGCGTGTTGGAAAACCCCAGCAGCTCATGGTCCGCCTTGAATGGGACCGACTCCATCACCGACGTGATGTGCAACACGTCCAAGACGTATTTTGACGACCCCGCGTATTTCACGAGCGGGCTCGCGAAGCTTGGACAAGATATGGTTGGCGGCATGACGCTGGCTATGAGTGTCTGGGTCGACTACGGCCTTAACATGAGCTGGCTGGACAGCCACTTCCCTGGGGACGATCCGACGCTGCCTGGCGGGTTGCGTGGCAATTGCCCGTTTCCTGGTGGCGACCCGGAGACGGTTTTTGCCGAAAATCCGAATGCTGGAGTCAAGTTCATGAACATCCGCTCGGGTGACTTTGGATCGACTTACTAGAATCCATGGGGAACCGTCGAGATGAACTGTTAGCAAAACTATTTTTCTGCATGAGGTCGACTACTCGAAAATAGGTGCTTGCATTCAAGCGCTGCACATTTGTCGCTGGCCGCAGTCGAAAAATAACAACGGCATTAAATCAATATATCGAAGTACTTCGGCAAGTCTGAATCTGGCGTCAAAGCCTCCACGATATGTGTTTCACCCATTAGCGCGAGTCGATCGCGTTTGTTCACCGCTGTAATTCACAAGCGGGCGCTCTCCGGGTATTTTGCTCTCGCTACACCCCCAGTACGAGACAAATTCTTGAGCAGATGTCACGTGTGGGCTTAACTTCAGATCCTAGCGTTGTGTCTTGTACCTGCGGCAAGTGGGTGCTGACTGAGGCAATGCCCTGTGCGTATGCTAGTCGTTGGGTTGGAGGCTAAATATTTTTTCTTACTACTACTCATGCTTTGATGTACTGTAGATGTTCCTGGTTTCGTTTCAGCATTGCCTACAGTGTTTGTTGGTATAGCCGAGTCCTTCAAAACCACGATTTGTAGGCTGCAATCTAAGTCATGAACTTGATGAACTTAGATGATGCTTCTAAGCGTGGTGGCATAATGGTATTGCTCATGTGAAGCGCGGCGAACCGTAGGAAACGTAATGCACCACAAGCAAGCTATCAAAAACGCATCCAAAACATTCTATTTAATGTTCGCCTTTCTGTGGGCCGCAAAATGCTGCAACCACAGCTCCAACCACTCGTCAATCTGGTTCGGCGAAAGACCTTGGCTTGCCATGAAGGTCCTGGCCCCTTCCTTGGTGCCTCCGCCCGTTCTCCATGATTCGAAGATGTGGTTCTTGTATGATGGCTGGAGCTTCATCCTCTCGAACATGGGCAAGTCGTCCACATTCTTGAGGAAATCAAACATACCACGTTCTTCTTCAGCAACGGCGGCGCTCGCAGCCTTCTTGTGGTTCTTGTGGGAGCGGAGGAGCCGCTTTTCAGCGTCGCCTTCAGTCGCCAGCGCGTTGGTGTTGGCGAGAAGGGTAGCCGCAGCCAGTAGCAGGACGTAAGTGAGACGCATAGCCGGACTTGACATGGTGTGGTAGACGGCCTGGGAGCTCGAAGGCGAGTTGGGAAATGAGGAGACGTGGAGTGAGTGGTCCTAGGCTTCGAATAGCAAAAAACTGGATGAGCGACAGCCCAAAGGGAATGATGTGTTTTCCATGCCACGTGCCGGTGCTTTAGATTTGAAAGAGACCACCTGGTGCGAAGTGTGATACGGTGCACACCAGAGAGTATCGCTAGTGGTAATTCGCTAGACGTAAATGTCTGATTACTGTATTGCCTTTCACTATTCTGCCGTGATAATTCTGGCATAACTCTAATCCCTTAGAGCAATCCCACCCCTTTGAATAAAACTAGAGTCAAATCTGCAGACTGGGCGAGCCAATAAAGTTAAGGAGGGTGGCCCTTTAGAAGTGTTAGAAAACGTCCATCTGGAGCTAAAGCACGGTCAAATATAGCTGCGGGCAGGGCTTGGTAGTAATTCGCGAGTCCAGTAGAATATGGTACTATTACTTCTACTATAGTAACCAGTAACTTGGCACTTTCTGATTGTACTATCACTATAGTAACCAGTAACTCATCCACGACCCCAATAATACTATCGAGTTACTGCTGAGGTTCACCTGAGGTTCACAACTTGAAATGACACATACGTTCGCTCGCGAACCCCTCGCCTGCTGAGTCTATCCCAAAGCCCAAAGCTCCACTTGGGTTTAATCGCGGTGAGTAAATGGTGAGTGTTGATTGCAATAGTTTAGCACCGCCGCTGGTACGCAAGTTGCTGCTCAGCATAAGAAGAAAAAATGTCGTAAGCCCTTGTGCTCGTTCGACGGCGGTAAGAAGTACTGGGTCTACATATTTTGGTGTCGTTTGTCGTTGGTACATCGCGAGATTTTGTATCTACTACTTACAACGCACGTCCGTTGCGACCAGATGTTCTCACATGTCAAAGTCACACCCTTAAATAATATAAAATATTTAAACAATTTGACCATTTCGTGACAACCTGCCGAAAAATATACTTAAAAATAATTGTGTGGACCACATACAGCCAGTAGTTTGATAGTACTATAGTACTATTACTATAGTAGCTAGGAACGCTTGAGCAAAAGGACCCAGTAACTAGTAATTCGTTTCCTTTTACTGGAATACTACTGGTAGTAGTTCAGGAGAACTACCGCTACTATCAGGCCCTATCTGCGGGATAGCTGCAGGATAGTAACGACGCTTCATTTATATTGGTTTTTGTGTGTGTAGCAAATTTAGTTTTGTTGAGGTTTTGTTTTGGTTTTGTTCGACTTGATAACTAATACTTTCATGAACCTAAGCTAAGTTCGCTTTTAGTTTTGGTTTTTTGTTCAAACGGGTGGGATTGCTCTTATCGACACTAAATAAGCGTTGATCGCCCTTTTATGACTCTAATTCCACCTGAATTAACAGCTCACCGCCAAAACACGTGAAAGGCACAATAAATGCTACGTTATTGGTGTCACCCTCAGCGAAACTCGATGAGTCTTTTTGATAATCCCACACATCCCACACAACTCGTGTAGCGAAAGCTAGCTTGGTATATCTTCGTGCGGGTTCTGGAGATTATTATTTACTATTGGTAGTGTCAAAGAAAGAGAGCGGAGACCTTGGCTACTTGAACCTCGAATTGTCCCGTCTACCGCAAGATCAAGGGTAGATCTTCTTCAACTACACCAAGGCCATTAACAGTATGCAAGGCTCAGTCGGCAACAACGAGGTCATTTCCACCTTCCAGACGTCCCTGGACCAGCAGCAGTGGACCTGATCGAAGTTCCTGTACTTAGTGTATTGTATCGTCGAATGCACTTCATTCCAAGCATTTGCTCCCATGTACAGTAAGTACCACTGGTACTGTACCAGTATCGCCGTCGACGAGTTCGTACAGTACATGTGGCAATTTTGCGTTGCAAATCGTGCCAATCCCTATGTGAAGATCCCTGGACCCTGCGGCGGTACCTCGTACATGTACAGACAACGACTTACAAAGCCCTATATTAAGCTTACGCTGACATTAAAACCCGGCAGAGTTTTGGTTGGACGAAAAAAAAATCAGTTGTACAAAACCCAGAAAATATCCATGTGTTTTGAAAACAAAGATGCTATTATTAGATCAACATCTCAGGATACTTAGGAATTGCTTTCTCAAAGCTACGAATTACGGTGGTTTCCGCTATTTTTTCCCAGGCCGCAATTGTAGACTTAATTGCACGGAGGCGCTTCTCCTTTGCAGTGTCTCCTGCAACACCCCGAAACTTTGACCTAATTTTTGCTTTCAGTGGGCCGATCACGCCAAGGTCGAGCGGTTGACAAACCGCCGTCGTATTAGGCGGGAAAGGCACCACTGCAGCGTTCTTTTCTTCGAAAACGACCCGCTGTCCCTCCTCCGAAACATGTGAGTCAAAATTATCAAGGAGGAGGACAGCGGGTCCATCAATTTCATGTTTTAACGCATTACTCACATAACATTTCCATCCTACCGCGTCCATCCAGGCATGCTCCTGGACAGTGTAGTAGTGATCGGGTGGATAGTGTGGCAGCTCGTCGCTGTCGGTGTCGCCGCCGAGCTTACCCCGGATGATGAAGAGAATTGGCAGCTTATGCCCTAAAATATATAATACAAAATGTGTTAGCATAAAATACCCAGTTTCAGAATTGTTAAAGCAAGAAAAAACGTACCATCACCGCGAACAGTAAGAACTGCTGTCATTCGGCCAGTGTGCTTCGTCATCTTGGTAATTCGGGCAGGGTCCTTGCGGCCTTTGACAGCCCAAAAACGTGTCGGCGGCATATCAAAATTGATAGCCGTTTCATCCACGTTAAAGAGTGTCGTAGGGCACCACGTCGAGTACTTGTTCCAAAGTTCAATGGAGAACTCAGCGCGTTTCTCGAGCAGCTCCACTGTCGGAAGCTTGGCTTCTTGGGGTTTTTGAGACGTGAAGTCGTAACTAAATAAAAAACATCAATTGAAAGAATGATTAATCAATTAAAATTTAACTTCACATCATGAAAAACAATTTACCGTTTGCAAATGCGTTGACACATTTTTTCTAGCGACTGCTCAGGGCTTTTGTGGCTGTCCATGTAGCTTGCACACCACTCAGGCTCTAGTAGCCACATGTAGTCGATCATTGCATGCGTCGATAGAGCCTACAAAAATAAAAGCACGCACAATAGTCAGTATTAAGTCGCAAAAGCACGTACTAGAATGGTAAACCGACCTTTTCGTCTCTGCGCGTGTCCTTCATAAATGCAACAAGGGCTGGGACGCTAGGAAATATTTCCTTGCGTCCCTGCCCCTTCAGAGTTGGCGAACGCGAGTTTCCGCGGAAAGCGAAAAGCCTGTCGGCTTGCTTCCACCATCCGAACAAAGTTCCGCGGGGTCGCCCGAGCTGGTGCGCAGCCTCGTCGACGCCGACTTGAATTGCGAGCTGCGCGCCTTCACGCTTCTCCTTGATACTATAGCGCTGTTGTTTCGGCGCCATTTCGACAATGAACCTAGGCTTTAGTGGGTGAGGTGGCGCGTTTTACAGTGGCCAACCGATTTTATCTAAGCTATGATTTGCTAAAATAAAAGCACAGTTCTGCGTTTTGATTTGCTAAAACAAAAATTTATGTGAACATATGTCTGTCTTTTTCTACTAATGCCGGCTTTATGAGTCTGCCGGCTTTGTAAGTCGTTGTCTGTAGGCCCTACGGTAGGGACCATCCTGTCAGCTTTTTTCGCGAGAATGGCAAAATCAATCAGGTGAACGAACCCACACGAGGAAACATGAACAGTACAGTACACCGTGAAAAGCACAAGAGGATGAGGTCGGTCCCTGGAGCTTGGAGGCTTATTAGGGACCATTATTTATTTGAGGCTGCAAGATATATTGAGAAAATCTTGATTTACAGAGTACTTAAGTATACTTTGCTGTCCGACAGTACATGTCGAATGTGCGCTCAACCGTTCGTGTGTGTGTTTTAGCAATCACCCGCCTGTCAGATGTCATGAATTCTGAGCCATCAGCTGTGGCGTTTGGTTGTCTTTTTCGTGTCTTCGTTCTTGCATGTCTTTAGCGTCGCGTGCCTCGCGGGAAATACATCCGGTGAAGACAGATGAGTCCCAAATTTCCGTGATCCTACATTCGCGAACCGGTCTACTACCGAATATCCTTAGTTAATGATACAGTCTGCCCCGGCAAATCTGGAAAGGTCGGACCAATAGAAACTGCGAGGTTGCGAAACTTGCAAAGGGCTAGACAGAAGTGTCAATGTACTGAATTACTCAATTAATGGGAAAGTAGCGCCTCGTCTTGTACCGTCGGCTCAGCGGTCGTTGAGGGGAGTCGGCGATATTACTGTACTGTATCACCGAATATCGCCGATATTCTTGTGTTCGTACTTGTACATGTAGTGAAGAGTTTGTCTTGGTCGCGGAGCATCGCATCACGTAGACCGCTGCCTGGGACGGTCGTTTAGGGAGTTCTAATGTCCGTACTGCCCCATCGTTCAGGGCAAGGTACTGTCGCCCATGCCGTATGCCGTCATGATTGCATCGTGCTTCAGCAATAACTTATCTAAAGTTCATTATGAGCCTTTCACTCCTGCTATAATAACTATTTAGCAACTTGCACTTGCACGCTGCTTACAGCTAGAAGGCCTGGTCCCTCCATTTTTCACTAAACTCAGTACCCATCATTTAGCAAGCGCAAATCTCGTCTGCATAACTGTACTAGCTCTGCGAGGTACATTCGACATCGCTATTCCAGATTTGCCGGGGAGATCTGTATGAGCTACACCTTTTTCCAAGCAAACTGACCGTTTTTCAAGCAAAGTGGTGCGGGAAGGTCTCGCGCAACATAATACTGCGACGAAAAGGAACATTTTTCAAGCAAAGTGGTTTACAGCTGTTTGTTTCCCAAGCAAAATGGTTTGCCTAGCTAAAACGGACCAGTCCACGTCTTGGGCTTGGTCTGTAAGAATCAAAAGTTGCTTTTTTTTCGACGCAAAAAAGCTTAGTTAGCATGCCCACATCACGTAGATCACGATAGACCCCTCAAATACATTCACAAGGCTGTTCTAAGCTACGTTTTGACTTCTTCAAAATGGCTGTAAATCCTCGATGATTGTGAAACCACTTTGCTTGGGAACGATTTACGACAGAACCACTTTGCTTGAAAATACCTGGGAAAAGTGATATGAGGTTTTTCTTGAAAAATGATTTGAACCACTTTGGTTGGGAAACCAACCAGTCTGCCTGGGAAATGGTTTACACCTGATCTGCAGCGGAGAGATGCTGCGAAAAAGTGCATAAATTGTTGATACAAACAAAAATCAAATATAACACGAGGAAGGGCTGTAAAAAGGCGCCTAGTTTTGCGAGTTCTGATTGGCCAGATTGTCCTGTACTTCCCTTAACTAGTTGTATCCCATAACTAAGTTTATTCGGTGCCTTCAGGGGTGCTCCGATTGCAAGAGGATACGAGAATGCTGTCGTGCTCGTACATGTACAGTATTGTGCTTTGCATCCAGTTTGCCCTCCTATTTAGTGCACTACTCAGTGTTTGTACTTCGCGTTAAATCATAGTAGCCTTGAATGCGAATTGCTCAAGTCGTGCCCGATTTGGCTCGGAAATGGCACTTTCTAAGAGCATCTCCACCGCTGGGAGCAAATTGGAGGTCTAAAGTACCAATTTAACTCGCTGTCTCCGCACCGCTGCAGGGAGTAAATGTGCACCTGTTCCATTACACCCCTCACTATATTGCCACGCCAAAGGACAAAGGGCCCACATATGTAGCTGAAAGGACGTTCTCGTTGTACAGCACAAACCACACTACCGTCAAGTTTTGGTGGTGCATTTCATCTCGGCAATACAATCATGCAAAGCGAAGTGTTGCCAAAGAGCGTATGATAAAGAAGCAGAATGACTCCATCGCGATGCCGTCGGAGTACGGGGCCTCGCTGGCGTTGGATTGTACTGTGATGCCGTTGGGGATGTTTGGGTACGTGGTATCTCGTAGTTCTAAAACAATGAAGTGCATGAAGCCAGCGACTGCACTAATATTGTACCGGTCTGCAGCTTCCACTCAGATGCGCCCATAAGTCTAAAGGTATCTGTACTTCACGTATAAAAGCCACGGGTTGAAGACAAGATGTGACGCATTATCTCGATCTTGCTATCATCCTGCTTCTTAATTTCATCGCCGTCATGCAGCGATTTCTGATAGTACTAACTTCGTCGGATGGCGCAATTCTGCGCTCGATGAAGGCAAGGATTCCCGCCTCAGGCCTGGAGGCCATGTTGTTTATAAAGGGGGGGGGGGGCAATCAGTGGTAAAACGATGAAGAGGTCCTTGTTAGTCTTCCCTCGCGGCTCATGATGCGCCCTTTGACCTGACCCTCTTTATTCGTTTTAGAGCAAACGAGCTCATCGCTGATTCTATCCTACACTTCAGATTTTGGCGCAGGGTGAGATCCAAACGGGAACGATATGCTGTACGACCAGGTTGAAACTTAAGATAAGCCGTGCCTTCGTTTTTCCATCACAGAACTTTCAAGCTTGTTGTAAGTACGTTATGGGTAACCACGAGATTTTGAGTAACCGAGAGATTTTGTTCAGTCTCACTTTTCAAGTCGCCAGCAAGCTCGCAACTTGCATATACATTTTTTTTAAGTCTGTACTCGCGCTTTCGTTAGTAGTTTCGAAAATTAGCAGGCTACTCCACTTGGACGGCGCTGGGTGCCAGAATTTGCGCGGTGGCAAACCAGATATTTCGTATGATGTACAGAGGTGCTTTACCTTTTAAGAAATGCGAAGTAGAACTACAGAAGAGGGCGAAGCGCTTCGAGTCCATCGACCTGTTTGACCAAGTTCCTTTATTACTGATGCACCCTTAGTTTCTCCCCAAGAAAACTCCGAAGACTTTATCGTTTAGCTAGGTAAATCAAAAACCATTCTCTTCATCCCTTAATGACGTAGTATCTTCCCATTTAGTTCCAACTAAAACATTTCGCTGAATATGCATCAATCTTCATTGCTAGTGGACAGAGAACTCGTGGCGAATAGTAATAGCACAAGCTAATGGTATAGCTAATGGCATAAAAGGCCAAACTATCATACAGTATGTATGAAGTATTTTTTCAGTTCCTCCATTTTTGTAAGGGGTGAGAATTGGCAAAATTAAATGTGATCTGTCAGCAAGATCAACTAAAAGCAATTATTTTAAAAGTTCGCCTGAGTCTTTACCGTAACCTTTTCGCCTCGATATGCTTCACGCCCTTGCTGCCAAGCTTTACAATACTGCCTGATTTGGTTGAATAAATTATAGGATCTAAAAGGTCTCGCTACGTGCCAGCAAAAGAGGATATTGGCTTCTTGGCACGAACAAGGTCCGAAACGAGCAAGATGCGTGTTCTAGATTCCGAACGGTCTGTCGATCTTTTTGGTCGTGGCTAATCTAATGCGAGAATATCGTTGTAGTACACCCTACTAACAAGTCATTTAGCATATCAGCCCAACTCACCAATAAGAGTTCAATTTCCACTTTGAAGACAGTATGAACACACTAAACTCGAGTCTGAACATTTAAAAGAAACCTTCTTGATCTGCTTACCACTACACACGTTTTTCTAGCATCTAGGAGATTACAAAATCTCGCCAGTCTGCTTGAAGTGGGCGTACTTTTTGGCGATTTCGTCGAAGTTTTTGCCCGTGAAGCCGTGGGCCTCCAGTTGGGCGATGATCGAGTTGACCTCCATACCGTCCTTCTGCCACGAAGGAAATCGCTCACGTCGGAAGCTGAGCCTGTTCGCCACTTTCCCCCAGAACTCCATACTAGCGGCTTTTTTCGCCGCGTCTGCTATTCCCTGGGGGTCTTTAGCCTTGAACAAGTTCCCCACCCCCGTGAGGTCGAGGTTGAAACCACCGCCTCGTTCTTCTACTTCTTCATTAGCGTCGTCTTCTTTACCCTTGTTGGTCGACTTGAATCGCAGGCGCCGCTTCTCCTCAACTCCCTCCTTGTCGACGACGGAGAAAGCCTCAGTTAGCGACGTAGCCCGGGAGACTGCCGCCTGGTCTGCGGGGAGCGCGTGGGATGAGGCGACGAGGCAGGCCGCAACTACCAGGACCGTGACGTAGAACCTCATGCTTGCAGGCCGGCCGCCACGTCGGGAACGCACTTGGGTAGGGGGGGGGCAGATTGAGAAATGAACGACAGTGGCTGGTTTAGGCCATCGGATCACTCTGCAAAGCAGCAAAATCGAGACTCAGCAAACAGAGAAGGCTCCTGCTTCCATCTGTTTGTGCATTGGATTTGAACGACAGCGCGCTGTCTACTACTACATGTATACATGTACTTGGGCTTTGATCGCGTTATCTGTTTGGTTGCGGAATGCGAGGGTTGGCAGCAGCACGAGGGACGTCCAAGTATCTCTCATGCGAAAACGTTGACTTGGTAATACCAAGTTGGTACACGTATTGGCGGACAAGGACAAGTTTGAGCAAGCTGTTGTAGCACATCAATAAGTCGTACGAGTCGATAATAATGCTTGGCCGACTTTGTAACATGAGTTATCGATCTACTGTAGCCCCGGTGCAATTACTGGTATGCTGTACATGTTTTGTGAATTCGCTATGGGCTCTTCTTCTTCTTCTTGGCACTGAGGAAGAAATCCCACCCAAAACTTTGGCAGCTAAAATCTTGTTTCCTATTAATGAGCTAAGAACTACCGGTAGCTGGGATATATGGCAATAAACTAAGGTTCCAAAAGTGTAGAAATCCAAAACGTTGGGCAACATCAGTACGATGCCATATAACTAACGAGTACTGATAGCACAAGTACTTCTTCAATTACTCTAACGGATCACCAAGGACTTCGACTTAAAAGTCGAAGTCCTTGGGCTTTAAAAAATACTTTACTGAAGTCTAAACACTACTTCGAAGTAGTCTCATCATTTTTTCTTACCGATCACTAAGATGCAGCAGTACATGTCCAGCCATCGAGATAGTCACACACGCTAATTATGAGAAAGAAGACCGGTTTCTCAATTGAAAGTAACGACAAAAACCTAAGTTTTCCCTCTCGATAGGAATGTGAAGTGCTGCAGCTTTCAGTAGAATGTCACAACAGCAACAAGTTGTAATTTCTGTTGGATGACACGTGAGTCAGATCCCGATTTCTACGAAGTCCAAAGGGCGATGCTGACAACCTGGGTTATCTAAAGTATGCAGATGTATTATACAGTAGAGTATGACCCACACAGAGCGGTTCACGTCGTGCTGATTTTGACTTCTGTGTAATGTGGCTCGCTAAAACATTTCGTAAAATCACCTTGCGATCTTTTGAAAGTGGCATAGAAGGCAGCACAATGATGTGCAACGCAGGTTGCATTGCTCTTATCAACTTCGCAACGCCCTGTAAATGAATTAAAGGCAACCCTAGCAGTTTATCTATTCTCTAGCTTCTGTTTTGGTCCCACCAGGCCTACATGATTCCTTCCTGTCGAAAATTGGGGCGAGCTTTCCGCTCAGAATTCCTCTATTTGGAATGCATCAACTCATATTTCATCCAAACGCACTGTGTCTCGCTAAATTATAGCTGGAGATTACGATTACTTGATCAGCGGAATGCAATTAGCGGAATGCAACTATTGGGCGTAGACGTTGACGTAGGAGTACTGCAGTGCCAACTACCCCGCCTCTGTTTAGCTTTCACGTCAAAATACTGCTGTTACCGATTGCTCCGCCACTCCCAAGGATACTTTGCAGCAAAGTGGAAGTACAAGGTGCGAGAGAAGGCAAACACCAGAGTAACTGATGGCTCTTCACTCTGTGTAAGGAGAGATTAAGTGAGCTCATCACTTCATATGACGTTGCTGGTAATAAGGTCTGAAAAGCTTCATACATATCACTTCAAACAGCCCAAAACTTTGAAATTATCATGAATATCAATAAAAATAAAATTCGAGCTAGTTCATTTTTTTCAGTTGAAATCATTGGACGCAAAAAAAATAGATCGGCTCGAGTTAGTCGCGACCGTGAGGAGCATCGTAGTCAATGAAAGGCCCCTCAGCGACAGGTGCATCCGGTCGGTGGTTCACAATAGCAATCTTCAGGTGGTCCCAATTCACCGTGCGCTTCATGGCAGGGATTTGGTACAGGTCCCGCAGGTACTGGCGTCAAAGCAACACAAAATGCAACACACGCATTAGTACAAACTCCCGCCACAATCCAAAGCATCGCCACCGCAGCAACTTACACCGACAACGTTGGGAAATTGCGTGAGGTTCTGCTCGTTGGTCTTCTTCTGGGAAACGTCGAAGCGGATCAGCGTGTTGAAAAGGCGGATGTCGGCCTCCGTCACGCTGTTGCCGACGACATACCGCTGCTTGGACAGAAGTTCCTCCAGTTTGGCGATGCCCACGAAGCCTTTCTCCAGCTCCACCAGGGCGGTCTCCGAGTCTTTGGAGAAGAGTGACTTGATGAGGCTCATGCTGATCTCCGCCAGCAATCCGTTCTCGACAGCGTCGATCTCCCCACGCTGCTCCTCCGGGTAAAGCTGGAAGTTGGACGGCACCAAATCACGGAAGCCAGAGTCGAGTGTGCGGAGGATACCCGCCGACTCCTCCGACACGATGGTCTGCGTCTTCTTGTCCCACAGCACAGGCACCGAGAACTTGCGTGGTGTCGGGTCCACCTTCTCGTACAGCTCCCGGACGAACGTGGTGTTGTTCACAGTGTCTGGGATGCACCCGGCGGTGGGGTACTCCTTGCCGTTGAACCCGACGACGGTCGGGGTCTTCTCGGGGTCAACGAACACCCAGCCCAAGTGCGTGTCGCTCTCGTCGTCCGGCCTGCTCTTCTGGTACACTGGGTGAGCTACCGAGAGACTGATGACATCCTCGAGGCCCTTGAGGTTGCGAGCGGCCAGCGCTCGACAGGCGAATGGGCACGAGTACGTCACGTAGAGGTGGTAGCGGCCCTTCTCGGCGGGGAATTCGGCGTCGGCATTCGGCTCGATGGTGGAGTTGTACGGAGCTGGTTGGGTAGCCATCGCTGATGTCGAAGGAGTGGGGAGGGGGCTTGCGGTAAGTTGGTAAATGAGAGAACTGCTCGAGTGCCTCGGTTAAAATCACAGGCAAAAGTGTTGACGAATCCCTATGATCGTAGAAGGGATTTGAAACCCCGCGTTACAGCCTCAGATTCATTGACTTGATTCGCTCTGTGTACTTTGGCCGGTGTCCAATGCCACAAAGTGTGGCGGATGACACAGTGGGCTTAGATATATAGGCTATCTCAGATGACTACCCCTTCAGTAACCTGCTCTGACTCAGTACAACATGCATCTACATGTATAAGAAGAAAAAAGAGTGGAAAAAAATCTAATTCTTACTTTAATAACGTAGGTTGCGCAATTTACATACTCCCGTAGTTCCATTTGCTCCTGAGCGTTGGCAATGATTCATTCCCCTAAGAGTTTTAAGTAGCGCAAACAGTTTCAGTTGATTCGAAGTAGTGCTGTAGTTCAAAGCTACGTAATGGCAAGAATTCAATTGTACTCGACTATTTATTCAGAAGTATGCATTGTTGTGTACATGGACAATCCCTCAATACAAAGTACTCGAATTACTAGTTTTACATGTCTGTAAACCTTGTGAGGTATTGAGATATTTGGTTTTCTCGCTGTAGTTCACATACATGTAACTACTTCGAAGTAATCCAGAGCAACTCCACTCCACGCTCCCCCAAAATGGTGGAGCATCTGCAACAAAGCCTCGAGTTTTTCGGTGCAGATAATCATCGTGAGTTCCTGGGCAGCAAAAAAGAAGTGAGTAGTGAATCGGTCAAGGGTAAACCACTACAGTAGGACTGTTAGGACTCGGTATTGACCCCCTTGTCCAATACGGTATACCTCATCATCATCATCGACAACTTCTGAGTGTTCGAAACCCTAAAGCATGTTTAATAGTCAGGCATCGTCAAACTACAGTCACACCTCTATAAATGACACCCAGTTCGCTCGGTCTAATACGCTGTTTCAGTTAAAGAATTGATCAGATAAAGAAATGGCTACACTTCTAATGGCTACATTTTCATATGTTAGGTGCACAGTACAAGGGCTTTCTTTACCTGGTACCCCTCCAGCATTTTCGTACTCTTGTTTTGTTTCGTCTTCACACAGACAGAACTTAACCAATAACGGTAGGCGCGGTATTGTCTGTTCCTACTCCTTCTTCTCATTGGTATTAGCAGAATCGCATCCCCTCAGGTTGTACGTGAGTTTCAATACAGTGAGGTTATGGGAATATTTGTTTTCCCGATATGCCACCATGCCTGCAGTTTTTTCTTTTGCTTGGTATCTACTGTACAGCCCCTAGTTGTCTCGGCATCATAATATTTTAGTTTTTCGTAATATATATATGTACGCTGCGCTGATTGTAAAATACTGTGGCTAGCTTATTTATCAGTATTTACAAGCTTGCAGTTACTGCAAACTCTTTGTTCCAACTTAGCATCCCAAATAAAATTTCTCTCTTCGTTCGATTTGTTGTGGCGGGAGTAGTGGTAGCAATGGCATACGTGGGAGGAGGCAGGCAAGTGATTGAGAAAAATATATGAGTTTGGATCTATTACTACGGCGTCCATTTAGAGGGTTGTGGCGCCAACAATGGCGACCATTTAGAGAATAAAGAGGTTTTTGATCACTTATAGAACACCTATAGTGAAATCCATATAATCCCGTTTGCAGTCGAGGAATCCTAACCAGTCAGTTAGAGGGGTTCATTTAGGGAGGTGTCACTGTAGGAAGGATGAACATAAATTGGGCGCACTTCCTAAATTAAGGCTCTGCCAGCGTCCTGTATTAACAGGATGGCTACATACCAATTGCGGCTTCCGTTATGAACTATACCTGGCCATGAACCAATTGCTCTTGGTTTTAGACAGCTTTGTTGTGACTTTCGCACGATCCTTCAGATATGTCTTTCACGCATACGCACGTGTCTACCAAACGTAGTGTAGGGAGCTGTCTTCACTATGCTGAAACCCGGTGGGATTCTATCTATGACTCCTGCGAGTTTTTGACACTCAAGCGCAACTATTAAAATCGGTTGCGCTGCAAAAAGAAAGGGTTTGCTCGCTTTCGATCAGTTTGAGGTGGATAGTTTGTCTGTGGTCACGGATCTCGCGCGGCCAGCCAAGTTATGATTTGAGTAACTGCAGTACAAACATGTCACTGTATCCGAGCAGTACCCGCAATAAGCTAGTGACAACGCTCCAGAACCGCCCTGATGCTTAAGTGGGGTGAAGACTGAGTATAAGGCGTCATTGTTTTCGAGTGAACTTTAATTTAAGAGATGCGAGACAGTTTGGCTTGGTTCTCGTAGTTCGTGATGCTAAACAGGAATCTATTGACGGGGTCCTGGGCATTACGTTGTCCGCCCAGGACACAGTATACGCCATGGCGTCTCGTAAAGAATCTGCTCTTATCACTCATGGCGCGTTTGCCGAGTCATTTAACAGGCATGAAGACCGATATACCAGGCAGTACGGCGATTCGGTGGTAGGGAAAATTTGGGCCCAGCATCGTAGCTTGAAGGAAGAGTATCAAGTCGATAGAAGGTTTGGAAACAATGTCGACCGCCTATCTAAGCTCAAAACAACCGAGACATGGGGAGATCTCGATCCTGAAACGCATGAAGAGCGAGCATTGGGGTCAACTCACCGATTTCTCGCCAGAAGACGAGCTACATGCTTCGCAGTACTTGAAGCTAGTGAAAGTAGCGCACAGCGCAGTCGTTGATTAGGCTTCATCCGCTTCATTAAGTATCGAGTAGAGATGCATCCTATATTAAGGGTCCTTCATTAAGGTAATATAGGCACTAGGACGGATATCCTAGTTTGAAGCAGTACTATTAATAATAGTACTTCTAATAATTTACAAACAACGGCAATCCTTGCATTACCTCACAATACGACCATGTATCAACGCCTTTTGTTAGTGGAAGTCTCCTGTTCCTAGTAGGTGGATCCAAAATCGCCCGAGCGGATGTTCATGAACTTCACCGTCGCGTCGGGGCTCTCTGCAAACACGCTCTCAGGGTCACCACCGTCACTCAGGCAGCTACCACGCATAACTCCAGGCGTCTTCGGGTTGGCCCCAGTCGAGTAACTGTCCAGCCACGTCATGTTCGACCCGTAGTCGACCCAGATGCTCATAGCCAAAGTCATGCCGCCCACCATTTGCTTGCCGAGCTGGGCTAAGCCGCCCATAACGTACGGGTGGTCGCCGAAATACGCATTGGACGTGTTGCACATGTCGTCCGAGATTAAATTCGTGCCGTTCAGCGCGGGCCACGTCGCTTTCGGGTTGCGCACCACACGGTCGTCCTGCTTTTACAACCGGCGGATCTCGATCAACTCGCCTCTGCCGCTGTTGTCGGCCGTCACAAACTGCGTAACGACAATAAAGGGGCGAGTCGTGTCGATCTCGTACTTCTTGCCACGGCCGTAGAACTTCTTGTTGCCCATGCGGAACGGATTGAAGTCGCAGCCATGCTTATCGCACCAGCCCGTGTAGCGCGTCTCGTCGGTGGCTCCGCAGTCCTCGTCGTCGATGCATCGTTGCTGGCCATCGGTCGAGCACGGGTGCGTCGTGTAGGCTGTAGCCATGCTGTTAGCCTCCCAGATGTCCATCTCAGTGCAGCAGGAGCCGTACGTGCTCTTCAGGTTGGCCTCGCCATTGATGAATTTCACGTCTTTCTGGCACTGGGCGTCGCAGTAGCCCGTGCCGTACGCAGCTCCAGCGGTGTTGGTCGGGAAGCGGGAGGTGCCGCCGTCTGCGTCCATCTTGGAGAAGTAGAGAGCGCCGTTGGAGCCGCAGGGCAACGAGGACATGTCGACGTCGAACGTGAACTCCTGGTTCAGCAGCTTGAACTGCTTGTACTTCTTCCCCGACGCGTCCAGCATGTAGACGCGGGTGCCCACGCCGCCAGTCGTCTCCAGCTTCATGTTGAGTGTGTCGCCGGAGGTTGTGATGTTGTGCTTGCCAGCGTAGTCGGCGCCTTCCAGTCCGCAGATTTTCGCGCACTCTTTCGGGGTCTAGCACGTCGTCGAGTTCCACTCGTTGTCGGCGTAGCAGCTTTCGTTGGAACTAACAGCGACCATGTCCCGCCAGTTGGCATCGATCACCACGGACGATTTCTCGGTGATGCACTTGACAACCTTCGAGTCCGCCTGATCCACTTGAGCCAGGACATCGGTGATCTTCGTGCAGACCTGCGATGGCAGGGACGGGTGCTTCTCCGGGACGTTGCTGCCTGGTTGTTGGGCCACGGAAGGAGGTCCAATCGAGGAGACAGTGACAACTGCGAGTCCGACGGTGGCGCTTGAAAGCTTCATGAGTTCTGGAGTGGGGAGTCTTGGAATGAAGCACGCAAAACGGAAAGTGAGTGGTGCTGTACCAAGTGGCTGCAAGTGCTGCATGTCCCTCCAAATCGTTGCTTGGGCTCGGATCAGTAAAGTACATGAAGCTTCGTCTCAACAATACGGCTCTAGCGCCCGAAAGCTGTTCAATAAAACCAGCAGATTTTCTTCGCTGATGCAAGATGGTGTAAATTGTGCGCCACCGCTTTGGTATCACTGCACAGGACACAAATTCTGCCGGTGCTTTGAGATTGGGGGCAACCGATCCCGCTATTATACAGTACTGTATTGGGCAAGTGTAAGATGCAGGCCAGCAAAGTGGTGCGGTCAGCTTTGATTGCGAGCAGGTAATTGAAGATGACCAATTTATTGGTGCTGTTCGATGCGTTCACTACATAGTACTGTACGGATATGTGTTGTACTCACCTTGGCACGTGTACTCTAGAAGACGTCCGTTGCAACCAGCATCCGCTGTAAAAACGTGCTGGACGTGTAATATCGTAGAGGAGAAATTAGTGTGTATGAGAAGAGGTTGAGCATCATTCTCGTCGTCATAGATCCTCAGTTTCCATTACGACTATCGTGGGTGACCGGCCTTATCCGTCCATTGTGCCTACTGACGATACTGCTGCTTGTCGGTAGAGCATCGGATACAGCGAATTGTCAAGGATTATTTTTTCTACTGCAAATACAGTACTGCATTGTCCGGCAGGATATTCAAAGCCATTTCATATTGCCCATGCAGGTGTTCGTCTATCCATGGTGATGATGTTGCGATTTTATAGACATTCCAAGATCTCCCAGCTTCGCTTTCCTCCGGAGTGGATCCAACTTGGATCATCTAAGACCTGGTCGGCGGAGATGTCGCTGGGCGATATCTCGGCCGACAGTCGCTGACTACAAGAGGATACTGAAAAACTTTTACTCGCTGCGACGCGTAGATAAAACACAGAGCACTGTCGACGCAGTTGAAAGGACTCGGTTGGAGTTATTCGTCGTGCATGCACGCGCAAGTACTCCGTTCGGCACTTGAAGTAGATCAGGCGTGTTGTCTGCGAGTTGAGTACACTAAAATGTAGGCTTCTTTATTTTTGCTTTTATTCGCGCCGAAGAACGACCGAGGCTTCCACATCTTTGACACGGACAGCCTGTACCATCGTCTAATTTGGCTAGACTGAACATGCCATTCCTAACGTTACTGTACAGTAGTTCTAGGATTTCGCGATAGCTAATATTTAATAAGCGGTAACTGAAGGGGGTAATCTCTGGTGGTATACTGCCTGCCTGGAAAACAAATCGTCTTCCCACTATTCAGTGACGGCTTGTGACTCGAGTTGCGCTTGGCAAATATAAAAAAAGCATTCGGTTAAATCGCCGATACTGTGCGAGCTTCACCAACAGCTGAGGATTTCTGGTGCGAAACCCATCTGTATACATGCACTTGAACTATTAGTCACCAGCCTCGACGGGTTTCTCACCATTTTGGAGACACACAACACCGAGCAGCTCCATTTGCGAACATGTACATCCTGCGTCCTAGTAAATTAACCAAAATTTGTGGCCGGAGCTAAACTCTCAAGTAAATATGCGGAGACTAGAACGCCACGAAATGGTTTGTTCCCCTTTGTGAAGAACACTGGATCATCTTTCACTAACTCCACCAGGCGATAAAACACGTCACGATCAAGTCGAAAATGGTCGTGGAACTCAGTGTCATTCATGTAATCATGGTCGCGCAACAGCTTCAGCCAGCGATCATTCCTCCGTCGGTATTGCGCCGGGTAATCCACATAACGCGTCGATTGAACGCGCTCGAGTTCCAGCTGCCAGTAGTCATCTACACCTTTGCCCGGCCATAGTTGGCCTAATTTGCAAGCAAAGTTGTCATGAATATTGGAGGTACCAGAGAGTACATTACATTCCCTAAAGTATGACTTTCGTTTCATTCAAAGTTGTCTAATTCCCACCAACGACTGTTGACGTAATGCACATTTCCCCTCGCAAACTCAAGACCTTTGGCGTACTCTGATAGAGTGCGAACTTCGCACTGCGAAGTGACGCCAGCACAGAGGCAAGATGGCGAAGGCGAAGGCGTGTGTGCGTGCGTGCAGCTTCTTGAGTGTCCGATCCGCGTCTGCATGCACTTCATCAAGCGGCAGCTGTACGCGCGCGATCTCTCAAGGAGGGGAACATGGGGGCGCGTTGAGACCGCCCCTCACTGAGCAGGGGGTGAGACGTGCTTTGCGGCTACATGTGGTGCATGTACCTCTCGATGGGAATTAGACAACTTTGAATGAAACGAAAGTCATACTTTAGGGAATGTAATGTACTCTCTGGTACCTCCAATATTCATGACAACTTTGCTTGCAAATTAGGCCAACTATGGCCGGGCAAAGGTGTAGCTCGTCCTCCAACGAATCAGCGTCGCTGAGGAGGTCGCGAACCGTTGCAGCAGCGCTCCGTTGCTCTGTGATGCGACGCAGGTCTCGCAGCTCCTTGCCGCGCGCCGACAACCGCGGCATCCAAGTCCAAGCCCGCGAAGGCGTATGTATGGTGCAGCAAGCTGTGAGCTGCAAACTGACAAAAGAAATCGTCTTTGTTGCTGCAAACTTTGATTTGGGGTACTCAATTGACCCAACGTTGATTGGTCAAATATATTCATGCAGAAGGCTCTACAAAATAAAAATCCTTCTTGTTGCTGCGAAATTGACTACCACTAACGTGTAGCAGTGTAGCAGTTTATTTTTTGGCATAAGCGATGAATTATGATAGGAGTTTGTATTCGTTGGCTTAATTCTGAGCGGAGTGAACTGCGAAACTATGTTCAAAGCGTGTCATAAAGTTTTTCTAACGAGGTGTAGTAAGCACCGAGTCGATTTCTAGTGGCGCAAAGTGGCATCTGTTGCTGAGAAGGCTGCGCTGAGAAGGCTATTAGCGAGTACCAGTCACGTGCACGAAGCAGCTAGTGTACGTGATGACCATCGTCAAAGTGCAACGAGCGACGCGCAGCAACTGTAGCCAAGGCTCTGAGTGCCAGGATGCTTCCAAGGACCAACAGAGCTTCAAGGAGAGACGACCCAGCAGCAAGGACTACAAGGAACAGGATCGAGGACGGACGACGCAAGAAGGGTACGTAAGTACTGGTAAAGATATCCGAAGCGGCGGCGAAAGATAGCGAGCAGCAGTCAAGACGGCGGCGGCGACGGGGTGAACAAGCGGAGGAAGAGTCGAAGAGAACATGACATCGAGGATAGCACACAAGGGGCGTGGAAGAACGAAGGGGTGAGGGAGGCAACGCTGGAAACTCGCCGACGTGCCACCTCACCCAAGGCAACGACCAAGACCGACGATTGGCCAAGATGTGTTGGTCAGAAGCCGTTGGCCGGCACCCATGGCGCCCACGCCACCAAGTGATGGCAGTAAAAGTGTAGTCAGTATCGAAATAGCGCTGTAGGGTACAGATCAACCCATACAGTAGAGCCAAGCAGAGTGTAACGTCAATACACGAAGCAGTTGGCCGTAGCAAGTCGACTAAGGTCAAAGTGCAGTCGAAGTGAAGAGCCCGGTCCGAGGTGACGAGCAGCGTGCACACAGAGTCACAGTGCACACGTGCGTCCATCGACGACCAGTACCCCGCGGACACATCCGCCGGAAGGGAGAACCGCGAGTTGTGCGCGCACGTGGGCACAGCTCACATAGGGACAGCTCCAGTCAGCTATCGCCTACCTGGGCCCGATAAGAAGCGGAGGGGTCGAGGATCACGTGCGAGCACCTGGGATTGGCGACGTACAAGGCGTTGTGCGTGTTGGATATCGCGTGGAGCGGTGTATATTTGTATAGGTGACGAACTGGCGTTGCTAGCCGCCGAGGACCCCGGCGCTGCAGAGCCGCGGACTCGGACAAGGTGCGGACGGTAGCTGCAGAAGGGCAGATCGCTTACTGTGTATTGTAGTCACATCATAACGTGTTGTACAGACCACATGGTTGAGTGGTGCCATGCGCGAGCTGCAAAAGACACCAGCGCTCCATCGTGAAATTACTGAAGTATACTGTAGTTCGTCGCTTTGCCTTAAACCCCTTTGTCGTTTTCGATGATTGGCATGGAAGATCGCCATTAAGATCGACGCTGGGTTCCATACCACGCGCTATCCTAACCAACAAAAACTAGCGATTGCAGACTTGAGGCTTTATTGGCATCACTACCGAATCGTGGGGGTCCGGCTATCAGCAAGGATCGAAGCAGGCTGAGCATCTGCGCATGTGACTGCATGTATTTAAAATATGGTGACTTTGGGTTACTCGTAATGAGCCTACGAGAAAAGCGAAAATTAAAAAGAATCGTTTGAAAAAAAATATTAACTGAGACACCCTAATAGAAGTGAGATGTCCGCCACGGGGTTTCATTCCCTTGAGCATGGCCAACATTGCTCGGATGTTGGTGTTCACGCGCCGAGGTTGTTTGGTAGCATCATGCAGTACTGGAGCATCTTCACAATTCGCGTTGGGCTAATTTACGGCGCACACCAGCAAACTACATGTAAAAGCAAGCTGCTCGCTGCAACACCAGCCGGAATCACGGACAGCCAGAGAGTATTTGCGATTATTGCCACTGTACTGTTAATTTATCCACTTCGCTACGCTCCAACCGCGCTCACTAGAACCTCCACGTTCCTTTTCGCGAGATGTAGTGTCCAGCTAATGCAATGCCACGACTGAGCAACATCCTGTACAACCTGGAGTTTTCATCTGCAATAGGAAACGAATAGCAGGGCGCATACCTTCTAGTGCTCCATGATCTCGTGGTGGCACTGTGCATGATCTTTGAGCGGCAGGCTGCCACTCAAAACGATCACAAAGAAAAAAATGGCAGGTCTCAGCAATCATACCTGTATGAAACAGCTTTCGTTCGCAACACGCGGTTTTGTCATTGATCGACATGACAACTTTTTCCTGACTCAGAGAGCATGTCTTCACATCCCAGGAATCCGTACAAACGTACTGGTAATGGTGCACCGACAGAACAATTTGCACCCAACAGTAACACGCCCTACGTGTAGCATTCCACCAGCACATCGGTCAGTCACTTTTTGCCAGTCCTGCCAAAGGGTGAACTGCATTTGATCTCACTTCGGATTTTATCGTCCAGCCAGCGCCAGCAACTCTTACGCTTACCATGGCCCCCTCACTTGTGTCAACCTGCATCGTCGCTGGTGTTCTGTCTAGCGCGGCTCTGTTGGCGCCAACCGCGGACGCGCACCAGATCGTCTTGCAGCCTGAGCCCCAGTGGACTACGAACGACAAGGAAACCAAGTACAACCCGCTGGCCTTCCTTGAGAACCAAGGGTTCGCGACCCAGCAAGACTTTCGGGAGTGGCGCACCAAGAACGGCTACAAGACCCTGCGCGACTTCATGGACCATGGCAAGTACACGGTGACCAAGGGCGCCGACTTCTCTTGCGGTTGGACCGACCCCAAGGGCACCCCGCAGCCCATTCCGGACGGAGACGCCATGCGCTCCACGGGCTACACCCACGATGGTCCGTGCGAGGTCTGGATCGACAACACGCGCGTGCTGCAGGGCGACAACTGCCACGAGAAGATCGCCGACAAGGGCTACACGATCGACTACTCGGCTTGTAAGGGCACGTGCACGCTCCGTTGGTACTGGCGCAGGTGTACAAGGCTTGCATCCCGCTGACGTCGGGATCGGACTCCACGCAGCAGCAGCAGCAACAGCAACAGCGCCTGCGGGTGTAAAGGGGCTGAGATTCTCAGTATGAGTGGTCATATTCGTGTATCAAGATGTCAGCAAATGCGTGTTTCTTGCTGTTCGTTTGCACCATAGCGCACCGGATTACAATCGCCATCAAAATGAGGCAGTGTCTGACTCATTCGGAGCTTGATTCCACTATCGCAGCATTCATTCACCGAGAGCTTACGCTAGTACATGTAACTTTGATCTCGAAACACTGGCAAGAGATTGAAGTTCGAGTTAACACGGTGAGTATCATGGGCTCCACTAGGTCGCTCATCATGGAATCGGAAATGCCACCAGTGTTAGTACTTGGAAAGACTTAGCCAAGATGCCAAGATGCACCGGTTTGCTAATACAAGTTCAATGACAGCATACACTGCCATTCAAGATCGTATAAAGAGCAGCGCACGGCGGACAGCCTGGCGCGTTGAAGACCCGCCGCGCAGACCGAGGGATGGCTTCGCCGGCACAGGTTGATGCAGAGCGTGGGACGCCGAGCCCGTCTCGGAGTAATCGCTCCGTAAGCGACGTCGCTTGCAGTAGTAAGTCGGCGGCGCATCCACGCTTTGCGGTGTGTCTCCGGGAGAGGAGAAGCCCCCTCGCTTGAAGCCGCGGACACTTCAACCAGCGTTAGCAGCAGCAGCATCACTGGCGAAGCGGAGGGAGGGCCCATCCAGGCTTTTGGCCGCAGCCGGAGCCATTGTCGTAAGTGCTCGTCGTAGCGTCGAGTGGGTACGCCGAGCGATATAATACAGCAGGCTTACCGCCGGCGCAGTGCCATCATCGATGGGGATTCCCGGCGGTTGCTTTGCGGGCCGAGAAAAATCCCGCCACCCGAGGCTCGGGCGCTGCGACGGCCTCTTTGCCCACGCACAGATGGCGATCGAGCGCGCGCGCACGGCGGCCGAGTGCCTCGGGGCGCTTCCGCGTGAGAGAGCGTGACAGAGACTGCAGCGTGGCGCGCGGCCATCGGCACATCGGCCATCGGCGGTGCCTTCGTAGGGCCGGCTGAGACTGTATTGGGCGGAAGTCGGTGCGGCACGGGCGGCGATTGGCGCAAAGTGCGCGTTAAGTCGGCAGAATGCCATTCTGCCGACTTAAAATGGAATGGTAGGCTTCTCAACGTTCAGAATGCCATTCTGAGAATGGTGGTCGCGCGCGATTGCGCCGGGGGTGAATCCTCGGCCGGTCGGACAAGCAATCCCGTCCAGAATGAATAGTATTATTGGACGCAGGTCATTGCGATAGGAAGTTCCTTCAGCCTGAAATAATACACCAAGATAAGAAAGTAATTTACCACAGCAATATCAGCTCACACAGACAGATCCGAAAACAAGCATCGACTTTCGCGGGGCGACATGTGGCCCTTGACCGTTTACGCATCGACCCAGGAGCAGAGCCGGGCCATATTACGCACCGCGGGCGGTCTCCTTTGCGCTGGACGGACGCGATTGCGCCGCCGCCGATTGATTCCCTCTCACTGCCCGCCCCGCAGCTCTCCATCCATCACTACCGAATTGGCCACCAGGAAGGCAGGCAAGTAAGGCAGGCAGGCAGCAACCTAGCTAGCCTCTAGTCTATTTCGACGACACCGAACGAGACAGCAGCAACGAACGACACCAACCACGATGCTCACGGCCCACCACCAACTGTACCAGCAGCACCGCCACTCGAGGTCGAGCTCGTCCGCTGGCGCGACGCCCGCCCGCAAGCGCGCGGCGCCCTCCCCGCTGCAGCCGCTGGCCGCGCTGCTGGAGCAGCTCTCGCTACGCGTGGCCGCCGTGCGCCGCTCCAAGCGCGACGTGCGCTACGAGCTCGTGGTGGAGCACGCCGCCTCGCAGACCCGCTGGCGCAAGGCGCGCTCCTTCGACGAGTACAAGGCCTTCCAGGCGCGGCTGCTGGCGGCGCTGCGCCTCGGCCACTTCTGCCAGGCCGAGTGCCCGTGGCTCTACACGTTCGTCAAGAGCTACTTCCCGGGCTCCGCGACGCTCTTCGGGCTGGGCGGCCACAGCGACTGCGCCGTCGAGAAGCGGCGCGACGCGCTGGAGCACGTGCTGACGTCGCTGCAGAGGTTCGTGGTGAACCGCCAGAACGCGGCGGCGTGCTCTGTCGTGGCCGGCAGCGTGACGCAGTTGGTGGCGGACTTCGTGCTGGGCGACGTGAGTGACAAGCGCCACCCGCTGAACGGACTGTGCGGGTGTGGCAGCAGCAGCGGCAGCCTCGGCAGCCTGCGCGACAGCGTGTGCTCGTCCATGTCGGTGACGTCGGACGAGGGCGACGAGCTGGCGGACGAGGCGGCGGACGCTGGCGTGTGCACGCTGTGCAACTCGAGTCTGGACGGCGAGGCGTTCGGTGCCTCGTCGTCGCCATCCGAGACGGACAGCTTCCACAGCTCGTCAAGCCGCCGCAGCAGTGTGATGAGCTACGCGACGACGCTGTCGTGTGGCCACCAGTTCCACGACGAGTGCATCGTGTCCAAGCTGAACGAGGAGATGCGGTGCCCCACGTGCCACGCGGAGGTCGACTCGTTCTGAGCGAGCTTACCGACTTATTTATTCATGTACAGCGCATGCTGAGGCTACCTCAACGATAATATGAAGTAATGACATCGTCTACTTGAACGGCATCCAGTCACTGGACCAGTGGTGTTTTTGATTAACTTTATTGCATAAGAGGTTTCGTCTGCGGTGAGTTTTTACTAGATAGCGCTGTTCGACTTTGTGTCGTTAGCAGGCAGAGTCGGCGTTGACATGATCGGTTGAGGCAACCTGGGTTGAAGTGAAGCAGTGAGCTCCCGTGCCTCCGTTGGCGGAAAACGAGATGCTTGCAGCCACCGTTGCACATATCTCCTTATACCACGTACGGTAGTGTACATGTATGCACCATCTTCTTCGGCGATGCAAGTATTCTTTTTCTCAAAAGTGCCAAGCGCGTCTAGGACGTCTCGACGAAACTTTCGTTGTCACCAGGAGTTAGCGACCTAACGCGCGCTCGCTCACATGGCCCAACTTGCATCTTTTTTAAATGCGGCGTGTTGCACCAACAACCACAGAGGTTTGTTTCGTTTTTCATCTACACTGTACCTAGGAAACATAAAAATCGAGTAATTTTGTGGTGAATACAAAAGCAGTCGTTGTCGCCATTCTACCTTCATTTCGTTCACCGAGAGGACCATACTCAGCACATTAGTGTGGCATTGAAGCTGAAGACTATAAATGATCCGACGTGCTATCTTGTTGCTATCTACCTGGATTTTGTTTGCCGAGAAGATCGTGCTCAGCGTACACAACTGGTTAAATCATTATTGAAACTGAACACGGTAAAGGGAAACTACTTATAAATACTCCCCAATATTTGACTGCTGACCGAAATGCCACCTAACCTTCGAGGAAACCTGATAAACCTGCACCAAGCATTAGACACCTTTTGCCCACGTAATTTACGCGTTTTCGAGCACACGTTTCCGCACAAAATTCGGGAAAGTCATTCGGTAAAATTCCAGAACGACATACTGTTTATCATGGTATACCTTTGATATATAATGTTTTATGGAAACCGTATATAAAGTAATTTACCGAGTTACTATAGTAATTTTACGAGTTGTACAAGAAGACGGCATGCGCATCAACCGCACGACGCCGCTGTGCTTGTATCGAGGTGAAGCCGAACGAGGAGTATTATATCCACTTGTCCTTGATCATAGAAGATGAAAATTGACGTGTTGCAGCCGTCGTTAAAGGCAAGATCTTCCCGGGTCAGTTGGGCTAAACATATTTTTTCTACCGCCACACAGTTATTATATAGTTCCACATCTGACCGCAAGGCGGTCAAAAACTCGTTGTAGGCCTCATAACCAACAGCTTGGCTCTGAACAGGCTTCTGGGCATCCCATTTAATCGCATCCCTCAACGCACTTGGTGCAGAACGTGATCTTGTGCTGGATGGGCTGTTCGTCAAGCGCGATAAAGCTGATCCGCTTGTGAATCTTAGTACACACGCATGACGTACATGCTGCAGAATAGTGTACTCTGCAAACATGTTCGAGCTTTTGACAATACACCAACGATATGTATATATTGCAAACGCGTCCGTTGTTTGCTGCTCTAAGTAGTGTAAGTCTACGTTAACACTAAAAGCCCTTCAAGCAAACTGCATGCGGTACCGGTTGTCTAATCGATCTTTCAAGTACGCCGTAAGGCGTAGCTAGATAAATATTTTTCAAGGAGAGCAGATTTGGTCCTCGTGCCAGTCAGCTTTTACATTTCCGAGCGGCTGCATGATGAACGGATGAAAATCGTCTGTCTCTACGAACACGCTAAGCTTAGCTGAAATCAATCACAAACAAGGCGGAAACGCTAGTGTTTGCTATAAGGCGGTGCTTGTGTATAGACGATGGGGTTCAAGACCCTCACCTTCTTAGAACGCGTGACGAAAGACCCATTTCGGGTAGATGGAGCTGGTCCTGGACCCAGTGTCAACGCTGGAGCATCCACGAGAGTTTGTTCATCTGCCCGATGTACACGTAGTTCGAGGCTCCCCGGTGTCAATACTGAAGGTTTTTACTTTTATGTGTTTGAGGTTTTGCGGGACAACGCTGGGAGCACTCAGGACGAGAGCAGCACCAACCCGACTTCCTCTCGTCACCTCGGACGACTCCAGCTATAGTGTAAACCCTTTATTCTAGCGCCAGGGGCCATCAACTAGAGCTGTAAAGTCCGTGTGGTACTTAGCTGGCCTCGATTCCCTGTCGAAGATTGATATTCGTACCTAATTGAATATACGTGGGCAAAAAGTGTCGTTGGCAATTTTACAATTTACGAAACTCAGGGAGGCAGCAGAATCCGTAAAATACGTGAGCAAAAGGTGTCTATTAAGAAAACTGGCCGTCTTCTGCTTGTTACTTTAGTTTAAGCAATCGCCGATTTTTTTAAAATGAAAACTATCAAACAAAACGTCCCGCTTTAAGTCGGCATACGTTCTTAATGCTTGGTGCAGGTTTATCAGGTTTCCTCGAAGGTTAGGTGGCATTTCGGTCAGCAGTCAAATATTGGGGAGTATTTATAAGTAGTTTCCCTTTACCGTGTTCAGTTTCAATAATGATTTAACCAGTTGTGTACGCTGAGCACGATCTTCTCGGCAAACAAAATCCAGGTAGATAGCAACAAGATAGCACGTCGGATCATTTATAGTCTTCAGCTTCAATGCCACACTAATGTGCTGAGTATGGTCCTCTCGGTGAACGAAATGAAGGTAGAATGGCGACAACGACTGCTTTTGTATTCACCACAAAATTACTCGATTTTTATGTTTCCTAGGTACAGTGTAGATGAAAAACGAAACAAACCTCTGTGGTTGTTGGTGCAACACGCCGCATTTAAAAAAGATGCAAGTTGGGCCATGTGAGCGAGCGCGCGTTAGGTCGCTAACTCCTGGTGACAACGAAAGTTTCGTCGAGACGTCCTAGACGCGCTTGGCACTTTTGAGAAAAAGAATACTTGCATCGCCGAAGAAGATGGTGCATACATGTACACTACCGTACGTGGTATAAGGAGATATGTGCAACGGTGGCTGCAAGCATCTCGTTTTCCGCCAACGGAGGCACGGGAGCTCACTGCTTCACTTCAACCCAGGTTGCCTCAACCGATCATGTCAACGCCGACTCTGCCTGCTAACGACACAAAGTCGAACAGCGCTATCTAGTAAAAACTCACCGCAGACGAAACCTCTTATGCAATAAAGTTAATCAAAAACACCACTGGTCCAGTGACTGGATGCCGTTCAAGTAGACGATGTCATTACTTCATATTATCGTTGAGGTAGCCTCAGCATGCGCTGTACATGAATAAATAAGTCGGTAAGCTCGCTCAGAACGAGTCGACCTCCGCGTGGCACGTGGGGCACCGCATCTCCTCGTTCAGCTTGGACACGATGCACTCGTCGTGGAACTGGTGGCCACACGACAGCGTCGTCGCGTAGCTCATCACACTGCTGCGGCGGCTTGACGAGCTGTGGAAGCTGTCCGTCTCGGATGGCGACGACGAGGCACCGAACGCCTCGCCGTCCAGACTCGAGTTGCACAGCGTGCACACGCCAGCGTCCGCCGCCTCGTCCGCCAGCTCGTCGCCCTCGTCCGACGTCACCGACATGGACGAGCACACGCTGTCGCGCAGGCTGCCGAGGCTGCCGCTGCTGCTGCCACACCCGCACAGTCCGTTCAGCGGGTGGCGCTTGTCACTCACGTCGCCCAGCACGAAGTCCGCCACCAACTGCGTCACGCTGCCGGCCACGACAGAGCACGCCGCCGCGTTCTGGCGGTTCACCACGAACCTCTGCAGCGACGTCAGCACGTGCTCCAGCGCGTCGCGCCGCTTCTCGACGGCGCAGTCGCTGTGGCCGCCCAGCCCGAAGAGCGTCGCGGAGCCCGGGAAGTAGCTCTTGACGAACGTGTAGAGCCACGGGCACTCGGCCTGGCAGAAGTGGCCGAGGCGCAGCGCCGCCAGCAGCCGCGCCTGGAAGGCCTTGTACTCGTCGAAGGAGCGCGCCTTGCGCCAGCGGGTCTGCGAGGCGGCGTGCTCCACCACGAGCTCGTAGCGCACGTCGCGCTTGGAGCGGCGCACGGCGGCCACGCGTAGCGAGAGCTGCTCCAGCAGCGCGGCCAGCGGCTGCAGCGGGGAGGGCGCCGCGCGCTTGCGGGCGGGCGTCGCGCCAGCGGACGAGCTCGACCTCGAGTGGCGGTGCTGCTGGTACAGTTGGTGGTGGGCCGTGAGCATCGTGGTTGGTGTCGTTCGTTGCTGCTGTCTCGTTCGGTGTCGTCGAAATAGACTAGAGGCTAGCTAGGTTGCTGCCTGCCTGCCTTACTTGCCTGCCTTCCTGGTGGCCAATTCGGTAGTGATGGATGGAGAGCTGCGGGGCGGGCAGTGAGAGGGAATCAATCGGCGGCGGCGCAATCGCGTCCGTCCAGCGCAAAGGAGACCGCCCGCGGTGCGTAATATGGCCCGGCTCTGCTCCTGGGTCGATGCGTAAACGGTCAAGGGCCACATGTCGCCCCGCGAAAGTCGATGCTTGTTTTCGGATCTGTCTGTGTGAGCTGATATTGCTGTGGTAAATTACTTTCTTATCTTGGTGTATTATTTCAGGCTGAAGGAACTTCCTATCGCAATGACCTGCGTCCAATAATACTATTCATTCTGGACGGGATTGCTTGTCCGACCGGCCGAGGATTCACCCCCGGCGCAATCGCGCGCGACCACCATTCTCAGAATGGCATTCTGAACGTTGAGAAGCCTACCATTCCATTTTAAGTCGGCAGAATGGCATTCTGCCGACTTAACGCGCACTTTGCGCCAATCGCCGCCCGTGCCGCACCGACTTCCGCCCAATACAGTCTCAGCCGGCCCTACGAAGGCACCGCCGATGGCCGATGTGCCGATGGCCGCGCGCCACGCTGCAGTCTCTGTCACGCTCTCTCACGCGGAAGCGCCCCGAGGCACTCGGCCGCCGTGCGCGCGCGCTCGATCGCCATCTGTGCGTGGGCAAAGAGGCCGTCGCAGCGCCCGAGCCTCGGGTGGCGGGATTTTTCTCGGCCCGCAAAGCAACCGCCGGGAATCCCCATCGATGATGGCACTGCGCCGGCGGTAAGCCTGCTGTATTATATCGCTCGGCGTACCCACTCGACGCTACGACGAGCACTTACGACAATGGCTCCGGCTGCGGCCAAAAGCCTGGATGGGCCCTCCCTCCGCTTCGCCAGTGATGCTGCTGCTGCTAACGCTGGTTGAAGTGTCCGCGGCTTCAAGCGAGGGGGCTTCTCCTCTCCCGGAGACACACCGCAAAGCGTGGATGCGCCGCCGACTTACTACTGCAAGCGACGTCGCTTACGGAGCGATTACTCCGAGACGGGCTCGGCGTCCCACGCTCTGCATCAACCTGTGCCGGCGAAGCCATCCCTCGGTCTGCGCGGCGGGTCTTCAACGCGCCAGGCTGTCCGCCGTGCGCTGCTCTTTATACGATCTTGAATGGCAGTGTATGCTGTCATTGAACTTGTATTAGCAAACCGGTGCATCTTGGCATCTTGGCTAAGTCTTTCCAAGTACTAACACTGGTGGCATTTCCGATTCCATGATGAGCGACCTAGTGGAGCCCATGATACTCACCGTGTTAACTCGAACTTCAATCTCTTGCCAGTGTTTCGAGATCAAAGTTACATGTACTAGCGTAAGCTCTCGGTGAATGAATGCTGCGATAGTGGAATCAAGCTCCGAATGAGTCAGACACTGCCTCATTTTGATGGCGATTGTAATCCGGTGCGCTATGGTGCAAACGAACAGCAAGAAACACGCATTTGCTGACATCTTGATACACGAATATGACCACTCATACTGAGAATCTCAGCCCCTTTACACCCGCAGGCGCTGTTGCTGTTGCTGCTGCTGCTGCGTGGAGTCCGATCCCGACGTCAGCGGGATGCAAGCCTTGTACACCTGCGCCAGTACCAACGGAGCGTGCACGTGCCCTTACAAGCCGAGTAGTCGATCGTGTAGCCCTTGTCGGCGATCTTCTCGTGGCAGTTGTCGCCCTGCAGCACGCGCGTGTTGTCGATCCAGACCTCGCACGGACCATCGTGGGTGTAGCCCGTGGAGCGCATGGCGTCTCCGTCCGGAATGGGCTGCGGGGTGCCCTTGGGGTCGGTCCAACCGCAAGAGAAGTCGGCGCCCTTGGTCACCGTGTACTTGCCATGGTCCATGAAGTCGCGCAGGGTCTTGTAGCCGTTCTTGGTGCGCCACTCCCGAAAGTCTTGCTGGGTCGCGAACCCTTGGTTCTCAAGGAAGGCCAGCGGGTTGTACTTGGTTTCCTTGTCGTTCGTAGTCCACTGGGGCTCAGGCTGCAAGACGATCTGGTGCGCGTCCGCGGTTGGCGCCAACAGAGCCGCGCTAGACAGAACACCAGCGACGATGCAGGTTGACACAAGTGAGGGGGCCATGGTAAGCGTAAGAGTTGCTGGCGCTGGCTGGACGATAAAATCCGAAGTGAGATCAAATGCAGTTCACCCTTTGGCAGGACTGGCAAAAAGTGACTGACCGATGTGCTGGTGGAATGCTACACGTAGGGCGTGTTACTGTTGGGTGCAAATTGTTCTGTCGGTGCACCATTACCAGTACGTTTGTACGGATTCCTGGGATGTGAAGACATGCTCTCTGAGTCAGGAAAAAGTTGTCATGTCGATCAATGACAAAACCGCGTGTTGCGAACGAAAGCTGTTTCATACAGGTATGATTGCTGAGACCTGCCATTTTTTTCTTTGTGATCGTTTTGAGTGGCAGCCTGCCGCTCAAAGATCATGCACAGTGCCACCACGAGATCATGGAGCACTAGAAGGTATGCGCCCTGCTATTCGTTTCCTATTGCAGATGAAAACTCCAGGTTGTACAGGATGTTGCTCAGTCGTGGCATTGCATTAGCTGGACACTACATCTCGCGAAAAGGAACGTGGAGGTTCTAGTGAGCGCGGTTGGAGCGTAGCGAAGTGGATAAATTAACAGTACAGTGGCAATAATCGCAAATACTCTCTGGCTGTCCGTGATTCCGGCTGGTGTTGCAGCGAGCAGCTTGCTTTTACATGTAGTTTGCTGGTGTGCGCCGTAAATTAGCCCAACGCGAATTGTGAAGATGCTCCAGTACTGCATGATGCTACCAAACAACCTCGGCGCGTGAACACCAACATCCGAGCAATGTTGGCCATGCTCAAGGGAATGAAACCCCGTGGCGGACATCTCACTTCTATTAGGGTGTCTCAGTTAATATTTTTTTTCAAACGATTCTTTTTAATTTTCGCTTTTCTCGTAGGCTCATTACGAGTAACCCAAAGTCACCATATTTTAAATACATGCAGTCACATGCGCAGATGCTCAGCCTGCTTCGATCCTTGCTGATAGCCGGACCCCCACGATTCGGTAGTGATGCCAATAAAGCCTCAAGTCTGCAATCGCTAGTTTTTGTTGGTTAGGATAGCGCGTGGTATGGAACCCAGCGTCGATCTTAATGGCGATCTTCCATGCCAATCATCGAAAACGACAAAGGGGTTTAAGGCAAAGCGACGAACTACAGTATACTTCAGTAATTTCACGATGGAGCGCTGGTGTCTTTTGCAGCTCGCGCATGGCACCACTCAACCATGTGGTCTGTACAACACGTTATGATGTGACTACAATACACAGTAAGCGATCTGCCCTTCTGCAGCTACCGTCCGCACCTTGTCCGAGTCCGCGGCTCTGCAGCGCCGGGGTCCTCGGCGGCTAGCAACGCCAGTTCGTCACCTATACAAATATACACCGCTCCACGCGATATCCAACACGCACAACGCCTTGTACGTCGCCAATCCCAGGTGCTCGCACGTGATCCTCGACCCCTCCGCTTCTTATCGGGCCCAGGTAGGCGATAGCTGACTGGAGCTGTCCCTATGTGAGCTGTGCCCACGTGCGCGCACAACTCGCGGTTCTCCCTTCCGGCGGATGTGTCCGCGGGGTACTGGTCGTCGATGGACGCACGTGTGCACTGTGACTCTGTGTGCACGCTGCTCGTCACCTCGGACCGGGCTCTTCACTTCGACTGCACTTTGACCTTAGTCGACTTGCTACGGCCAACTGCTTCGTGTATTGACGTTACACTCTGCTTGGCTCTACTGTATGGGTTGATCTGTACCCTACAGCGCTATTTCGATACTGACTACACTTTTACTGCCATCACTTGGTGGCGTGGGCGCCATGGGTGCCGGCCAACGGCTTCTGACCAACACATCTTGGCCAATCGTCGGTCTTGGTCGTTGCCTTGGGTGAGGTGGCACGTCGGCGAGTTTCCAGCGTTGCCTCCCTCACCCCTTCGTTCTTCCACGCCCCTTGTGTGCTATCCTCGATGTCATGTTCTCTTCGACTCTTCCTCCGCTTGTTCACCCCGTCGCCGCCGCCGTCTTGACTGCTGCTCGCTATCTTTCGCCGCCGCTTCGGATATCTTTACCAGTACTTACGTACCCTTCTTGCGTCGTCCGTCCTCGATCCTGTTCCTTGTAGTCCTTGCTGCTGGGTCGTCTCTCCTTGAAGCTCTGTTGGTCCTTGGAAGCATCCTGGCACTCAGAGCCTTGGCTACAGTTGCTGCGCGTCGCTCGTTGCACTTTGACGATGGTCATCACGTACACTAGCTGCTTCGTGCACGTGACTGGTACTCGCTAATAGCCTTCTCAGCGCAGCCTTCTCAGCAACAGATGCCACTTTGCGCCACTAGAAATCGACTCGGTGCTTACTACACCTCGTTAGAAAAACTTTATGACACGCTTTGAACATAGTTTCGCAGTTCACTCCGCTCAGAATTAAGCCAACGAATACAAACTCCTATCATAATTCATCGCTTATGCCAAAAAATAAACTGCTACACTGCTACACGTTAGTGGTAGTCAATTTCGCAGCAACAAGAAGGATTTTTATTTTGTAGAGCCTTCTGCATGAATATATTTGACCAATCAACGTTGGGTCAATTGAGTACCCCAAATCAAAGTTTGCAGCAACAAAGACGATTTCTTTTGTCAGTTTGCAGCTCACAGCTTGCTGCACCATACATACGCCTTCGCGGGCTTGGACTTGGATGCCGCGGTTGTCGGCGCGCGGCAAGGAGCTGCGAGACCTGCGTCGCATCACAGAGCAACGGAGCGCTGCTGCAACGGTTCGCGACCTCCTCAGCGACGCTGATTCGTTGGAGGACGAGCTACACCTTTGCCCGGCCATAGTTGGCCTAATTTGCAAGCAAAGTTGTCATGAATATTGGAGGTACCAGAGAGTACATTACATTCCCTAAAGTATGACTTTCGTTTCATTCAAAGTTGTCTAATTCCCATCGAGAGGTACATGCACCACATGTAGCCGCAAAGCACGTCTCACCCCCTGCTCAGTGAGGGGCGGTCTCAACGCGCCCCCATGTTCCCCTCCTTGAGAGATCGCGCGCGTACAGCTGCCGCTTGATGAAGTGCATGCAGACGCGGATCGGACACTCAAGAAGCTGCACGCACGCACACACGCCTTCGCCTTCGCCATCTTGCCTCTGTGCTGGCGTCACTTCGCAGTGCGAAGTTCGCACTCTATCAGAGTACGCCAAAGGTCTTGAGTTTGCGAGGGGAAATGTGCATTACGTCAACAGTCGTTGGTGGGAATTAGACAACTTTGAATGAAACGAAAGTCATACTTTAGGGAATGTAATGTACTCTCTGGTACCTCCAATATTCATGACAACTTTGCTTG